ATTGGTACTGGTGCTGCATTCAAGGGAAGGACATGACAGGGCAGTAACCTACTTCTCGCGAGGCAAGCGCATATGTAACTAATAACTCATTGTCCATGAGGACAGCCAGAGCGGCGTGTTTTTCGTCGCGGAGATGCGAGCGTGTGCGGGCATCTTTTTCAAAGGCAGTTTGGGGTTCTGTTATGCCGTCTGGACCGGCGCGGTTGTATGATGTTGTGAAGGGATTCTGGGCGCGGCCGGAGAATCTTCCTTTTTGGATGTTAGTTTGTAGACTGTGATTGTATTGCGTTGGGTTGGACTTTTGCGACATATCTGTGCATCGAAGCAAGGATTCACGTGGCTTAGGGGGATGGAGATGAAGGTGGGGAGTTGGACTCGATAAGGGAAGATAGAATGTAGACATACCCGCCGTGTCAGATCCATTTGAACTGTTTCCATTGACGCCCCAAACATCATCTTCTGATGATGGACGGTACATCAGTTCACCATCCACATTTGGAAGTTCGCCGTCAAATGGGATACCATCGCTGTCGTACATTTGTAGACCATCGACGCGGTCTAGGTCTAGGTCATCGAGTTGCATGCCGCCATCCGATTCAGATTCAGATTCTGTGTCTGAGGCGAGGCGTGGGTCTTGGCCGGACATTTTGAAGATAGTGAGATGGGGGATATGTGAGTGGCAAGTGAAAAGCAGATAGAGACGGTTTCTTGAGTCGAGATGTGGTGGTGCGGAGTCGGAGATTGGATGGCGAGTGAAACCAATGACTGGTGAGAATTGAAGTAGTGAAAGGTGTCTGTGGTGGACTTTGCTTCACATGTATGATTGATAGAGAATTTTATGTATATCTTATGGCATGACCCCAGGATTGATCTATAGCCAGTGTCAGTGGATGAGAAACAAATATTGGTGGTAAATGCACGAGAGACTGACCATCTCCAGGAGAGGGGTTGAGAGGAAATTAATTTTTACTCAATAAGGAGCTTCAAACATACAGGTTGGCAGCACTTCAGATAGAAGTCGAGATATAGACGACTGAGCGTGTTGACGAGATGACCTGCCCTCTTGGCGTGGGTCCCCGTACTGTGGCCAGATCAAGCAGGCGGTGAGGTCGTACAATTACAATTTTGGTCCAACTGATGTTGAACCCCCTAATTAGGCTTAGTGGATATCAAGTATAATGTTGCGTTGCAATCCCAATTAGTCCTGATACTGTTGGAAAGATACTGATCATGTCAGTGTAGTGTAATTTAGGTAAACATTAGATGGAATCTACAGGGAAAGAGTGAAAAGTACCGAACGATTTTATTGAATCGATGATGAATGGCGGAAATAAATATAATATGATGCCCAAGACCCAACAACGCCAAAAAACAATGCCGCTAAAACGACTAACAGTTTAGGATAGAAAGAGAGAAAGAGAATATCTAATTAGCCGGACAGCCATGCATATAAGAATTTTTAGGCCAATGATACCCAGCCTCGTTCCTAAAGTTCAATCGTTAGTAACGCAGAAAGAAGAACACGAAACCAGCGAAATAAACATACCAAGTCGTAAAGTTCGCATTATCATACGCCTTGCGATGTTTCTCAATATACTTAGTCGTCTCATAGCCCGGTGGATCACAAGTAACGCTCTCATCATCGGGATCCTGATAGATCCGGACGTAGTCGAAGCGCAGGATAGCAGGCATATAATCGATGATGCTTTTGTTTTGCGGCGCGAAGTTATCCGCCATACCCATATTCATGATCAGGGACATGGGCTCGAGTGGGATCATGCGTTGTCCGATATTACCGTTAGGTCCGATGGCGCGGGCGTCCAGTGTCCAGGTTTTTTCAGCGCCGACGAACCAGGTTACATCGCCTGTTGCGCCGGGTGTGTACTCGAAAGAGTAGGTTTGGAATTCAGTGCCGTTGTACCAGCGGGTATTCAGGTTAGTTAGGCCTGACATTGCCTGTTGGTAGACACCGCCTCGGTAGGCGTTAATTTTGGTGACGCGTGAGTCGTAAACAGCAGCAAAGTCTGGGGTTTTTTGGTTAGTGGATAGCCTCAACATTAAAAGAATCAAAAGATATACTCACCATAGTCGGGCAGGTACCACAGATCAAATGGTGCAGTCTGCAGACTCTGCGACGCACTACCGACAAAGGGACCGCTGTCACCGTATAGCGGAGCAGTGCTGCCTTCAATCACATCAATCTCAGGAGCACTACGTGCAATACCAGGGGTCGGGTGATCAGAGCCAGGACAGGCACACCCAGGCAATCGCATACCAGGCAGCCAGTTGATACCATCGGGAGAACTCTGGTTCGGGGTGATGCCCGCATCGCAACCATCATGGTAGCTGTACGGCCACATGCCATCTGTGGTAGCAGCATAGCCAGCACGAGCCAGGTTTCCCATTGCCCAGAAACCAGGCCAGAAACCTTCGATGTGTCCATCGCCCGGGAGGGACATGCTAGCTTCGAGACGGCCACCCTTGAAGCAGAGCTTGTTCCAGCTCTGTACCATGCCGGATCGATAGTCGAGATCGTGGTTCTTGAAGTGATCGAATCGAAGCTGGAGGGTGCCGTCTGCTGTGGTTACTGCGTCAGGGTCATACCACTAGGGAGTGTCAGCATTGGAGCGGTGTTTTCTGACACATTTATACTAACCTCTTTGTCCGCTGTTACTCCGTACCATATATCGACTGCTTCGAAGTACGGATCGTCGTCCTCGAAGAACGTTCGACCGGGCATGTTAAACTCGTCAGAGAACTGAAATAGAACGTCAGCTACTTATCGTTGCTAGTGACCTATCAAACTCACCACTAGCTTCAGCTCCTTTCCATTGACATCTTTCTTGGTGTATGCCTCTTTCGGTGTGTCCGGGTCAATCAAGCCCATCCGCAGGTTTTCCAACATTGGTCGCTCCCCAACTTCTAAACACAACGTGTCTGCGGGGTGGCATAGACCATGGTGATGTTTTGCGAAGCTCGACAACCAAGTTCTGCGATTACTCGTTAGCCAGGGGGACAGACAGTCAAATGAGCCAACTTCTTACATGAGCGGGTAACCAATGAAAAGCACCAGAAGACCTAATGTGAAAATCGCTAGACCACCGACATTCACAATACCCCGTCGATTCCAGATATCACAATCTCGATCCTTGTCCGCCGGGTCCGGGTTATGCAAGTAGTCATCCTTCTCCACATCCTCAGGGAACAACAACAACCCATCAGTAGGCATGATATTGAACTTTCCCGATACAGTCTGCGTATTGACATCATACTCCTCACTACCAGCGTGCGAAGGCGCCCTCGAGTCCTGGAATGGATCAAAGCGGAAATTACTCTCACGACTGATAGAGCTGATACTCGAGCGAGCTGCAGACCACCGGTCCGGAGATCGAGGTCGATCACTCTCACTCACACCTTGTCCCTGTGAAGGTCTCAACCTTGGGGGTAACAGGAATTCTGAGGACTCGGGGACATTTGATGCGCCGTATGGTGACATTGACATCCCTCGAGCGCGTATGGGGGTGGGTGTTTCGGGGCCCTGTGGCGTCAAAGGACGAGGAAATGTCCGCGACGTGAGAGGCGCGTAGCCACCATTCGTCTCGAGGAAAGGATCCTGTCGCCCCGAGTTGAGTCGGATGTGAGGCGTCGCCTTGCCCTCTGAGGCATCAGAGCCGTGGTCCGACATCTGATTGTTGATTTTCGAGTTCCTGGTTGGATAGTTTCGACACGCTCCTTTGCTCTGCACTGGCGAGGCCTTGCTTTCTTCAACTGCCGACACAAGAACAGGCCTCTTGCATTAGTCGTTGGTAGAATCCGAGAGGTAGGTTGGTATGACGATGTGGTGTTTTGCTTCTTCTTCCTTCCGGTTCGTCACGCAATGATTTCGCTATATATCTCAACGGTAAGGACTGAGGACCTAAATAGGTATACTGCACAGGCGATGAGTGCGACGTTTTAGCGAAAGAACGGACACGGCTGGTCGAATAGCATCGAATGTCCGTCGGCGATACGATGAGAGAGACAGAGTCTAAACGGAGGGATAAAGCCAAAACCACAGAAGAAAAGAAGAGCCTAGATGGTCCGAGGGGTCTTGTTTGTGTGCATGGGGAGACAGGAATGACAGAGACCCAAGGGGGGCAACCGGTGGTATGTGTATACCTCTTTCTCCCTGAGCAAAGGACTGTGGATGACAGTAGAGTAATGATTCAGACCGTGTTATGGTTTATACCAATCTTTTGTATACCATTGACTGTCTCTTTCGATCAATTTCAGTAGACCGGGGGGTTGACGCCCTACACAGGCTCTCACGCCCTGGGTAGGGCTATTCTAGGGTGTGGCATTCCCGTTGCTCCCCAGGGCCCAAAGAATGGCCCGTCGTGAATGCTAGGCGGAATTCGAGGATCTTCATGGTCATAAACCTGATTAGAATCGTTTGAAGTAATAATAGCAGTTTAAAAGCTGCTATGTATAGATGTACGGGGAGTTGTTGAAGCAAAGGATCAATCAGCGGGGAAGAGAGACATTGCCCGATACCCCGGTCTACCAACGCAATATAGATGTATCTAATTTCTTTTAACACATGCATCTATGCGAATCATTACCAAGAAAATTTGCTTGCGACAGCTTTGTTCCTTCCAAGGCCAATTGACGAATCCAACCTGTTTCACATAGCCATTGACACGCGTCCTGCCAAACCCCAAACCCCAGGGCTTAAGAATGCAACGAACCCCGAACAACCTTGGAAGAAGCCCAGAACCACCTTACACCAAGTTAAAACCAGGATGAAGCCCCTGGCTATCCATTCCATGCCTATTATCAACACCAAAGAACAAGGCAGCAAGAAACCCGTCCAACCGATATATTCGATGCCTTCTCATATAATATCAATATCATATTTGGTAGAATAAACAGCTACACATAAAATAGCAGAACGCAAATTATGTCCTACGCTAACTCCCCAACCCTCTCCTCTCCATTATAGATACACACAGCCTAGAAACTCAAGACTCAACAGCCTTAGCGCGCAAACCAACAAGACGGCTCTCAGGCGCATGTAGTGCCAGAACCCAATACTCGATCTTGGTACTAGTTTGTTCAACACGGTAGACCTTCAGTTCGACGGCGGACTTGTCGGCGCCAGAATCTTTCTCGATAGCCGCGGCGCGGACAGCATCCAGGGCGGCGGAGTACTGGCTGTTCGGGTCGAAGGAGGAGGGGGATAGAATGGAGATGGACTGGGACAGGTCGGTATCTGGGGAGATCAGGGAGGAGAGCTGGTCTGCAGTGAGGGAGGGGTGTTAGCAGGGCGGTTCCAGGGTATTTGTCTTGGGAGTTTCAAGGGAGCAAGTCCATGAGGGAGGGCAGGAGGAATTAGGAAATGGAAACGGAACAGGATCAGGACATACCAGCACTAGGCCACGATCCCTTGGCAGCACCATCCCACTTTAAGGCCACAGGCTCGAAGGGCTCGTCTGTGTCGGAGATGTAGTATGCGTCGACGGACTGTAGCGGCTTTGGGACTGACAGGGAGCTGTGCACGGTCTCGGTTTTGACGGTGCCGGCCCCTTGCTGCGGGGCTTGGCTGCCACTTGAATCTGCGTTGGCTTTGTTCAAGAAAGCCATGTAGGAGTCGTCGGAAGACATGATTTGTGTTGTAGTTGAGAAGGCGTACTTGGTGAGGAAGGAAGAGCTGGTTTGTTGCGGTCTTGAGGTTGCGGGGAAGATGTGGGTTTGGTGCTCTGTGTTTGGGATGCGAGTTCTTTGGCTCGTTTGTTGGTATAGACTGTATAGGAAACGGTATTGAGGTTGAGAATGTTTGATTTGGAAGGTTGATCTTAGGGTGTAGGAGGAGATTGGCAAAGCCCGTTTTCTTGCTGAAGCTGGCAGGGAAAAGTGTGGGATGACGCAATGGATCTTGGGCTGGTGCATTTTGTTCCACCACTGGGTTGTGAGATAGGAATATGGTATATTTGAACGAAGAAAGAGATTGAAGGTGTTTTAGAGAATGTAATTAGATATTGGAATAATTAGGAAAAGGGAAAAAATTTTAGTTGGACATTTCGGGTCCTTACAGACATCAACCAGATATATATCAGAGTGATGGGAAATACATGTTACGGGAAATATATATTCGATGATTAAGAAATGGATATGAATTGTAGAAAATGTTCCACATACAGCTTGGATATATTTATAAATTTACATAGACAATGTACAGCTACATGCAAATCGTGAAGGATATTCGCTTTTTTATTGAATATGAAACGTTGCACTACCGCCAACCATAGGCTTAAACATCTTAAACAGTCTCCACAAGGTCCTTCTTGAGGGTACCCATGAAGGCCTTCTTCTCCTCGAAGGTCTGGAAAGCACCGTGACCGAACTTGGAGGAGGTATCGATCCACTTGAGCTCGACCTTCTCGGTGGCTCGGCGGGAAGTCTGGGGGTACAGAGTCTTGCGCAGAGTCATAACACGCTTCTTGACACCGGGAACGGAGCCCTTGACCATGACGAAGTCGTTCTTGACCTCACCGTAGTGGACGAAACCACCCATGCTAAAGAAATGTTAGGATTTAGAACACAGGAGGAAAATATCAGGGAGGAACATACGGGGTGATCTGCTTCTTGGAGATGTCGAACTCGGTGGAGGCGTTACCCTCATCAGTACCCTTTCCAATGCGGAAGATCTTGTGGTTGCAAGAGGTACGGTGGTGGTATCCGTCCTGACCGGCACGGGCCACAGTCCACTGGACGTGGTTAGGGTGCCAAGCACCAATACAGGCGACCTTACGCAGACCCTTGTGAGTCTTGCGGGGCAGCTTGGTGGTACCCCAACGGGAGGTGACACCGGAGAAACCGTGACCCTTGGTGACGGCGATGACATCAATCATCTCGTCCTTCTCGAAGATGGAATCGATATCGATGGTCTTCTCGAAGAGGTTGCGGGCGAAGTCGACCTTGTCGGAGACGGAGCCACCGTTGACCTGGATCTCCATAAGGTGGGCCTTCTTCTGCTTGATAGGAGTCTGGCGGATCTGGGTGTGGGCGAGCACACGGACGACAGTGCAGTACTTCTGGATGCGCTCAAGCTCGCGGGTGATGGAGGCACCGGAGCTCTCGGCGTGGGACTTGGCGTACTTGGTGAAGGCCTTCTTCTTGGACTTGTACCAGTTCTTGTAGAAGCGACGCTTGACCTCATCGCTCAGGTGCTCAGCCCAGACGGTGGTGAGAGAGCGGAGACCACGGGGAGTCTCGATGTAACCGACGACACCAACGGCAACGAGCTGGAAAGAAGAAAAAAAATCATGTTAGAGCCCGATCGCTTTTTCCTCCACTTTCGCACACAACGGGAAAAACGTACAGGAGGGGTCTCGATGACGGTGACGGCCTCGACAATCTCCTTCTTGTGCATCTTGGCACCGGGACGGTCAAGGTCACGGACGACAGTGGTCATACCAGCCTTGTAGCCCATGGAGGCAGTAAGGTGGACGGGCTTCTTGGCGTCATCCTTGGGGAAGCTGTCGCAAAAAAAGTCTCAGCACACAAATCCACAAATCACGAACTCATTCAGAATGTACTGACCTCTTGACCTTACCACGGTGACGGGCAGCGCGCTTGCGCGGGAGGTAGGCAAGGGAGCCTGGAGATATAATCAGTATACTGCACACACACAGAGGTCGTATTTCGGTATTTCGAAATTTCGATATCGAGGAAAAAGGTGATCACGAACCGTGACGAGGCGCTTCGAACTTCCGGTGACTCCTGAATAGCGAAAGCAGGTCAGCAATTGTATTCAATGGCGATTGTATATGAATCTTCAATCGGGATAGACTCACATCTTGACCCTGTTATCGTTAGTCGTCGAGGTGGTGGGAGGACGATCTGGAAATGTCGAAGTTGATTTTGCACGCTTGGTGTGTGGGCTAACCTAAGCGAGACTCTTGGCGGGTATGAGCCTGAGGCAACCCACAATAACCCAAATTATCTAATCCAGCCCTGGTCTTGTCACGTGCCGTCCAGATTTTCCGGCCCCTGGGAGACTTTTATGGGTCTTCCTGCTGCCAAGGCAAACGGCCAGCAATATGGTTTTTAGGACATCCACATTGTGGGCTGGAATGAAATGTAGGCCAAAATACGTAATATTTAGGACGGTAATACAAGAGTAATATAAAAAAAGGAGACGTTATAAAATTTACTCTACCAAATTCCAGAGTATCAAACAAATGATTTGCTTCAAGGATGCCTAATGCATCATAAAAAAAAGATTCACAGTGAAAAGAGACTAAGAAATCATAAAAAAGAAGAGAACGAACAGACATCACGAGTATTCAGCGCACGCGCTTGAAACCAGGTAGTCATCGTAACTCGCACATTCATACCGTACATCACACACTGAAAGAGGAAGGACAGGGAGGAGCAAGGAAGCGAGAGATTTGGGGGGTTGCTAGGTTTGACCAGACCACACTAGTCTGGTCGGAAGAGTGAACACTTTTTATGCTGTGGGCTCGACCTTAGATGGAGTAGTGGCACGGGCATTTCCGGCACCATTAGTGGGGTTGCCAGCAGCGCTACCATTGGGGCTGCCCTTGGAACCAGCAGCAGCCTTCTTCTCTTCCTCAACTTCGTCATCGTAGTCTTCATCGACCTCCATCTTGCGCGCGGGGGGCTCGTGGGCAGGGGGAGCCTCGGGGGCGAGGAGCTTCCTCCTTGACCGGGGTGTTGGCGGAAGGAGGTCCAGAGGGGGAGCGTTGGATGGGGGGACAGAGCCTTCAGCCATCGGAGGAAGACTGGGGCCAGCAGAAGGGCGGGGAGGCATATCTTGGATCGAAGGCAGAGTAGGAGGGTGGTGGGCAGCCTCCGAGGGGTGGTAGTTCTCATTGGCACGACGGGCGTCCTCGCGGCGGGCCTCGGAGGAGCTTCGTCGTTGCATCTCACCAGGAGAAGGCAAACGAGCGGGTGGACTCGGGCGGCGGCTGTTCTGGTCATCCAGACGAGCACGGCTCTCTTGATTTTCATGCTTCTTGACTGGACCGGCATCAGCCTCCCATTCGCGGCCGCGCTTCATTGCAGATGGGGGGCGATCTTCGCGATCACGGGCGGCAGCCTCAGCAGCAGTAGCAGCCGAAGAAGGGGCCGGGGCACCAGAAGCGATGGAGTTACCGCCTGGGACTTGTGGGGGGAGAGTAGGACCGGGGTGGAACTGTTGGAGAGGGTATCCTGAGCCAGGCGAAGAGGGACGCTCATCGCGAATAGGGCGAATTTCAGGAGCAGGACTGAAAGGACGATTCTGGTAAGGAGGAGCACCGCCGTTGGGGCCGGGAGGTCCAGGGGGGCCAGCAGGAGCGGCGGGTAGACCAGTCGGCATGGCACCTCGCGCACCAAAGGCATTTCCGCCACTGGGGGCGCGTTCGTGGCCTGGACCAGGAGCATTTCCAAGCTGAGGTAGGGTGTGAGGAGGCGGGTAAGCATTGGGATCACCCATCTTTGGCGAGCGAGGCGCGCCACGGGGATCTGGGAAGGCCCGACCAGGCTCCTGTCGAGGACTTTGAGCGGGAGCACCGGGGATCCGAGCATCGCGCTGGTCAAGACCGTTCGATGGGGGACCTTGGCTCTGAGACTGAAGCTCGTTGATACCACGGTTCCAGTCAGGGATCTGCCTTGGGGGAGCAGGAGCCTGTGGAGGCGGACCGATGGGGGCTGGGGCACCCCATTGAGGAGCTGGAGGTGCACCAACGCCAGGTGCCTGATAAGCCTGAGGATGAACATCCTGCGGCTGAGGCGCGGGGGCAGTGGGCGGCTGTTGTCCAGCCGTGCCAGCAGACAACTGACTTTGAAGCAGCTGCAGACGAGCCTTGATGTGGACGTTGCTCGGATCAAGGTCCGCGGCGCGTCCGTATGCATCCAGGGCATCGGCGATCTGGTTGTTGCACGATTCGTACAAAGTGCCCAGGTCATACCAAACCTCCGAGATGTAAGGGTTCAGGCGGATCGCACGAGAGTAGGCATCGAGAGCATCGCGGTATTGGTTGATCTGGTAGTAGAGAACACCAATCGAGCACCAGAAGGTAGGGTTGCGCCCATCGCGATAGACCGCTTGCTGGTAGGCTTCATACGCCTTGGGGTATTTCGCCATGGACATGTAGCAACGACCGAGGAGATACCAACTTTGAGCGTCATTGTTATCTGGAAGAATTGATTAGTTTCAATGTATACAATTCAAATGGGGGATTCAAAGTGTACTTACCAGCATTAACAGACTTCTCCAGAAACTGGATGGCCTTCTCCTGGCTCTGGAAAGCATTACTCTGCTGATGGTAGAGCCATCCAAGTTGCTGGAGAACTTTGGCGTGGTTTGGATCCCGCTCAAGGACACGCTGGTAGGCAGATTGAGCAGACTCAAACTAAGGATTTCATGAGTACAAGGTAAGAATCAAGGGTGGCAGGAAGCATGGCTTACGTCTTTCTGTTGCTCGTGAACATGGCCAATCTGGAACCAGATGTCTTCTTCGGTCAGAGGGCGTGGGGGTCGCTGACGATGTATTTGAAGCACTGTGATGGATTAGTCACGGCTCAAGACTCATACCAAGAGATTTCACATACCTCCAAACTCTGGTTGAACTTCTGCTGCTGCTTGTATATGATTCCCAGGCGGAAGTAGATCTCATTGGCCTTCTCGAAATCGGGCGCCATACGCATCACCTGCGAGAAAGCCTCTTCCGCATGATCCAGAGAACCATAGCGATCATACAAGATACCGATTCCATACCACAGCTTGGGTTCCTAGTAATGGGGATTAGAATCAGCGACTAATATTTCGGAGAAGATGTGAGGGGGAGAACGGCTTACCTTAGGGTCGCGCAAGTGATAAAGGGCTTGCTGGTAAGAGGTGTATGCCTCTTGCAAGTTATCCATCATGAGGTGGCAATGGCCCAAGCTGCCCCAAGTCTCTCCATTGCTCGGATCCAACTTCAAAATATTCTGCAAGTACTCAATCGCTTTTGGGAACTGCTCTTTTGTCCGGAGAATGCATGAAATGGCATTCATGGCTGAGATAGACCACTGGTTGTGACGCAGGGCCTGCTCATAGGCATTCATCGCACCCTCTAGGTCGCCCATCAATTCGGTCAAGCTTCCTATAAACGAGACTGTCAGCTTTCGCCTTTTTTTTCAATCTACCGGGAATCTTTACCTATTTGAAGCCATACTTGTTCATTGAGTGTGGCTATCTTCTGTGCGGTTGTGAGAGAAGGGACTCCCTTTTGACCTTGCACAGGAATTGCGGACATATGACCATTGGCCTGTGCCTGCGCCTGCGCATGTGCTGCGAGATGCGCTGCCGCATGGTGAGGAGCTACACCCGCGGTGGGTGATGGTTGAGTATGAGACATGTTTCCCGAGAATCGCGAATATGGTTTGAGTTGAACCGTGTCCCGACCGAACTCTCGAAGTGAGTTTGCGATAGGGTGATGCAATCCAAGTTTACACCACTATTAGACACCGATCGAGTGTACTCTTGTGATCTTCCACGCCGATCCTGAGGCGCAATTTCCGATCGACGCAAAGTGAAGGGGGAAGAAAAAAACGAAGGACGGGTCGCGAAAGAAGTAAAGGTTCCTCACGCGACACTATCCAGCAGTGAAGGGTGGCAGTTTTTCCAAAATCGAGTAGATCACGCTTTTCCCGAAGATAAATGAGTGGCGCGAGATGGCAGTGACACAATCTCGGGGGAGGTCACAGCTAGAGCTAGACGCGCGAAGGTATGGAAAAAAAAAATAAGATGTTGACGAAGGCGAAGATACAAGGCGATACTGTGGGGAAAGGGGAAGCCAGAATTGAAGATGATCCGAAAAGCCTAAGGGGGAAGAGAGAGAGAAGAGTCGAGGGGCTGGCAGGAAAGGTGAAATTCGCCAAGAGACGCTAGTGGTTGCGTAGCTCCCGGCCGTCACGCCTGATTATCTAATCCAAGCTGACGGTCAGGAACGGCTTAGCGTTGTGGAGAAAAGATCTGGAGGCGGTTATGCTCGTTTTTTATTTTTTTATTTTCCGTTTTGTCCTTTTTTTCTTTTTTTTTTTTTCAAATTTGTTTTTTTTTTTTCATACTTTTATTTAGACACTATCCTTACCCGGCTATGAAAGAATTAAGCATATAAAAGGTATAATTATTATTACTTTATATATTTCTACACAAGTATAGCAATTAATACAAAGTCAATGCCCAATTCCCAACACACGAACCTCCGGTAAAAGACGCCGAGTGGGGACTACCCCCGTGGTTGCCTCTAAGGTGCGTTAGTGCGACTGTGCTCCGTGTAGCCCACAGGGCCGTGCAGCCGCATTGGCTTTCCCTCAGATCCCTGTTCCCCCCCTTTTGCCCAGCACTTTAGTACCGTACTTAATCCTCCGTATAGCGGAGACCACCTCCGAGAAAATAATTTTCTTCTCTTTGCATTATTCGACCTATCCGTATTCGGTACATATAAGCTACATTAGTTATGGGCACAGACCAAACCCGGAATTGTGCAGGGTGCAGCTGTCGAGTGACCCCGTGTCCCTCCTTTTTTTTAAATCATTTTTCTCCGGTATATACAATTCCAAACCCCCTTCTTAAAAGTCCATGAATTTTGTCACAAGTACCATGCAGGGTACCTTGACTTGCATATTCGCCCCTTCCGTCATTATTGTTCCTTTAAGCGGCTTAGCGTCTTTTTATTTATTTTCAGCCACAGGCTCTGTGCTTGTGGCTGGTGCCTGTGGATGCGATGATCTTGACATTTCCAGTGGAGACTCCCGGATGTGACAACTTGACCTTTTTGACGGGAATTTCTCCAGGGCTAACGGAGTATTTACATACCGTCTCCTATTCTGTACTCCGTACAAAGTACATATACTAAGTATAGAATATACATGGACATGTCATAGAACATGTGTACCTTAGATTTTCTCCCAACTCCACTTGTGCGTGGGCCTCATTTTCCAGGGTTTGCTAGCCGAGCCGTTTTGTCTCTGCCGTGAAACGGGGGCTTCCCAACTGTCTTATATACCTGCTCCTTAGAGATCTGGGTTGCACAGCCGTTGTTATTTTAACTTGCCGACCGAGTCAAAAAAAAAAAAACCTCTAGGTCACTCTAATTGACATTGACATATTTACCTACGTACCCTTCTTCTTCTTCTTTTTCTTTCCCTGCATAGAAGATTCTCACCCTTAATTAGTCAGTACAGGATACATTTCAAAAAAAAAAAAAAAAAAAAAAATATCTTCGATGCAACTGCAAATCTCGGAAGCATGTCAAAACAGCTCCCCGGGAATTACGGCAATGCCCCGACTAGAGACAGATCAGCCGCGCGCATGCCACACTGCACTGCGGTCCCATCATTGTGTCCACTGTGGAGACCATGATCCTGAGACCATAAATAAATAGTAACTGACACCCCTGCGACGGGATTTTGCAGACGCCATGCTCCGACGTGGGTATGACCGTGCGACATGATTCCTGAGTTAGAATCGAGGCAGGGGGTTGTGGGCCAGGAAACAAGGCTAGACTTCACATTGCAGGAATCACTGGCGCTACCAAGTTGACTGAAAGAAGAGTCAGGTAACGCCATCTGTCTTACTCCGTATTTCAGGTCAAATTAAGTTCTTAGAGGTGGCTTAACTGCACGGTCAACGGTAACTTCGTCCACGAGTAGACCCTCCATTTGCTTCGTGGATATAATACGCCCTCAACACCCCGGGGTAGCGATCATAATATGAGGAAGGAAAAAAAAAAGCAAGGCATCTCAAAGCCAACAAAAAAAGAAAACATAAAAGTTTCAAGTGTCTTGCCAAGACTTGATAGTGCAAAGCGCAGGGATTGAAGACCGGTCCAGTTGGGGGACAGATGTTCGATTTGTGTGACCTCGACAACCAAAAGTCAAAATAGATGCGTCCATTTTTCTATTCTCCCCGATCACTGATAAGATAGGGATCGTGGGGAGATTGGCCTGAGAGTGCGCCATTTCAAATCGGGCTCGGTGTAGCTGCGTGGTTCAAGGACGTGGGGAGGGCACAGATGCTTTCTTGTGTGAGGTACTTTCTGTTGGGTAACATGTCTGTGCTGTTATGTGTTGGAGACACGAGGAATATAAGTCTGGTCATATGTAGTAGACGATGCTTATCATTTGACATTAGGTGGTTTTAGGCGATCAGGTCTCATGGTCTTATGGTTGCATGGTTACCCCAGGCGGGCTCAAGCCTTTTAACGCGGGTCCCTTTCAGGTACTAGACCAATAATACCAAGCAGTTATTGATGTGGGCTGAGCTTCCAAATCTAGCCCATCACATCTTGACTTGTGGCTGCAAGCCCCATCAGCCACAAATTGGGGAACTTGGATTTCGGTGGGATATGTTGATAGTGAGGGATTATTTTTTGAGAACTATTTGAGTGATCTACTTCCCAAGTATAAGTTTTGCTTTTTGGATCGCTGCTTGCATTTGAAGCATCAGTTCATCATTATATATATTGCAAGGGACCCAATTTTCCAACTTAGTGGTTGAATTTCTTTTTTTTTTACGGCTATACTCCGTACACACACCGTCTTTGCAGAGGATTACACTGGACAAAGCCAAAGTATCCAAATGCCCAAATCTTGTTTTCTCGCAACTTTGCTGCCCAAAGCTAACCTTCCCAATGGACACGTGATCCCATGTGACTTGGATATTTGTAGTGGAAAACTTGATTTGAGGCAGTATATCAAGAAAATGGTATAGAATACTAGATCCAATCAAGCGTGGGTATAGATACAATTACAAGTTACTAGGAGAAAAAGTACCAGTGGACACCAAAAGCGCTCAGAGTTTTGACAATGAGGATCCATTGAGAGCCAAACTTCCAACTCCGCTTCTTGTCAAATTGAGAATGGAAATCGATCGGAATTCTATATGCGCTACGATCTAGGAATATACTCCACCAGATCGGACTATTACCAGTTTGGTTGAGATGTATAAGGTAAGTGAAGGAACCAAGTGATGACGGGAGGGGCCCAGAAAGCATAACTATGTGTAGCAAATAGCCCTACATAAGCTATTATCAGAACTACGAGCATCATGCCGGAGTTTATAAATACGAGGATCGAGGATCGAGCGCATAAGCATACGCAAGCTCTCCCGACTGGTACGAAATGTCAAGATTCGCGAAGATCAGAACCGACATTCGGAATCTCAGAAGCAGCCTCGGTTGTTTCCAAGCATCTGTATTTCACGTCTTCAAATTCATAATGCGATTCGATAGCGTCGGCGGATATTCGTCGTGTGGTTCAATAAGCTTGCAATAATGTGCTGGAAGTATTAGTGAAAAGTACCCCATATGGATGCGGGACAACCTCGGGAAGGGAAGTCTGATATACGTGTCGTAGGGCGCGGTTGGTGGCTCGTGCGTGAAGAGCCGGGAAGAAGAGCTGCCCGGATGGATTGCTGGTTGGAGACACCTCAGCTTTGCGGGTAGTGAAAGGGGAGGGCCCTTTGTGTATAAAGTTGTACTGGTCATCTTCCAGGGAAATATGCGAGTAATTGCAGACATGTCGGCCCAAGATGACAGGTAGATAATTTTGTCGATCGCATAGCTGTGAGACTTGTGAGATATGGAACCGTCGATCATTTTTGAGGGTAATCCATAGCCGGCGCATGAGCAGGCCGGCTACATGTTGGGTGGCTGGTTTAGAACAGCCAAGTTTGGGGGAATGATTGATCTACACCCGCCACCTGTCATTGTCATGCCATGCCATTGCGTTCTTGGCTAGTAGCAGTTGTATCTGTTGACTGGTTGATCGCGGGCTGAATTTGAGAAAAAGCACATGACTCTTGGTGTTGATTGAGCAAATGCTGACAGCCAAGGGAGTTATGGACAGCGTGTAGCCGTAAATAAAGGAAAAACAGCGGACTAGACAGGGAGCTCGGCAACGGTGCCGTTGCCGAGCACAGAACGCGCAATCAGGCGCTTCTGACCGCTCAGCCAAGCAGAGAATACGGGATTGTATTCAATGCCCAGGAATTCAGATAGAAAAATCCTACAAGCCAAGAGCTGAGCTCTCGTCGAGGAAAAGAAATTGGGAAAGCGGATGTCGGAGGCGTTGATTCGCCAAGATAATCGGATTCATCTCAACAGGACAGTGGAATAAAAGGGCCAGAAAGCCAATACTTCCAAGACTTTCAGGGTTGGATATCTGGCAAGAGGATCAAGAGAGGTATTTATTTTGGCTAATCCTATGCACCTGGGGTAGACTATTGACTAAAGTTAGGTAAGATTTATTGAACAGACTGAAAATAATTTCTCCAAACTCGAATGCCAACACGCGCCAACCTCTCGGCGTCTGGGCGCCTGACCCTTGGCCCATGGGGGGGGAGTCTGCCCCTGATTTGGGCGTAGGCACCTATGTATATAGTAGCCCTGTGAAGTCCTGTGGGGGTTATATGAGTGCCAAATCACAGAATTCAGATGTCATACGGCTTATCCATGTAACTTTCCAAGGCTAGAAGATTTCAAGATTATAGAGATTGGGCAATAGGAGTAATACATGTCATCACGTGCGTACAGCTGTTACCGCCAAGACTCCAGGCTTCGTCTCAACGCGGATCATCTCATCACAATCGACCAATCAAAGGTCAGCAATCGTTTACTTATCATCCCCGATGGCTGCTTGGCGTCTTGGCGGGTGGTAAAATCTCGTAATTCATCTGCACCTTTGACCCCCTAGGCCACTTAGTATCTTTGTTTCATGGTAGGACGACTTTACATCTTGTCCAACACGGCCCTACCCTGTTATCAAGTACGTTCTAGATGGCCATAATCGGGATCTGAGATAACAGGATCGGCAGGATGCCCACAAATGATTCTTGTACCCCATACAAGGCTCGACTCAATGCCAAGGGCTCGGCATCTGGGCGTCTTGGCGAGAGGGATTGCAAACAGCAGGAAATGCTCCTCCGCTGTCTTGCACGGCCTTTTCTGGGCTTTCCTGCCTTTTCCGCTCTTTCTAGCTGCGGCTCTCCGTGGTCTCTTATAAGTCTCTCTTCCGCTCTCTCTGCCCGCCCCCTTCCATCTCCGACTTGTCTACCGAGAGCCCCCTATGCCAGAAATATTACGATCACGGAAAGCATGTGGTGAATTCTACATGCAATAGTCGCCCGCTGTGCGTCTAACTTGTACGACTTTTGCTTCGTCTTTACCTCCCGCTTTTATTTCCTTGCCGGCCATGCGGTCACCGGAGATGTCATATAGTCCCGCCTACTATCAGGATCAAGGACCTCTTGGAACGACACATCCTCGCTCGATCATCACCCCTCCACCGGCTACCCGTCGATCCCAAGAACAATCCTCTGTATTGGGTCATCCCATAGGTGGATCCCGACCCTCGTCTCCTATACCGAGCTGCGACGTCAGTCCGCGCAACTCCGGCTCACGGGCACAACGGGTATACCATAATCAGACACTGGGAGGATCTTCCTGGCCCGGTTCAGACCCTCGAGAGATCGACTCCGCTCCGGCCGGCTCGACAAAGGAAGAGCGGGCTCAGAGCAGCTGGGCAAATCGGCCCTCATTAATGCCGGGGGAACATTCCAACCCCAGCATAATCCGTGTCCGAAAACGAGCCATTCCAGATGACGAAATAGTCACCAATGAGGGCCAGGATGCTCTCCTGATGCTGGTAAGTGCGCAACATAGTGGTCCAATGTTTCATATATATTAATCAAAATTGGCAGTTCCGTCTTACAATCGTCCCATTCTACTCATTCGGCGCTTCTCTATATACCATCTTCGCCTTCCTTTTCGCCCTCTTAGTGTCACCTTTCCGTCTCTGCTCATTTTCCCCATACCTCCGCGCAACGACATTCGCATCACAACTTTGCGATCTCCTTTCTCCTGTCCTCCACATTCATGAACGGCTCGTTTGCTTGCAGCCACCATCAGTGGAAGACCGATCATCCTCGACCCAATCGACTCAATGGATCCGCTCAGAGCCAGATTCAGACCAACAGTCAGTCTTATCTGAGCCGAGCGAGGTCTATGCTGTGATTGCTTCATTCTCCGTCCTCGTCCTATCCCCATTACTCAGCATTGTGATCCTCCTCTTTGCATGGACAGCCGCATTTTTCTGGATTTTCTCCATGGTCCTGGGTAACCCGGACGGCACCGAGCGCAAGGATGACGGCCGCACCGCCGTTCTTGGAGTCTGCAAATGGTGGCGGTCATGGCTTTGCAAAGCACGGAAATCATAATAATCCCCCAACCAGAGCCTGCCAGAAAGAAGCAGGCCAATCAATGATACATCTCACCGCCAGCTTCACGAAAGCTGCATCACCCCCTTCCCTTGCCTTGAAATATTATCTCACACTGCATGATACCCTCCCCTCTCGGTACATAGGCGTACACCGGGAATACGTGGAACGACCTAACTTTACTTTACTTTTATCCTTCACATGCTGATATTACCTCCGTCCCTGGTGGCTATGACTATACAAATTTTGCATCGTTGATGCGTACGGCGTCTGGGGTTGGCTTTTATTTTTACACGGCGTCTGGACGGGCGCACAGTGACCTTGAAATTATTTCCACGTGTACCCTTTTTGTTATTGTGTCTTGCAGACTATCTGGGTTTGATTGAGGATCCCCCTGCTCGACTTGAGACTTTCGATCTTGTCTTGTCCAGTGAGCTGGTGGGGATTTTTGACCTTGGAACTGTACTTGTATGTATGAAACTTGTATGTGAGAGGAGGTTGTATGTATGCACTGCTCTCGAGTGCGAATTTGATACCCGGGTTTATTGCTTTTGATTCTTGGTATTTGCTTGAAGTAAACACTTACAGTCGGTCGCTCTATTTTTTATGAAGACGTAGGACTTCGATAATCCGATCTAGTTGACTTAGGATGATGTTAGGGGACGTTATGTTTAATATCCTACTTTGATGCCTCCCTTCTTAGTTCCTAAACTTTTGACAAAGTCTAAGGTTGTCGTCTCTTTTGCCCTGCCAGATGGGGGCTAGTGTAAAATGGAAAGTGTATGTGAGTGGTATATGAGTCTCTGGGCTAGCAAAAACCGAACGGTAAGATATGTACTCTTCATTTTACAAGAACATTTACTTCCCGGCTACTATGTAGTATTCCAGACTGGGATGTGGATGGGAATTTCCCCTCACTATTCCCGCTTGCCTTCACTGCTCCATAGGACTAGGACTATCCCTGTAGGGATATCTTCACACTTTGCAATTCTTTATTATGACCACTAACAGCCTTATTTGGCTAACATCTTAAACCCCCTGATCCCTGAGTTATGTAAGAAACTCGTGGCTTAACTAATTTTATTTCAAAGAACTTCCCTGGGTGGCCATCTTCAACTACTATGAAGCCATGCATCCCATCCAGACAACTGGAGGCCCCAGCCTCAATATATCCATTGCAGCACCTCCGATATGGACATGTGCCGCAGGGGACACCATAATCGGCAGCGTGAACCGACACTCGCACATCGCGACCCCAGATGCCAAGATCTCTGTTACAATGATCGGACTCACAAAAGCCCGCTTAATAACAGAGGGCTACCCATCGAAAACCACATACTACGGCGACTGGAAGCTTTTCAACCTGCCATCCCAAACCTTGTTACGTGGACCCATACACATACCCTCACCCAGCACCCCAACCGACTGGATCAACATCCCCTTCTCAATCGATATCCCTGAAGCGGCTTCGATGTCAGCAGTGCGCGAACACGCCCAAGCAGAGAGCTTCATCCCACTAGAGGCAAACTGCATCGCACAACACCCGTTACCGGGAACGTTTTCCACCGAATGGACCGGAGCCAAGGTCTGCATCGAGTACTACCTCCAGGCGCAGCTGCAGTATATGCGCAATGGCTCATGGCAAATCGAACGTGCGACAGCGCCCATCATGCTGGGCTATCCGACGGTAGACGCGGGCGGGATCCGATTTGCGTTGCAGCGGTGCAGTATCGTGAGCCTGGTGCGCAGCCAGCGATTGCTTCCGTCGATGCGCGATGTGGATCTATCGTTGACGCAGAAGACGCAGAAGATTCTTGGGTTAGCTTCTGTTCCTGGATTTAGTTACAAGCCTGTGATGAGTGTGCCGATTACTATTCAACTTGATAATTCATCGCTGATTTCGCTTATTATCAGGGTTATACCGCAGCGGGAGGGGAGTAGTAGTACTATTTGGGATGTTGTGCAACGGGTCGATGTTTTGCGATGAAGGTAAGTATTCTTTCGAATATTGAGATTGTTGTTAAACCGAGCAAGGAGAGTCTTTATAGGACTCCTAAGGATGAACATGTCTTTGTTCAGCATTTGGGTCTGGAGAAAGCGTTTGAGCAGCGCCAGGATCCTATTGTAACTTTTGCTGGGCCAAGTGATACACCGGTCGATATTGGGAGGTTGCTTCGGCTTATTCTTAGACACGATGGTTTGATGAGTGATGGGAGGCGTCTTGGTATTTTGGCTAGCATCCAGCCTAGTTTTGTCACTTTCAATACTAGGCTGAGTCACTCGATAATATGGCAGACCTCTCTTAGTATTGCTGGGGAGACGCGAACTGTGTCGATGAAGATAGTGGTCACGGTGTACAACAGTGCCACCAGGTTGTGAGGTTGTGTTTTGTGAAGGCCATGAGCTTTTTGAATTTGGCGGCCTCGATTTTGTGGACAGAATTCATCATATTGCATGGCGAGGGCACGTCGAAAAATTAACACAAGGCAAGCAACAGCGAATAGCTCAATGATCACACGGCTGAACACATGATTGAATTGTCATATAACATCATAATTAACAGATAATTATCCGTATAGAGATATTACATGTATAGACATGGGATTATTAAAAGAATGAAGCTGCGGCAGCTTCAATAGTTACCCGTTCGTGTTCAACACCATCACCATCATGGTCGACAAAAGAATAATCAGGGTCATTAGCTTCATCATCAGACAGGTCAATGGCCTGAACATCCAAACCAGCAACGCCACGAGACAACATCTGGATCTTTATCTCCATATCATGTTTTCTCTTTTGCTCTTTTGCCTCTTCCTCTGTCGTCCTCTTCAACTCCCTCTCGTACACGCGCACCTCCTCTTGGTCCCGGGCATTATCCGCCCATACCTTCAGGTGCTCCGGGTATCTCAAACACCAGACCACAATATCCCGTGTTGCATGTGCATCCTCCAGCGCACTGTGGCCCTGTTTCCCGACTTGGATATCATAATTGACCAATTCATTGGTAAGAGTTTTCAGACTCCATGTGCGGTTGAGTGGTTCACCGGCGTGAACAGTGTAAAATACCGCTTCGCTGGTAATGATAGAGGAGTCGACAATGTTCCAGTGAATGATACCCAAGACGTCAAGATCATTGTTGAGAGAATGGCCAACGAGGACAGTCTCGCTATCCATGAACTCCCATAATTTCAAGCGCGCTCCTTCCCAGCCATTCAGCGCTGTTCCTTTCTTGACAGCCTTGTTCATGGCACCAGGAGTCACCCCACTGAACCGAGAATCCCAATTCACGACTTTCGTTTTCGGCTGCACATAGTTGTCGATGAGGACTTTGCCAGTCAAAAAGTCAATTGCGCTCAAAAATGCAAGCTCCCGACGCCCTGCCTCGACTTGCACCATCTCACAGTCAAGCACGATTGCTCTCCTTTTCGGCAAGCCATCTGAAGAGCGAGGAACTTGGCGAAAATGCCCTGTCTTTGGAGGAGGCCTCTTCGACGGGCGTCTGCTGACATCTGCCAAGCCAGCCCGAAAGATGAAGCCTCTTGTGACCAGACGAGTGTCCGAGTGACATCGTGCCGACAAGTAGCGAAAGATCAAATTTTGTTCGAGCGGCTCGAGGACAACATGGTAATTTGCATTTTGGGTGGCAGGCGATGAGGAAATCGGGGGTCCAGGTTCAGAGGTCTTGCTCCATAGGTCTTCATAAGTCTCTGCCCTCACTGGCGCACGTATCGGTGCCTGGTTTGATGTGCGCTTTTGAGCTGGTTTCGCAGGTTTGGCAGGCAAGATATCGGAGCGATCAGGCGACTTCTCAAGCTTCGTTTTCTTTGGAGCAGATTTTGCAGGTTTGGCAGACAAAGCCTCAAACAGATCCTGGGACATCTGAAGCTTTGTCTTCTTTGCAGCGGATTTCGCAATGTTGACAGACAAAGGCTTGGAAAGATCCTGGGACTTCTCAAGCTTTATTTTCTTTGCAGTGGGCTTCGGGGGATTGACGGACAAGGGCTCGAAACTGTCCTGCGACTTTTCATGCTTCGTAGTCTTTGGGGATGGCTTTGCAGGCTTGACAAAAGACTCTGACAAATCCGGGTACTTGTCATATTTCACAGACTTTGAGGCTGATTTCGCTGGTTTGGCAGAGAAGAGTTCAGAATCCTCGAAGTTCTGTTGCTTTGTGCTCTTTGGTGCTGGTTTTGCTGGCTTGACAGACTTGAGTTCGGAACCATTTAGGGGTTTTTCATGCGTCTGGGAGTGCTTAAGCAACGCTGTTACATTGCCAAAAGATTTATCGCATGGACCGCAGGCGAGTTTGTGGCCTTTGGACTCAAAATGAGCCTTGACGGCGCCAATGCTTTTGAAGCCACCTCTCTGACATCCAGGACAGACAAATAACTTGTCAACGGTCGTGGGTGAAGCCATGATAGAAATATAGACTTGTTTTTGTGAGTGTAGAACTAATATGGAAGGATCTCAGCAATGTGTATGTCTTGCCTAATCGAGCCCAAACGTGGCAGGCAGGGACTGACGTTACACTTGGGTGACTGCGAGAGCCTATGGATCAACGGGCCAATATAAAGTCGACGAGATATCCTTTGATAGTCTTTGTCAAGATTATCTTGCTCAACATGAGCCGGTCAGATAAAAACGCAGAGTGAATTGATAATTGACCTCAAGAGGGATGAAATTGGCCAAGCCGAGATTCTGCCGAATTCTACCGGGTTGTTTTGGGCCTGGAATATCAGGCAAACGAAGGCATTCGTCACCAATCACAGAAGAGAAGAGTCTTTCCAATAACAAGGCGAAATGTTTGTATTTTCGATTTGAAGACTATCTCATTTGAAATATTTTTCAAATAACGTGCTCAATAGGAAATAGAAAAACGATGAACACAAAGATGAAGCAAGTTAAGACACCAATTGTAGATTCAGTGTTTGCCACCGTAAAGAAAAGATTATGCTAAAGTCCGGCCAGAGTGGGTCCACGGATATTATGATGGCATTGCAAGAGTAGAAAATCACTCGGTGGACTCCCGACCTTCTAAGAATACTTACCGGACTATTAACTGAGTACATTCGAGCTGTGACTTGACTGTGATAGCCGTAGAAGTCTTTCTCCGATGGTCTTCTGCCGACACTCGCACTGCGCGAGAAATTTCATCACATGAAGTATATACCAGGTACATGTTTAGAATTCCCTTTGGTGATAAAATTGTTTCATGACAATGTCGATTGCCCAGGTGTTTCCCTCATATCGTTATCGACCAAGTCCAATCGACCTAACACTCTAACGCATTGGTGTCACTCTAATAATCCACCTGGGCATACTCGACGAACAGGTATAAAAACCTTCATGGCGTCGGTTGTCATTCATGATGAATGCAACAGAGTTGGGTATAGCACCTGCCTGTAGGGTGTTTATGAGGACAATTCGGACATAATCTGAGTCCATAATCTTGTTTTTCTAATCGAGAGGGGAGTACGGAGTACATGCTCTCTTCATTTCCAGATGTAAGGGTGAGTTAATATATACAGCCGCCAAGGACGGAAATGAGACTAAAAGGGTTCGAATATGGAGTGTTCCGTGCCTAGGATGTCAAATTGTCAGATGAGGCACTAGCAGCCGGAGCTAGTTATAACTATTTATTTTGTAATTACTGCTTATAGGTTAGTATTATTGATTTCTGGAGAGATTACTGAAATCATCATCTGGCCTTTTTACTACCTAGCTAAACTAAGGAAGTTCTAGTATTTAATAGTGACTTATGGGAATATAAGAAGTAAAAATCAGATTTTTAGTTCTAAAAGGCTATCAATATGCAGAAACCAATAATTTTGCTAGGTCAGAAAACAAATCAAACAGCGGACCTTGTTAGGAAAACCTGAGTCTTCCCTATCTCTCCCCTCATGCGTTGTCTTATATATCTAAAGCTCTGGGTCTAGAGTTCTTCTTCGTCATCAGATATATCCAGATTAGAATCTACCTGCGGTACTTGCAGTAGGAGCATAGCATCTTCCGCCTGGAGGCGCAATGTCTCTGCATATGATACGCCTGGAAGTCCTTGTGTGGCTGCACCTGATACGTCCGGAAGTTCTTCTTCCTCATCAAATACATCTCCTATATCAAAATCCACCCGCTGTTGCGGTAGGAGCGTAGCATCTACCGCCTCGGGGCGCCACGGCGTTGGTACGTCCGGAAGTTCTTCCTCATAAAATGTATCTCCCATATCGGGATCTGCCTGTGCCTCCCGTAGGCGCCATTCCTCTTCCACCTGGAGGCGCCATGCCACTGGATCTGGTGCGTTCGGAAGTTCTTCTCCCTCATCAGATACACCTCCCATATCAAAATCTACCTGCGATTCATACGGTAGGAGCATATCATCTTCCGCCTGGAGGCCTAATGTCGCTGCATCTGGTACGCCTGGATACTCTGGCATATCCCCACGTGCCACCCTCTTTCGAGCTGGAAGGGTAGCTTCACCATCGTCGTGTATGTCATCCAAAAAGCCTCGTTTGGGTGCTCGTGCGGGAGCAGGAGCAGGAGTATGAGCAGGAGCAGGAGCAGGAGCAGGGACGGGAGCCTGAGCCTGAGCCTGAGACTGAGCACGAGTACGAGCACGAGTACGAGCGCCAGCAGGAGCGGGAACGGGAGCGGGAGCAGGAGCAGGTGTAGGAGCAGGAGCAGGTGCAGGCGCAGGTGCAGGCGCAGGAGCAGCTGCTGCCACCTTAGGCCTTGCTGGCCCCCTCCTCCTCCGGACTCCCCCGTCACTGCCGGTGGCTGCCAACCAGGGTTGTTCGGTGGAGCGAGTCCCCAATTGGTGGGATCATGGTGTCGGTAGAACTGACAAATATCTACTAGAGCTTCATAAAGCTCATCATGAGCAAGGCCTCGAATAGATGCTGGTAGATTGGGTATTTCATCGATGAACGACTCACGCATGTTGGTTTTACGGATGCTTGACTGAAAAAGATGACTAGGCAGCCCACCGACACTGATATGTATATTCTGCTCTCGGTCGTGAATTTTTCGAATAATGTTCATTACTGTAGTTCGGGCTGGGAGGTCCGAGTAGAGACCAAGTCGATCCCAAAAGCTTTGTTCGCGTTCTGAACTCATACCCAGGAAGAACTTAGACTGAGGCATTTTCTAAGATAATAACAGAAAATAATGATATATGTAGAGTTGAATTGTGTTAGTTGTTGGATTGTTGGATTGATTGAATGTTGGCTGTGTAGATAGAACGAGAGTTGGAATGGAACTCATCGTCCATTAAATACTTGACACGCTCTTTGTGACCGAGGCAGAGTTAATTTAGGGCATGGCTGCATGGCATTGAGATTCGAAAATACATTGTTATCTTTGGGATTGAGAGAGAAAGAAACAAAGGATATGGCTAAGAGAGCTCTTGACAGGGTCTTTGTGACTGAGGCAGACTTAACTTAGAACAAAGCTTCGTCGAGAATGCATTGTTTATTATCTTTGATATCAAAGAAAGAAGCAAATGATATGGCTTAAAAGGTTCATGAGATCACCCTTTAACTCAAAATGTGGTAAACAAAGGGGAGATTCTTTAAAGATTTTCTAAATATAATGGCCCAGCAACAATGGCAGAGTAAATTATATTGAAATACTATATGGCCTTATATACTCATCTGCTTTGACATAGAGGTACTATACTACGTGGAACTAGGAATATGCAATCATTGCGTCTGAGTTAGTTGCCATGTAATGTCAATTGGACATATTAGAGGAGAACACCAAACGGCAAGAATACGTTCGTTCAAGAAGTGGTCTTATAAGTGATGGACCTAATTCTAATAGAAGAAAGCAAAGATTGTCAAAGGGAGCACCATATGATGGGGATTATCCATTTATGCAAAAATAAAACCTGTCCTCTAAGGCTATAAATATGCCATCATGTCATCATAATTGTAGCCATCCAAAGGAGCCGCTTCATTAGCAGCTAGTATTGCCTCCATCGCCTCATCAAAATGATAAATTGGCTCTGGCAGCCCTACCAGGAGAGTAGACACTTCACTACCTGAGTCCTCTCTGACTCGATCGTGCCTACTTTCTGATTTATTGTGAGCTATCCACTGGCCCTGTGGTTGCACGGGCTCCTCACCTCGATCCATAATTTGTTTATCTGAGATTTGCCCTCGGTATATCGAATGCTGCTAAGTAAGTTAACAAGATGTATTGCGGCTACTAGCGAAGGGGAGGAAGAGGAAGAAGAATCATTGTAGTTCATTCTAGCAAAGAGCAGGGTCTTTATACCCTGCCAATCAAGCAAACAAACTCTCAGTCTGACAAACAAGCCAGAAGACAGTCTGATTCCAACAAGATGGAATACACGTAGCAACTGCGGGAAGAAGCAAGAAGGGGACGATAGATGATGGCGAGTACTCTCACTGCCATGAAGTCATCTATATAGGCTTTATTGACACAAAGAAACAAAGACCTCGAAGGGCAAAGAGGTCTAACAAAATGCCTGAGCGAGCAATGCCTTAGTGCAGTAAGATGGGGCTGTTGCTGCGCAACGTAACGACCGGACGGTAGCCCATAGTGTAGATCTAGTACTTAACAACTAGCTTCTTTCTAAGTGCAACTCTCCTCTCTCTTCAGGAAATGGGCTAGTACGGCAGGGGTAAAAAAGCTTCTCGGATGCATTCGAGCACGGTGTGTTGGTGAGTACAGCTTATGGAGCTTCATCTGCTCTATCCTGGTCAATCTTCATAAACCCTTCAAGCTGTCATCCAAGATGATCAAAATTGAAGAAAAATGGAATGTAGCCCACCTCCTAACTAGTTTATCTTCTATCAATGCCAATGAGCTGTTTTTGCACCAAAGAAGGCTAGAGAGTGCTACGCAAATCCTCCAGCGAAACATCGAAGTATCTCGGGCCCTTCAATATTAGCCCCTATAGCCTGAATATACCCCATCGATGTCATTGGCCTAACCTTCTACGTCTTAATCTAGATCTGGAGTTCAACATGAAGATGCGAGCCGCAAACGCGTTCTTGTTTATCGTGTGGATGAGCAAACTACACCAGACATGGGAACAGGCAGCCTTTCTAAAGCAAAGGAGAGGCACTATTTGGCAGCTTGGGCTCTCTATGTTATTTTGAAAGAGTAGGACTACGGGCACACCTCTTATTAGCGGCAACTCTTAGCTAAACTACTTAGAACAAGCTGCAAAAAGGCTACATAAAGGTTTACGATGCCATTAAAGTAGAAGATCCTGCAGTTTACTCGATACTAAATGAGCTCCGACTCAGTTTGATTGAAGAATGTCGCCTCCCAGTGAAAAAAAGACTAACAAAATGGGTCGAATAATTTGTCAATTCAAAAATTGTCCTCAAGAGCTTCTCGCCACCATATAAGCAGATGGGACAATCAGCAGCCACTCCTTTATATACGGATCATGATCATGATCTACACACTTGGAAGAAATTCGGCATCGCTTTTCTCCCAAGGATGTTGTTCTCCGAGTTCTCGGATGATATGTTCGTGCATCGCGCTTCGCGGCCGGACTGATACCTTGTATGGAGCCGGATGGCTAATAACCCCGGGCAGAAACTTGAGTGGAATATCCTGGGTGACTCCGTTTTCTATCGGTTTCGAAATACTGAAAACAGTCAGAGCCTGTGCGACAGTGAGAAAGATATTTGCGTCTGCCAGTGTACGCCCAGGACAGGCTCGACGACCGAACCCGAACACAAGCATATGCGGATCACGCTCTGGGAGTTTGCGATCAGGAGAGGTCAAAAAGCGTTCCGGCTTGAAGGTCATTGGGTCATGATAGACGGTTGCATCGTGCGTATATGCCCTAGGAGATAGATACTGGATCAGGAACTACCGTTTCCTGAAATAGACAAGAAAAACTCACCAGACATTTGTAAGAACCGACGATCCCTTGGGGATGAAGTACCCCTCACATGTATCGTCCTGGGTTGACGTATGTGCTACACTCATGGGTACAACTGGATGCCATCGGAGAACTTCCTTGACTAGTGCATTTATGTATGGAAGGTCGTCTCGATCTTGGAATTGGGGTAGTCGATTACCCCCAAGCACTGTGTCGATTTCCTCCTGAGCCTTGCGTTGCGCCTCCGGGAAAAGGGCCATGGCGAGGAAGAAACTCGCAATTGAGGAGACAGTCTACTTTTTGTTAGTCCAATATGATGCGTATAGCCCGGATTTGCTCTCACTGTGTCTGCGCCTCCGGCGTATAAAGATCCAGCTGACCACTTGATGATCTCCTCTTCTTCGGTTCCAGGCTCCACTGGATTGGTTTGAAGAAGGTTGGACAAGAAAGATGGCACGAATTGACCATTACTTATCTGCTGCTTGGTAAATGCGTAGGGAACGTCACTGAAGGCCTCTGATCTAGACTTGTAGCTTCGCGCGACCTTCACGAATCCCGCCCCAGGGAACCAGGCCGGGAGATATTTCACTAGCCAGAAAGTCAGACAATATTCCATAGCTCAGTGTGTCGATGCAATTAATCAATCTTTACTTACTCATTGGAATAAACTCCACTGCCCATGTTGCTGGAAGCAAGGCATATGAAAAGTCCTCCATCGCCTTGTCGGCCAGATCTACAAGAGGGTCCCGAGCATGGGGTTCAATAGTATACCCATAGCCAATTTTCAAGACGATTGCTCCAGCCTCTCTGTTCTAAATTAGCCTTTGCATACGAAAATATCGAGTTATCGAAGAGATGCATTGACTCACTTCCGTATGTGCTGCTGGAGCTTGTCTGGCTCATCCAATACCCTCACTAGGAAACGACTGACTTCCGCCGTCTGGGTATCGTTGAAGCGGGCAACGGAATTCTTCGAACCCATCTCTTGATACAAGTGCTTCCGTGTTTTTCTCACATGGTCTGGGTTTATCAGCGCCCCAAGAACATATTGCCACCCAGACCTGGGGATATCAGTCACCATAGTGTCATATAGTCAATTCAAGGGCTCCACTTACATGTCAGTAAACATATTTTTTGGACGCGAGGAGTGTATAGCGGAACGCTTTTCTAGTAGCTGTACCGCCAACTTAGCATCGTTAAGGACGATAATATGTTTCCCCAGTACAGTGAGTGAGCTAATTGGACCTAATTTGGGAACAGTTAACATTTGAAGTTGTATGTTTCACAGGTGTTCGCTCTTACCATATAGCTCCTTATGTTTCAGCCAGTGCATCCAATCTTGTTGGTCTGGAGTAGGAAGGTCCTTCAGATTTCCAATTATGGGTTGCTGTTTAGGACCTGGAGGAAGAGGCAGCGGATATTGTTTCCGGCCGCGAAGGGTGGTAACAATCCCAACCCCAAATACAATGAGAATACCCAACAACAACGTTGACAACATTATGATATTGATGTTGAAGATCAAAGTTTGAAAGATGAGAGGGGTGGATTTTTCTATGCTGGAAGGGACTCGTTTTTAAAGCATTAAAGAGGGGTTTGCAGAATGGATGCACTCGATCAACGCCTATAATACCACGATAGGTCAGTCATCTGCACGTAGCAGGGGGCGGGATGTACTTGCATAATCTTGTAGTCGCTCTGTACCTACGCTATATAAGGTCTGCCTGTGGGACTTCAGATATACAAACCCTCTGATTGGCTTCTATATTTATACTTTTGACAAGTTGGCAAAATCATTGCCGCTTGTGACCTTGGTGTTGCATCTCTGTTCTGCTATCGAGATCGAATCGCTTATAAACGGTGCATACAATGTAGTAATGGTTATAGCAGCGTGTATATGAAACGTTATACGCCATTAATTGATAGTGAATCGGCTGCCGAAAATGGCTACCAAAGACACTAAACCTGCCTGGGCAGCTTATTCGTTCCGGTATTAATTTTACATGTGCAACAGGTGCCCTCGTGTCGAACCTGTAATTTCTGGATAAATAGAGAGAAAACCCAAATATTCCGTTGACAAGCGAATCTAGATACAGAGACTTACTGTTAATAAATTGTCTTTTCATCCCTGCATCGGCTATGTGCCTGAGTGCGGATGACGATGATACTTATGAGTCGCCTATTTTGCGTCCCCGAATTGTGCTTCATTGTAGGGTAGTAAATACATGGCGACCCTCCTTTATCCCAAACCAATATCGAGGCCTAATTACGAGAGTACTTTTATCTTCTGATATATTTGCCAAGCGAAACACTTCCTGGAACTCTGTGGGGGATCTCAGGGCCTAATGTGACGAAAAAGCGATCATCGGACCCACCCGACTCACAATTAAAGCCTGGGCGCTTTCCGCCTTTAGTGATATCTAGGCGTAGTGCTTTAGTGTCTGCTGTCATGATTTCGTGGCTGATAAAGTCGCTGCGACACTGGCTGAGCCCCAGATTAATTATTGTAGGTTGAGTAAAGAGTGTGGAGTGACACTGCTGTTAGCGTCGTTGTCGGCGGCTGGCTGAGGAAGAACTTGGGTGGTGTGATGGAGAGTGTGATGGGAGCTGACGGGGGAGGATTTGACATGTCTTTTGATTGCAAGTGATATGAATTAGGATGCCTCGACTGAAAAAAAGAATCTTTCTTACTGATATTGAAGTTCCCACGGAAAATTGTTTGATGAGAAACTGGCTTTGGGGATGGGTCTTGGTAGCCCTTAGTAGACAGTATCCCTGCAAACGACGTCATTGTTGGCTGTCAGATTACCAAAAGCTCAGCTGAAGCCGCAGTTTAATGGAGATCGTTGCTAAGCCCGTCATATAAAGGGAGATCACAAGGCCACGAACAAAACAGGAATTCAGAATAAAGAGAATCAAATCCAATGGGGGGCCAAATACAACATTGGAGACAGCTAAATGGGGAAGTGCACTGCGCCCTGGAGAATAACTAGCCCTGGAGAAATGGCGACCTGGGTTAGTATCCCTGACGGCAAAAAAATATTTCGATGCGAAAGATAAAGACACTGTTATGAGTAAGGTTATCCCCTGGAAAGCTTCACTGGAGGTTTACTGACAGTATACATAGAGGTGCTCTCTAAAATCAGGGGGGGGGAGCTATACAACCCAACCGGCAGTGACATGCTAGGCAAAATCTCCATTATGACAGACTATGAATGCCGATGGTGATTATGCCTGTGATGGCGACACTATAACAGAGTTGCGTGACTATAACTCCGACAACCCTAAGATCGTCATCTGCAAGAAAGACGGGTTTAGCCACGGAGGAATTACCAAGGGTTATATTAGATTTAGTGAGGTTGTGTGCGAAAAGTTCGATCCGCGTATGTCGTGGAAGATGGAAATGCTAGGATCGATTTTATTGCATGGATACACCTACTATACCAAGTTGGTTGTGTCATCATTGACCAAAGAAATAGACGACCCTGCTTATGGAGTCTCCGGGGCCCGAGTTAATGATAAGAGCTTGGCTACCAACAATGCTGATAGCTACTCTTAATTTGCGATTGAGGTGCTTCGGTCTGTGATATGTCTGAAAGAATACGAGGATCCGACGATGATGACCACAACTGTAATGGTAGCGTTTGCACAGCGGGAATTCGCGCTAGGCAACTCCAGCTGAAAGGTGTAGGCCATGTATTTGGAACAGAATTTGAGACAAGGATACCGTGTATTTAGACAGGAGTTTATGAGCATTGGACATCTTCAACCCCTGGGAGGGGGTGTGCGCATATTCGGCCGAATGGTTAGCTCGATAGAAACGGTGAGACTGTCGGAGATCCTTTGAAACAAGAAACCAGAACCAATTGGCCTACGCGAATCGCGTGAAATCCATAAGAAAATCTCCTGTGGAAAAGGCGGAAGCTGTGAAGATTATTCCGCGGGTACCTGCATATGCATTATCAGCCGCAATTTGAACTTGGCCACAAAGTCAAATCCCCTGTTAGGATCCATCCCTCATTCTGGGTGTAACTCTGGTGAGCTAAAGCGACATATATACGGGGATTGCTGACTGAAGGTCGCGCGGGATATGCCGTAGGCTGACCAGCATGAGATGTGTAAATTGGCCAATAAGATCAACGTCTAGGCTGTACGCTTTGACGGCCTGGATTAACTAGAAAACACCCTGCCCTAGTCGAGGAGCTCAGATCTTTGTAGTACCATTGATTGTCGACTCATGTTGCGGCGAAGCTTCTAGGAGCGTGAAGCAACTGATCGACGAGCACACACTAGACGAAGAAGATGTAGTAGAGCACGGTACCTAGCATGTCACTCGAAACGTACGTTGATGTCAGAGATGTACACCGACTTCGTGTTGAGACGGGTAATATATTTTCCTCGAAGTGACTCACGGGTATTTGATGGCCGACGGCGCATGCATATGGCGCGATACCACATCTGGCTGACGTGCATACATCGGGGGCTTATCGGCTTCGGGGCCGTTCGCACCTCGCTGCATAGTACACTTAGAAATGTACGATTAAATGCTAGATGAAGAGTAGCCCTGGCGGTATCAAGGAAGGCCTATCAGACCACAGGAATAGTTCAATGCTCCAACGTTGAAGGTTTGTAGAGAAAATGTAGTGGCTGACAGGGGGGTAATCACGGGGTTTCCTAATTGGATTTAGCCTCAACAGGGTAGTACCTGCCTCGATAAGAGTCAGATCACCTGACACTAGTTCAACTTTGTTGCCTTCGAAGGGTATCCCTTCTCCTCCTTTTATATTCCAGGATATTCCAAGGTTGGCTCTGTGACATATCCTTTGGATCACCTTTGGGCCCTAAAAGCTGCAGAACAGAGACACCGTTTGCTGTAGCAACGGAGTGAGCTTGCTTTGAAATCAAACCATTTAGGCGTCTACAATGCCATTCACCACTGGAGAAGAGAACTTGCTCCGGCTGAACCAAAAGGATTTTGACTTCAATATCCAATTCGAGCAGTTGTTCTTCTCCATTATTCCGTCCGCTTTGTTTATCGTAACATCAGTATGGCGGACACTTTCCCAGGCACGCAAGCCCACCGTGGTGAATGCTCCGATTTTCCAGTTGATAAAATTGGTATGCTCCTTTTTTTCACTAGATATATGCAGAGTCTGAAGGTGCTGATTAATATGTTGCAGGGTGCTATAACAACCTATGTTGGACTTGAGCTTTCACTCCTCATCTTAGTTGCGACTGGGTCTTTCCATGTGACCAACATGTTTATAGCTTCCTCGGTCCTCAACCTTGTCTCAGCCCTACTCATGATCATGCTGAGTGTCGTAGATCACAGCAAAAGCCCGAGGCCGTCTGTACTGTTGAGCAGCTACTTGTTCCTGACCCTTTTCCTGGATGTGGCCCAGGCAAGAACGCTGTTTTTGTCATCAGATGACAAGCCTGAACTCACCTATAGCAGCATCTTCGTCACTGCTATAGCCCTGAAGACCGGAATATTGCTACTGGAAGCCCAGAAAAAGTCCATATGGGTGGGCTGGGACGAGAAGGAGCATAGCCCAGAGGAGACGAGTGGCATATTCTCCTTAGGAGTCTTCTATTGGCTCAACAAGATGTTCCTGGTTGGCTACAACAAAATCTTGGCGATTGGGGATCTTTACCCGCTGGATAGCTCCTTTACCGCCAGTTTGCTTCACGATGAGTTTTTGAGGAACGTGGATTACTCTAAATTCAAGGGCGACAAATTTGCGCTGGCGAAGGCGCTTATGCGTACACTAAAAGCTCCTCTTTTACTTCCCATACCTCCACGGTTGGCACTTCTTTGTTTCACATTTTGTCAACCGCTTTTTCTTGAAAAGTTGTTGGACTACCTATCCCAGTCTGAACTTGATGGGAACATGGGGTACGGGTTTATTGGTGCTAGCGTGCTTATCTACTCGGGACTTGCTATATCAACGGGATTTTACTGGTATAGTAACATCTATGAAATGATTACTAGTATGGTCCGCTGCTGATACATAAAAACAGGTACTTCCATCACCGAATGCGTACCATGGCTAGGTCAATACTAGTCAGAGAGATTTTCATTACAGCCACAAAAGCTCGTATCGGAACTGCCGATGACAGCGCTGCGCTGACTTTAATGAGCACAGACATGGAGCGAATCAAGACAGGTTTCAGAAGTTTGCACGAGATTTGGGCGTGCCTAATTCAAGCAGCTCTTGCGGGGTGGATGTTATACAACAGAATTGGCGTGGTGTTCGTCGCACCAATGGGAGTTGTTATAGTCTGCTTCATCGGCTTGGCGATTCTAATAAATTTCACCGGGGATTCGCAGAGGTCCTGGATGGCAGGCGTGCAGAAGCGGGTGGGCTTAACCGCCACAGTCATTGCCAGTATGAAGAACTTGAAGATATCTGGCCTCTCTGTCGCCATTGGCGACTTCGTGCAAAAACTTCGTGTGGAGGAGCTAGCAGCTGGAGGCCGATTCCGCAAAATTGGCATTATTGCAGCAGTTCTTGGCTTTCTCCCGCTGTTGATCGGCCCACCATTAGCATTTGCATTTACCCAAACAAGTTTCGATGCCTCGAGGATGTTCACCAGTCTTTCTTTCCTTACACTGTTGACCAATCCGTTGTCGCAGGTCTTCCAATCTATTCCTGATCTTGTCTCCGGATTGGCGTGCCTGGGTCGAATTCAGGCCTTCTTGGAGTGCGAGACTCGGCAGGACTTTCGCAATGTTCTTGATGATATGAGACAGACTGTTGAAAAGACTGGCCCTGATACTGGAACCTTGTCTGATTTCAAATCGGACTTGGCGCACCCTGTCGTCATCAAGAGTGGAAATTTTGGTTGGGAGGCAGACAAGTTCGTGCTGAAGAATGTTAATACTCGAGTACCTAAATCCTCACTCACTATTGTCGTTGGACCTGTTGGATCTGGGAAGACAACGCTGTGCAAGGCACTACTTGGAGAAATCCCTTTTAGCGAAGGGAGCGTGGCTTTAGGAACTAGCTTTCCTCACGTTGGATTCTGCGACCAAATAGCATTCCTCTCTAACGGATCGATTAGAGAGAACATCATGGGATTCTCTCCACCTGACAACAAGAGGTATACTGAGGTTATCGAGGCTACCTCTCTGAGCTTTGACTTTGCCACACTGCCACAAGGAGACCGAACAAATGTCGGTTCAGATGGAATCGTCTTATCCGGAGGCCAGAAACAACGGGTTTCTCTTGCGCGAGCTCTATATTTGCACTCTGATCTTCTAGTGCTAGACGACGTCTTCAGCGGGCTGGATGCGGATACTGAGGAGAAGGTCTTCCAGCAAGTCTTCGGGCCGGATGGACTACTCAAGCAACGAGGCTCCACAGTCGTATTATGCACCCACAGTATCAGACACCTCCCCGCGGCGGATCATGTGATAGCGCTCGGCAATGGCACCATTGTCGAGCAAGGTAGCTTTCACAAATTGATGAACAGTCAGGGATATGTTCAACGTCTGGGGTTGAAGAGCTCTTCTGATAACGCTGCCCCTACCGAGGAAACGACTTCAGAAAGGAGAGCGCAGGAATCGAAGCCGCAAATGCTACACACGACGATAACTAATACATCATTCATCCCACCTGATACGGATTCGTCGCGACAAGTTGGCGATAAAACGGTATACAAGCATTATTTTAAGAGCATGGGATTATTCCTGGCAGCGTGCAGTCTGCTTTTTAGTGTTCTTTGGGGTTTCTTCACAAACTTCCCAACAATCTGTGAGTCTTCTCTGCTTTCCGACAGTAGAATAACGATTGTGTTGGCCTTTTACTCAAGAGCAATGCAGCCTATCCCAAAATTTGAAGTGGCATTAACTGATGCTCATTATTGCAGGGCTTACATACTGGACCGATGACATCTCCTCGGAGCATCCAGTACATTCTTACGCCTACTACGCCGGTATATACGCTTTGCTCCAAATCTGCGCCTTGATCTCGCTGCTTCTCCTCGGAATCTCGCTATTCATCGTCTCCGTGAGAAGAGCAGGTGCTAGTCTCCACCAGGATGCCTTACGAACACTCATTCACGCACCGCTATATTTCTTCACCAAGACGGATACTGGTGTCGTCACAAATCTGTTCTCGCAAGACCTGAATCTTATAGACACAGAGCTGCCAGAAGCAACTCTGAATACTCTGTTTTGCGTAAGTTTATTGAAACTATATGCCAACTGAAACTCTGCGATGACTACTAGTCGCCTTCAGAGAGTCCCCAAAGTCTGCCCAATTGTCTGACACAGATCGCAGTTCTTCCAAGCACTCGGACAAGCCGCAGTTATGCTTACGTCGTCTGTTTACCTGGCCATAAGCTACCCGTTTCTCGTCGGCCTACTGTATATCTTGCAGAAATTCTACCTTCGGACTTCCAGGCAGCTGAGGTTGCTTGACCTTGAGGCTAAAAGTCCCTTGTAGTAAGTCTATCATTACTTACCGCCATATACTGACCGGCTGATATACTTTGAGCTAACCCATGTTTATTCAGTACACATTTTCTTGACACTGTTAAGGGAATTACCACTCTGAGAGCTTTCGGTGAGTGATAAACGAAATAAAAACCATCACTGAAAACAGGTCGAATAAGATGATGGCAAAACCCCACGTTGCAAAATTGTGTTCCTGACACTCCAGATACATAGGTTTCCTTCCTGACGATGTTGACAAGAATACACGCCTAATTGATGCCAGTCAACGACCCGCATACCTCCTCCTGATGATTCAACAGTGGCTGAACCTCGTTCTCGACATCGTAGTCATGGTCATCGCAGTGGTAATAACAACTCTTGCCGTTCGTCTTCACTCTAACTCTGCTTTCGCTGGTGCCTCCTTATTTTCCGTCATGAGTTTCGGAGAAATCATGTCAGGCATTGTCACATACTACACCAAGCTAGAAACTTCTATTGGAGCGATCGCCCGTCTCAAGGTGTTTAGTGAAGACGTCAAGCCCGAGGATAGAGACGAAGAGGACATTGTTCCTCCTACACTATGGCCTCAAAATGGTGTGGTGGAGTTGAAGGGCGTATCCGCGAGTTATGGGTAAGAAAAGAATATATTCATCGATACCATGCCAATTACACAACGTGCTAATGTTTTAAATAGCACAGAGAATGAGATCGATAGCACGGCCAACTTAGCCCTCCGCAACATCAACCTCACTGTCAACACAGGCGAGAAAGTCGCCATCTGCGGTCGTACCGGCAGCGGCAAGTCCACCCTCATCGCTCTCCTCCTCAAGCTCCTGGATCCCACCCCCGAGACAGCTGGGAACGCAATCATCGATAATATGCCGCTCCACCGGTTAAACCGGACTGCACTCCGTGAGTGCATAATCGCTGTACCCCAGGAAGCAGTTTTTCTACCCGATGGGTCCACATTCCGAGCGAACCTAGATCCGTCCGACGTTTCAACCCCCGAGGAATGCGAAGCTGTGCTTGTCGCCGTGGACCTGTGGAAGTTTGTCCAGGAACGGGGTGGCCTAGAGGAAGGTATGAGCGCGGGGACGCTCAGCGCTGGACAAAGGCAACTCATGTCGCTTGGGCGTGCGCTATTGAGACGTTTTGTTCGGGCGCGAAATGGCTCGGACTGCGGTATACTGTTGTTGGATGAAGTGAGCTCGAGTGTTGACCGCGAGACGGAACGTGTCATGCAGGAGATTATCAGGGTGCAGTTCAAGAACTACACAGTTCTAGCGGTCAGTCATCGGCTGGATATGATTATGGACTTTGACAGGGTTGTTGTTATGGACACGGGGGAGATTGTGGAGGTTGGAAATCCTATGGTGCTGGCTGGACAGGCGGAGACGAGGTTTGGGGATCTAGTCCGGGCTGGGGCTCAATAGAAGGAAATGTGGGCTTGGGGACTTTCCGAGAAGGTTGTTGGACCCGATGGTGTATTTTTTGTATAGCCGCATACAGTGGATGCGGTTTGGTGCATTGGGATGTCCCTATCCATTCATATTCATCTATCAGTCCGTTTCGCCTTTCGCCTGCAAACTAGTTCTTTTCTGGCTATTGAAGAATTCCTCGCTTTATAGTAATCAAGTGAGGGATAAATTGAGATCAATTCACAAGAACATGTATGATTATAAATCCTGTCATTTCGATCTGTCGAAATTGAAGTACACAGCACTGGTCTTATAGTGACGAACATCACTCTTCTTATAAAAATGCCAAATTTCGAGGGTTGAAGCTGAAATTGCCCAATGTTGCGCCCACCCGTGCCAAGCTTGCCAAGCGCGGTAGCTAAGCCTTTCCCGCCCCTGGTGGACGAACTCAACCTTTCTCCACACTTGCTGCGGATGACTTTAGGCCTAGGTTTTCTGATATGTGACACAGCGCACCAAATCTTCTCTTATGGTGACTCGGTTGCCTCCTTTATCTATTTGATCTATTGTTCTAGATCAATACTCAGATTCCTTCAACTGGAGATGTTCAGGAATTTTTTTGGTTTACCATTGCCTTGCTATCGCGAACTTTGGTAACCACCCAAACTCAATAGGCGATGCTTCCTCTATCAAGTCGGGCTTATTATCGCCTTCAGTTATTCCTATGGTTGATCACTAGGTTGGGACTTTTCATTAAGAGCATATAGAGGAACGTTGTTAGAAATCTTTAAATCTACGATTCTATTCGAACTACACACAAAACCTAAGAAAACGACCAGGGTGGAATATTGATTCTGCTATTGGAGTGACTGTAGATATGGGAACAAAAAGCCGATTGATGGTACCATCTAGTAACGCGGCAAAGCTCATTACTGGCAGTACTGACACCAAGAATATCAGTTTCATTGCTAAACAAATCATGGGGAGACAAAAGACATACCCAGTTTTCACTTCCGGATTTCTTCACACATGTCTTGCCATGGCAGCATACGCCGTCGCCCTGACGTGGGTTGCCGATTCTGCAGAGGTCTCCGGGACGATGGCAGCAAGGGAACTCATCACAGGCGGCCATGGCCATAGCCAGGAGAGGGGCGATCCAGAAGATATACTTCATTTTGATGGAGTGAGAGAGCTATTAAGGTGCTTTTAAGAGGACGAATGTCATATACTGGAAGCTTGTAGTATAAAGAATCCGATAGAAATATGATATGTAACAGAGGATTGATGAGAGATATTGAGATTGCGAGGAACATATCGACGGATATTTATACCTTAAGTGCTGCACCAGAAGTCAGTATTGCTGTCTATTTTAGGAAGAGAATGTAGATCATGGGAAACTTGGGAAGCCGGACGCCGTGCAGTAAGTCGGACGCCTTATTCTGCACATTAGACACTTTGAGTGACCAAGAGTTCTGGGCATAAGGCTGGAGGTAGGCAGCCATGCAGGATCATGCAGTTGAAAGATGCATTGTGGGGGAGTAAGGTTCTAACTAGCACAGTCGACTCGTCTAACTGCCACAGCTATACAGAGGCTCACCACATCTTGGCAATGGACCCTGCCGATCTCGATACTACATAGAACCTTGCTCATTGTATAAGGCCAACGCCTTGGCGCTGGGGCGAGAACATATTTTCTCAGTGTGTATTGGTCAAGCTAATTTGGAAAATGGCTGTAGACAGATTTATGGATTAACATGTAAGAAATTTGGTCTTCCACTTATCGATGTTCAATAGTTGGAGAACCATGATTAAAGCAATTATGAAGTAACTAGCGGTGGAAGTGGGACTAAAGACTCGACGTTCGACGGCGCTGAGCCGTAGTGACTGCTAGATTACCAGGTTCGAGCACGAGCCCAAGACGATCGTCGGTGAGGTATTTTTGCCATTGGATAGCTCTGACAGGGCGTATCACCTGCACCAGGAAACCAAGCCACAGCTCCTTGACCGTTAACTCCCCAAACTTCCAATATTTCTACATTCTTTCACGATCATGTCTTGGGATATTGTAACTGCTAGCGATGAATGGCTGATCGAGCTCTGCCATAAAGCAAAAAATGAAGGGGGTCATATTGGGGGACCGATGGGGGGATCAAGTCGTCAAGCTTTCTGATCATGTCGCGGCCAAGTTTGGCTTAGGTGTCTGCGCTCCTGAAGCAGCTATGTAAGAGTTTAGAATAAAGGTATGAGGTGGTTGGGGGTTGTGCGAAGGGCAGGGTAGAATGGGGTTCTGCTGAGCTAGATCACTAGATTTCGACTTCTACGATAAGAAAGGGAACCCCTCGCCAGAAATACACGCGTTTTAAGCAATAGCTTAACTTGCTGTCTGAGAAGAAACTGCGGCTCTGAGATGCGCCTCGTGGAATTCTATGCCACTGAGCTCAAGGGGCGAGGGCATGAAGTGCTAGACAAACCTACACAGCCCTTACAACTGAAGCCCCTCGCTGCTTATGGGAACTCAGTATATAGGTAACACCTTGACCGGTTGGTTGGTGGGAAATGGTTCAGCTTAGGGGGTCGATCGAAGAATGTCCAGTGGTGATTTGACAGCTTCTTCGAGGTGCGTTATTGTGCGCATTGTCAGTTGGAAGACGAAGAAGGGTGAGTCAATGGCAAACTCACAACACAGGTACACGCCTCGATAGCGCGGCTGGCAGCAACTCGACTTCCGTACTGTATAAGGTCGGTTAGCTCGCCATTCTTGAAACTGTCGATGTAACTGTTGGTGTACTATTTGTAGAGGAGGTGTAAGGAGGGCAGAGATGGGTGAAAGGCCGGTATAGCCATATGTACCACTGCGGAATGCCAACAGGATGGAGTAGAAAGGAGATGATGAGGAGTGAGGCAATGGGGAGAGAAGAAGAAGAAGAAGCGAGAGGTGTAATTACAAGGAGGCGAGACACAAAAGACTGCTTTTGCGTACAAGAGCCACTCGATGTGACTCATGTATTGTTGTTGCTATTCATGAATTACCAGTCTCCGATCCTCCAGCTCTTCCTTGTCACATCGATTCCATTGCCATCGAGGCGTGCGAGGCGTGCGAGGCGTCGCTTGCTCTTCCACCAAGGGTCGTGGCCGTTGCAATGGTGATACGGGATCCATGATTGCGACAGATCCGAGTCACCATTCAAGACCAACCTAGTTGTTGCTTCTCAGCCCCAATCTGGCAGCGATGCTGTCCCAAAGCAGCCGAAGTTCGTCAATGCGTGAGTCGGTTGCTTCGAGGAGATCAAGCTGGTCATCCAGTGCCGCGCGCTGCTCAGCGATATGCGCCCGAATACGGCATCGGTCCATGAAAAGCTCTCTGATCACCTTATCCAGGGTCACCAATACGTCTTTGATGGCTATCAATGCGTTTTGCTGCGATGCGGTTCGCTGAGAAGCATCAGGACCAACGGGGTCAGGAACTGCCGTGGCTGCGGGGTCATCCGCGACAGGGTCGCAGGGCTCTTGGAAAGACATTTCTGCATAACGGTTAGTTGACCTCGCTCTGAGTTTAATTTGTGTCCAATTCGTTAGGTGATCGTACCGGAACGTCTGGCTCGAGACAGCCCTGTGATTGGATGGCACGAGAGAGGTTGATATGATGGGGGATGTGGTGAAGGTATGAGAATAAAAGAGAGTGATCGCAGGAGAGTCGATATTTGTTGGTGATGGGCTAAAACAAGAAGACGAAGGTGCGACGGTCGCATTTCGTTCCTTCCATATGAAGTACACTTCATTGTTTGTATGTTCTTTTCTTAAGTGCCATTATTATCGCGCAGAAAACCAAGCCTCTCACTGTATTGGCATTCATCGGGGCAGGGGTCCGTTGTTGCATAAAATGCTCGAACGCAATGCAATTGACACGATATCCCCCGAATAAGCCTGTGCCATTGATGTCGAGTGTTTGTAGGAATAGCCTGGATAGGTATTGAATGCTTCATTTTTGAGTTGTCTTAGATGGACGCTGAGTGGAGAGGAGAGGAAATTGTGACACATGTCGCACCAAGTTTGATGTCCGTGAACTGAAGATTAGTTGACCGGCTTAGATACTATAGCATACCCAGGCAGCCAGTATACGCAGTCAAACCTCCTAATATCTGGCCCATGACAAGAAAGAAAACACCGAACTCTCGTTCGGGGTGGCGGCAGTGATATTTCCAATGGATAATCTGTTAGGTTGAGTGTGTTAACGCACGACGTTATTTTGACGTGATGCAACATAGCCATAGAAACAGAAAGGTTCCGAATGAGTTGGACTCCCGCAGGATATTTAGGGCTTTCACCTCAATCTCCGTGGCGATGAGAGTGCTGGCTTGCACGTAATGTGCGGCTGGCAATGCTTGTATGCATGTTTGGGTTGAATATAAATGCGCACTTTAGCCGCCTTGTTGCCTGTGATTCTGTGATTGTGGAGCTTGGCTGCCGAAGAAAGGCCACAAACTGTTAGAAGCGTGCTGCGTTCTCTGACCAGAGTCCTCAGATAGCTTCTCGTCGCTTAACATTTTCTGGATGCCCTTTTGGATGGTCGAGGTATCACCGGGTATGTGACGACGGTCTCCAAGTAAGGCGCGAAATGCCTGAATTGACCAATTCCGGACCAGAACAATCTCAGAATAAGATGGGTAGAGAGAGGTGATAAAAAGAGCAAAATTCGGTCCTCAACCATACAAGTACCAACGCCTTTCTGGTAAGCGCGACATTGTGTTCGGCCTCAGGCCATCGATGCCTAAGGCACCAAAGAGCGAACGAGCATGATTTCTTTCGAACCTCACGGAAACTTTGACATTGACTTCTCCAATTTCAAGGCTCATCGGGCGGGGTTCAAAAAAAGGACATCCTGCCTTGTTATTCCAGTCATGAGTTTTCCGGCAGCCATAGACTTCGGGGTTGGGAGTCAAGGTGCAAATGTTGACCCCGCTGTCGCTGCTAGTGAGTATCAAGAATCCTTTGCTTGAGCGGTTTGACAAGTACCCCGATGATGACGAGATGCCAGAACTTCCACATGGTGCCAAAATAGTGTCAACCGAGAATCATGGGTTCAGCTTCCGGGCCACAACCATGCGCATTGATGTTGAGTTGGCGAACGGATCACCTCAGACATTGTTTATGAAGGTTCTGTTAGAGGAGAGAGGCAGAGCGATGGTTCAGGGCGAGTTTGAGTCTATGGCTGCGATTTATAATCTCATCCCTGATTCTGTTCCGAAGCCGATCGGCTGGGGTACATATGAGACAATACCCGATACACACTTTTTCTTATGTGGATTCAAGGATATCGATCAAGAGTTGCCAGACATGCGCCAGTTTACCAGGTGCCTTGCAGCCCTACATCAGAATAGCAAATCACCAACTGGGAAGTTTGGATTCTACGTCCCTACTTATAACGGCAACCTGTCGCAGCATACTGAGTGGTCGGATAGTTGGGAGACTTTCTTTGCGAAATCAATGCGACACGCACTCGCGCATGAGATTTCAGCTAAGGGTCCCAGCGAGGAAATCGAAGTGCTGAGTACTGCTATATTTGACGAGGTGATCCCACGTTTGTTGCGACCACTCGAAAGTGAAGGTCGATCTGTCAAGCCCTGTTTGATGCATGGTGATTTATGGTATGGGAATACTGGGAAGAATGCCATCACAAAAGATCCCATTATGTTTGATGCCTGCTCGTTCTACGCTCACAATGAATGTACGTTGTATGCATTGATTTAAACGACAGCTTTAGCTGACATTGAGCCAAATTTGATAGATGAACTTGGGCAATGGGCACCAGTTTGCAACCGGTTTGGTTTCGAGTATGTCGAAGGGTATCATTCACACTTCCCCATATCATCTCCGGTGGAGGATTACCAAGGTCGCATCGATCTCTATAAACTGTGCGTGTATACCATGAGTTCCCGTTTCCGTATGCCAGATAACTTACCTTGAGATTTAGGCGGTTTAACACACATGTCTCGGCCCTTTTCCCTGAAAATCGGGATCTTCGAGAACAGTACGCAATAGTTCCTCATCGGCTTGGAATAGAACGATGGACCAACTGACATTGCTCATAGAATGCTTAATGATATGAGAGACTTGATCGCTAGATATAGCGATATATCCGAATAGCCTCTAATTAGTTTGCCTGGGCAACTTTGTCTCTCAGTGACATTCGAGTATCACTCTCTCTTCCACCGTGATATCAAACACACACTTCCTTTTTATAGTAGCGTACCTATGAATCGTCGGAATTGTTACTATTTTTATCTCACCGAGGCCTAGGCACATGTGTTGTGCAGCGATTGTACGGTTGCGTCACTCTCATTGGCTAATAGAACGTGACTGTGTCAGCGCATAAAATGGATAAAATTTCATCCTAACTATTGTAAGTACTGGAGACACTGATTCGTGCCCGGCAGACAGGCTTATATCAAAGTAAATGTCAACAAATTTAGCCAAATAAATAGGCGTTGTGGGTAAAGATCTGCAGTGTCTCAGAGATATTCCAAGTGATAACGGACATGGCCCTACGTAGCCCTGCGCGGGCCCTGGCCAATGGCCCCGCTTATCTAACGCGTGGCCTGTCTCCAAGGCACCGAATTTTGTTGAAGGCAGATCAATTTTTTTGTTTCTTTCACTGCTTGTTGTCATTGTGCATTGCTTTGAATCTATACTTATTTGCATCTTTTGCTTTCTTTGATCGTTTGACCTGTACTTGTTTTGTCGTTGCTTGGCGCAGACCCACATATCAATTAGACCTCATTTTTTAAGATGCGTGAAGATTACGCTCAAAATGACCCCGGTCACTTTCAATCAAGTCATCTATTGCAAAATCAGCCACCGGTGGCTAGTGAACACCCACCTGCTTACGGAGCGTGGAGCGATGACGGCACAGATGAATATTCTAGATGGGACCCACGAGGATGGTCCTTGAAGAGCAAGATTTTCCTAGCGATTGGCGTCGTCGTGGTGATTGTGGCTGTTGTCGTCGGTGCAGTACTAGGAGTGCGAGCCAATCGGTATCCCAATTACTCGAAACTGAACTACAGCTTAAAAGACGACTATTCGGGATCATCCTTTTTCGACAACTTTGAATATTTTACTGGCGCTGACCCAACCCATGGATTTGTCCAGTACGACTCCTACATGTCAAAACGCATGCCAAACGACTGAACTAATGTGAAACCTAGGTATATCGACCGGTCTGCATCCGAATGGCTGAATCTAACATCCGCCACGGACACTTCTGCAGTGCTCAAGGTGGATACCCAATACAAAGGGTCTGAGGCTGCTAACGGGCGCCAATCTGTGCGAGTCACATCCAATAAGACCTATGCTGACGGGCTTTTCGTCTTCGATGTTATCCACACTCCGTACGGGTGTGGTACATGGCCGGCCCTGTGGCTGACAGACCCCAGCAACTGGCCTGAACATGGAGAGATTGACATCGTGGAGGCTACCAACGCTGGAACCTTTGGAACCCAATCTACGCTTCACACGTCGAAAGGCTGCTCTATGAGCGTTAAACGGAAAGAAAGTGGCTCCGTGGATAACGAGGACTGTTACTACGAGGCGAATGGATATACGGGCTGTGGTGTGAAAGGCACCGCGAGTACTTACGGTCCTGAATTCAACAGCAAGGGTGGCGGAGTAAGTCATGATAATAACCATCGATGGATTAAAACCACTTTACTAATAACCACCCCTGCAGGTCTACGCGATGGAGCTCCGTGATGCCGGTATTCGGGTATGGCAATGGGTCCGCTCCAAGATCCCGGCCGATATCACCTCGGGAAGTCCCGACCCATCCACCTGGGGCGAGGCATTCGCAGATTTTCCCAGCACGGATTGCGACATCGGTTCTCATTTCAAGAACCAGAGTATCATTATCAATATCTCTTTGTGTGGTGACTGGGCAGGAGCGAACAAGTACTACAAGACACAAAGTAGTTGTCCTAGCAGCTGCAAGGCATTTGTGCGGGACAATGCGACCAGCTTCGACACTGCATACTGGGAGTTCGGAGGCCTCAAGGTCTATCAGGCCTCATGATTGTTGACCTGCCAACGGTTTTCTTTAATTTCTGAAATGATGCATCTGAGGTTTCGATCATTGCCGAGGCGTTTGGGTGGTGGATTTTGTTTTGACCAGTGGAAATTCCAGGATATGTTGTGCAATCACGGATATGTATGTATCGTTACGTATATGAGGAAACGAAACCTTCATTCTATGCGTTTCGATTATTTGCGATAGTATGATATTTGATCAGAAGTCCAGCGTTCTATATATTTCGTCTTTGATGATACCCGGAGATACACAAGTTGACTAGAAAACTATTGAACCTTGCCTCTCGAGTCGACAGGCCATATTTCTTCGATGACCCCACCTCGATGGGCGTAATAGAAATCATGCAGATTGACTGTAGGGTCAATGTGACTCGGTACCATCTCAACACGATCCCCGACCGAAAGCGCTGGGGTACCCTCCTCCCAACTGAGTGAACCGTGCTCGTCACCAAGAACACCATAAGTGTACCTCGGGTCCTTGCACTCTGCCAATCCACTATCCGTTGTCAAAGATTTCAATCCACTGTCGATTGTGACAGATCGAGGACCTTGTTTGCTCAGAACGGTTGAGAGAATGGTAAGACTGTTGGAATAGAATGTGCCCACGGCATTTCGGTAATCCGTATCCATAAAAATGAACGATCCAGGCTGGAGCTCAGTCACACCTGGTACTGTTGCACAGAACTCGGCCGTTCCAGTTCCTCCTGTAGTGACGACCTCGATGTTGAAGCCGCCCTTTCGCAGAACGTCCGCAGTGTTCGTGAGAATCTCCATAGACTGCAGGCATTGGCTCTTGCGATCTTCCTTATCATGCAAATGCTGCAAATGACCCTCGTAACCATGAAGTCCGATCAATTTCAAATGCTTCAGACCCTGCACATGTTGTGCTAGGGTCATGGCCGGTTCACCTGGTAGGACACCGGTGCGATGAAGACCAACATCAAGGTCAATCAACACTGAGATTGGCTCGTCGATACCGGCTGCGGCCAAAGCCTTATCAATAGCGGTTGCGCCGATTTCGCTATCAACCACTATCCTGATCTTGCGGTGATTGCGATACAGCTCCACCAGCCTTTGGACTTTTGCGGGGCCGATGATCTCACAGGTGATAAACAGGTCGTCGAATCCGGCCTCGGCGATGACTTCAGCCTCGCTGACTTTAGCCACGCAGCCTCCCTTTGCACCCGCTTTGACCATCTTGCCGGCTAGTATCGCGCTCTTTGTCGTTTTCAAGTGGGGACGGATGTCCAAGCCAGTTGGTAGCAGCTTGTTCATCAGCTTCTTGATGTTGGCCTCGACGAGATCGAGATCTGCGATCATGGATGGTGTGTCGAGGGTATCGACCCTATCGCCGACTTTAGGGGAATACATGTTTTGAATTTTGTGGTGTTGAATATCGAGAGACTAGCAAGGGGGGCAATTTATAAGTTGAGAAGATGTAAGGGGCCCGCTATAAAATGTACCCCCACACTAAGACTTGCGGGGTATAATGTTACATTTGGAAGCATCACTTCCCTTATTAATTTGTAAAGGTCAATTATTATGGGCAAATCTAGAGATGTAGTGCAATAAGGTAAATGAATATTTCATTATATTAGGGCACGTTTGTCGACTTTGAATGCATGCTGGATTTCTGCTTGGGGACTTGACTCCAACAAAGCTGGCACTGGGGTCGCTGAAGAAGAGGATGGATTACCAGTACCGCGTGTTTTGTCCTTGTTTCTTCCTGGTTCTTGTTTGGATGGGCCGATGGTGCTTTCAGTTCGGTGTTGTAGCTCGTGATAGGTTTCGCGTTGTCTCGCGTAGTTGTATCTTAAGTAGATGGATATTGGAGAATAATGTACATTGTCCTATTGGCAAGATTTGAGTCTTGCCTACCATCTTCATTGTGACTCAACAAGCTATTGGCTTCAGCGACGGCGGATCAAAATCAGTAGCGTTGACTGCGAAAGTCAGCATGAAATCCTCTTTCACCATCAATGAAATCATCACATACCAATCGATATCATGACGAACCCAAACTCATCAGCTTCTTCCAACCACCTTTCTGCCCGCGAATCCATGACGACGCCTGATCTGATCTTACCAAATTCAGCTTGCAGATACCCCCGACCACTCCATCGCGACAGCCAATGGATATAAAGAGTGTTCCATTGTTCTTCTGTGTGCGCCTGCCAAAGCACCTTTGCCGCTGGCGCAGGCATGAACCCGAGGTCTCTGCAGTCGAAACATGGCACCTTATGCAACACCGAGTATGCCCAGTGGAGGAGATATAAGGCAAGTACCGCACGGCGCTTCGACGTTACGTGTATCCAGGCTTCCCACGATGGTCTCATTTGGGTGCGTTCTTCCTGGAGGAATAGACCCGCGTGAACGACATGGTAGACCAGGAGCTCGACTTTGCGAAAGATAATGTTGTGATCGATCAGGGGCCGCGGTGACCTTGCTGATGGAGAGATCAGAATGATAGTATATATGACCACTGCTTGTAGGGCTGCCAACAGGGTTGTCTCGTCGAGTCGCTCGGACTACCGGAATTTGGGTCAGTTAGAACGACAGAGAAAAGGAAAAGATACTAACCTTATCTACAATGCTGTCTAGTTCTTTTAGAATTGTTTTTCGCACCATGTCCTCCGCACCTTCACATTGCCCATGCCACATTTTGGTCAAGGTTATGCAGTTCGCCAGTGGTGATGGTAGTGTTTTATTTGGTGCAATCTGGGTGGAGTGAAATAAAGGAGGAAGTTGGAACTCTTCGGCGAGCATTTTTGGCCAAGTTCGAAGAACTCGGAAGATTAGTTCCATGCTATGATTTGCGAGGGCTATGGAATTTGTATCCGCTGGTGAACTTGGCTGAGGAGTTGGAGGAGAGATGTCTCGGACCAACTCTGGCGTGTCGCATCCACTGCTGGTATTTAAAGAAAAGAACTCTGGGGTGACTGCTTGCGGAGAACGCAAAGCAAGACTCGTGGGCTGGGTCAGATCCCAGGGACCTAGACCTGTGAAAAAAGAATCGAATAAATTAGGATCGAAAATTGATTGTAACTCTTGTGGCTGTGTCATCAATGATGTATCTGGCAAAGGAGCGCTTGTGGTATCATTGTTGATTCTGAGCTCGCTATTCTCGACTTCCGGGGTGTCGGTTGGATCCGCGCTGGTATATTGACAAGGTATGCTTCGCACAGAACACCGAGAGCAACTAGGACGTTTCAGGTTGCATCTGGATTTATCTGCGACACACTGATAGCAGGACTTGCGTCTCAGAGTATGCTGCGATTTATTACAGTTGTTTTTGAGATGGCGGATAAGCGAGGATCCTGTAGTGGCGTTAGTACCAGGCTCAGACGAGGCTCGATTCAGACATACGATGGCTGAATTGGGTGGCACAGAATGGACAGTCGGCAGTTTTCTCAGTGGATTTCATTTTGGTTGTGGAGCTTGGTTGCTGGAGAGGTGGGTGTTGAATGAAATACAGTTCAATTTAACTCGGAACTCCGGGTTGCTTATCAAGGGGTCCGGGTTGATGGAGCATATAAGCCCGTGCACCCCAGGCCAAAAGTGAATTATCACTCAAGTTCAAGTCAACAGTGAAATGACAGTCAATCATATTTTCTTTTGGGCCTCGGCTGCCAAGTACACATCCCTGCGGTCATTTTATCGTGCCATCTTGCAACCGATCGGGTACAGCGAGATGATTCGTGTAAACAACGACGCTCTTATCGGCTATGGCAGTGACTATCCTTACTTCTGGCTCAAGAAACTGCCCGAAGACAAAGATCCACTACCAACTCACATTGCGTTTGATGCCCCAAGTGAGTATGTCCAGTACTGAGATTTTGAAAAGTTGCTGATACAGGTAAATTAGGCCGCGAAGCTGTGGATCAATTCTACCAGCTAGCCTTGTAAGTTAGACCTTGCCATCAGGATATAACACATTACTAGCATTTTTATATGACTCGTATCTAATTCTACCTCAGGCAAAATGGCGGACGAGACAACGGAGGTCCAGGCGTCAGGAAAGAAATGAGTCGGCAGCCATACTATTCAGCTTTTGTGATTGATTTGGACGGGAACAACGTGGAGGCTGTGTATCTTCCGAAATAAATGCTTGTGTATTAATCTTTGCCTAAAAGAGAGATTATAAGATATATATATTTCTATCGCCATGCCGTGTCAAGAGTCTAGTCCATTACGCCAGTTGGATGTGTTGAGACGAGGATCCCGTTATCTATGTGCGATATATTATAGCGCCTATATCTAATATCATATTATATCACATTATCAACTGGCCTGGATAATCGGGCTACCGAGAAATCTCTGCTAACTGGCATGATATGATCTCTCCTGAATTCAGATATTTTGAACTTTACATCCGTCTTTTTGGTACATCTTCTCGCCTTGTATTCGCTATGAAGCTGTATATGTTTGCTATTTAATGGGATATATAATGGTAACATGGCACCGAGTCTGCAATACAATCAATGAGAAACTATTTTAGTGACCTTTCCTCGAGCTGCAAGTACTGGGAAAGAAGCTGCCTCATAGTCTCCTCAAAACCGGTAAACTGCCAACCAAACGTTTCCTCGGTCTGCCGGGAACTCAGCCTCCATTTTATTGCCGTCAGAGACCCTTCAAGCGGCAACCTTTTATTAGCCACCTCTTCTGGGAAGAACTTCCTGCAGGCAACTTGAACATCCCTATCCCACACCACTCCATTAGGAGTATCCGAAGAGAGAATATATTCCGAATTTCCAGGAACCGTACCAGCGTCCACTGCATCGACATGTGCGCGCGCGACATCGGCAACATGAACCGGTGTTCCGACATAGGGAAACGAGGAGTTGAGCGAAGATGTCAGTGCGGGTGCAAGAACTGCTGCCCGCGTGCCCTGAAGGAGGCTGTTGACTGTTGCAGTTGGGTCTGCGTCCAGGCGGTCATCTGGTCCAATAACTACCGAGGGCAGGAGATTGACGAAGTCAAATTTCGGGAGCGCATGGTTAACAAATGCTTTAGTTGCGACTCTTGCGAGAGCTTTAGATGCCCAGTAAGCTTCCATAGCAGTCGAGAAGGGACCAGTAACACTGGTATTCACATCGTCCACTGAGTCGAAATAAATTATGAGTCGGGATGCAACTATGAATGGTTTGGACAGAAGACTAACCTATATATAGTCGCTTGCTGTCGGGATTGATATTCCATTCAAATGGAATCAGGGTCACGCCTGTGGTGGGAGTTAGCTTCCTGGGTCAAAACAAGAGTGATTGATTGCGTACATGAAGATGTCAAGATTACGCGGCGAATTGTTGGCACGCGAGTGGCTGCTTCCAAGACAGTAGTCACCATCGAGATAGCTGGCTTAACGATTCCAACATCATAATCATCGGTCTGCGGAAAGATATGTAAGCCATGAGAAAGAACCGGTTCATTGGGCTGTATTACCTCGACTGCTAACGGTGATGCAAGGTGAATGATGACAGTAATCCCCCCAAGCACCTTGAAAATTGCATCCGATTCGAGAAAGCTTGGAATGACAACAAACTGGAGTTGTTCCTGATCAAGACTCTGTGCGATCCTCGTACTTTTGTTTTTCAATTCATTGATACTGCGTTCGTTTCGGACGACAGCCCGAACACGATATCCTCGTTCGAGAGCAATTGTGAGCGTCTTGAATCCAATGTATCCAGTAACACCTGTGATCTGTTCTCGATATATGAGAGTCTGCTCCTATTGGGGATAATACGCATAGGGTTTGCCTACCAACAGATGCTCACAGCCAATATCATGGGCTTTGTGTGACATAATGGAAAATCTAGAGCTTGATCTATTAGTTAAATAAAGTAATGTGAGAGTTGTAGTTCGATATAAATAGTCCTGGAATAAACGTGGTATTAACCAAGCCCCCACTATGTGCTTACCGGCACCCGGAGTTCCGGGTTGCCAGGGATTCTAGGTAGACTCCGGGGGATGATAATGTCAGAACAAGAATAAAGGCTCCTTAGATTATGAACAGCAACTGTGTTTTTTTTGTTATGGGCTAGTGCTAAATACGCTGGATTATTTCCCACAGCTATGAACTTGTCGGTATATGGGTTTCCAGAGACAATTTAAATTCTATGGAAGTTGGCAGACCTGCTCTATCTATAAGCGCTGATTATGGACTGAAAACAAAAATAAGAGGCTCATTCACAGGGCAGTAAAAATACAGGCAACACAAAAGCACAAATGGCCAACTTCTACTCTTCCTCTACAACAATCCAACTTCAATCTTGATACCAGCATCTTTCAACCGATCGACGTATTCCACCCCCAAAAATGACGGTGTGACCACTCCACCATGCCCACGAGCGTCCTTTCCCGCCCTATCGGCACTAGTCTTCCAATCAAGCAGTACTCTTGCCCCGACACAAGTGACAAGCGCAGTGAGCTCGTATAGCGCCCCCTCTCGAACAAACGACGCCGAAATTCGAGGCGCCTCCTCTTGTCCACTTCCCCTTCCAACGGCACGAAACTCGGCCCGCTCCACATGTCGCAGCTGGTTCATATCCGGAGCCGAGTCCATGCGCATTGCGAGTATCCGCATGAGTCTACGGATCAATGGAATGGATATGAGGACAAGAAGGACTTTGGTGATGAGATGCACGAAAACAGCGGCCATTACATCATTTGCTGGGAGGTACTCTTCAAAGTGAAAGTCAGGTCCGTAGAGATCTGGATTCTGAGAGGCACTGCGGTAAACAACGGCCTGATTTCCTGGACCTGTGAAGGAAGTTGCCAAAGAGCCCAGCTCTTGTGTGTATCGATAACCAAAGACACGCGCGATCCAGGGTGTCTTCGTCTGTTTCCGAAATGGCGCAGAGAGTATGGATGAGTCACCATATAGGTACCAGCTAGAACCATATGTCTCAAACGTGTCAAGGACCGTGTTCAGAGAGCCAGCGCTCATTGCCTTGATACTGGAGAAGAATTAGCCAATGGCTCAAAGTGACTGCGCAATGGCCGTACTCAAGCTTTCCGGAACTAATTATTTCAGCTGTTCCGGTAGAGTATGCCTCTTGCATTTTGTTCGCAATCAGCCATGAGATAATGTCTGATGGGGTCGATGTTGACAGGCCGGGTATCAGCTGCCTAGTGTCAGCCCCAAGCTTCCTTGATCCATGAAGGTCCTTTGTACTGACTAGTGAACCGCTCTTCCGAGCAACTTCGGCATAGTTCTTGATCACTTCTTGAATCCAGGGGATTTCCGTGGTGCTGCAAGCGGTAAGCTTCAGGAGTTATTCAAGACTCGCAAAGGATGACTTGCAAATCAACATAGTGCGTGCCAAGCGTGGCACATGCTGCCACAATTGGAGTTGAGAATCGATGGAATGGCCCGATTCCATTGATCACCACCCTTGTTCCCTGTATCAGAGGGTCAAGGCTTGAAGGACTGAGCTCTACGATCTCGATATCTTTGTGGATGTCAGAGCTGACCAGAATAATCACAATCAACGTGAAGTCATACCTGGAGACACTCGATTGGGGAAGAGTTCCTTTAACTCCTTTATCACAGCCTCTAGACGAGACAGTGACCTCCCTGCAATACACCATTTGGTGGTCAAAGGGTAATTTTGCGCGATGAAGTGGACACACAGTTTCCCAGTAAACCCAGTCGCCCCGAAAAGAACGATATCGTACATGATTTTGTGTGGATTGTATGGGAACTGGAATATGCTCTACGTAGACATGTAAACCTATCCTTTATAGATACCAGAGTCTTGCTCTGGTTCAAATGTCTAAAGAGACCGGAGTTCCGAGTTGAGCCTCGACTCTCCTAACGTGACCCCGGAGCTCCTCGCATAGTTTCGATTTCAGTAATTTTCTACTTTGATTGAAATTGTTTGCCTTCTGTACAATCTAATACACGGTGATATGAGTATCAATATTCCGAGGAAGTATTTAGGTTGACGTTGCGATGTCGGAGTATTCAAGTATGTTAAGTTGGATGTATCGACCATCCAATCTGTTCAGTCCTGATCACTATAGAAGCTCGAACTAACAGCAGATTGCCATTTGCTATAAAGGAAGAAAATAATCCTTGCCACTTTGATAATGCAGGCTATGTCGAAGCGAACTGGTCCGAATTGGAATCAATCCAGTTTAGATGCTAGCTACCGCAGGAAGCCTGGCCCAATTTGAAATGCTTCATAAGCTGGAGCCAATTACAATCTGTCATAGCATAATGTTAACTTGTTAGAAATATTGTTATATTTTTGATATCGGGACGCGGGCGGAACCTTCTGGCATGGCATCCAAGAAGTTTCCCCGCACCCTCGTTTTTCTTTCCCCTACCCATCTCATATGTTCAGCCATCAGGCTAAGCGCTATAATAATAACACTGGCTATAATCACCGATACTATACACCACCAGGCTATCTTCTACTTCTAAAAGGAGCAATTGGATAGCTAGACAGCGCTGAGCTTAACTGCTCTTATAACAGCCAACCTCGGACGATAATGTCTACCCCATTAATTGATGAGGGAGCAATGCTGAATTTGAAGGAATTATCAGCATGGGCATTTACAAGTATACAAATGGAGATGGAGATGCGCAACTTTTTCAGATGCGTCGACGAAGATCGTCACGCGAAAGTACGCCCATTTTTGTCTCATCTTGGGTTAGACCGTCAAATTGTGAGTGAATGTCCTGTGGAGTAGGATTTGCCTAACAAGTTCACAAAATAAAGGGATATGGGTACAAGATATGTCGAGTTACTGGGAGAGTCGCCCTTCAGAAGTCCAGTGACTTCCAGGCCCTATTATTCCCTCTATCAATTGGAGCAGGTAGTCGCAGTATAGGGTCAGGGGAGGCGATGATCAATGTTGGGCTTCTTAAGCCGGGGTATTGGATTGAAATAACGACTGTCATCGTTATTGATGCTCTTATGGATTGCCTCATTGTCCTTTTACCGGAACCAGGGTTCCTTATAGCGCCGACACAGAGCCAAAGCCTACAGATCGAGCACACTGTTAGTCACTAGATCGACTGGAATTAAATCAAGTGGAAAATTTATAATAAAATGGTACTTAGAGGTTCTTATTCTGTTTGTTTTAAAGAAAACATCAATGGTATATCTTTGATGTGAATCTTCCCAGAACCGATAAAATCCCCAGGGCATTTTGATGATAATCGGTAATTTTGCAATACAGCACAAAACACTCGATGGTGAACTACCTCGAAGATTATGTATGGAGCCCTGGTAGAGCTCTGTATCGATACCGGTAATCAATACATCCATCCACAAAAATCAGAGTTTGAGTTATCACGCGCAAAGCTTCCACGCACTTTACTCCTTCAAGATCCAAGACATCGAAAAGGCCATGGGAGATAGGAATAATTTCCACGAGCTGTCCACCGAGCCATACGGTATTTTCTGGCAAGAAGACTTTGTCGATTCCGAGCACGAGCAACGACTCATCTCGGTCTTTTCCAACGAGCTAGAATGGCCCGACCGCCCTGGTCGGATATCACTGCACTACGGCTATAGTTTCGACTATAAAACATTCGGGATAGACCCCGATATTCCATACAAGGAATTCCCAGAATGGCTCCAACCTCTCATCCCAACAACTGAGGACCGACCTCCAGACCAGGTCTGTCTGCAGTATTATCCTCCAGGCGCGGGAATCCCGCCCCATGTAGATGCACACAAGCCATATGACCAGCTCTACGCGTTATCTCTTGGTGCGCCGGCGATGATGATATTCCGCCGGGGCGAGGAACGCATCGAGGTCGACTTGACCCCGCGGACCATGATGCAAATGAGCGGCGACTCGAGACTACATTGGACGCATGGTATCAGGAAGCGGAAGAATGATACCCTCCCAGATGGGACAGTGAGGCCGCGCGGGAAGCGGTGGAGTATCACTTATCGCTGGCTCAGGGATGGGGAATGTGAATGTGGGAATCTGGAGCTATGTGACACGGCTCAGCGGAGGAATGGCATTGAAAAAGAGAAAAGATCGCTGAAGGCATTGGCGGAGCAGGCTGCGCTTCAGGAATCGGTTGTATAGATCCAGTTGAGATGGTTTTATAACTTAGATTATGTAAATAATATTAGAGCGAAATATACCCGGAACTTGTGTCAAAGCTGAGGGAGAAAACGGATGGCTTCCTGTCAAAGGAAACATACTCGAAATCCGTGCATTTATGCTAGCGTTTTAGATTCCCATCTTTGCGATATCGTTCTGTGCCATCTATGAAGTCCAAGGCGCGGAAGCACAGCGCTGCTTAGGCTCATTCTCCAAGCAGACTCAGAGATGAAGGTCGAAGGTATCGTGAAGATATTAGCAGAGTAATCATGGCAGTGGTATTGGTATTCACATGTCGAATACTTCATGGGCAGGGGACACAGCAAGGTCGACAAAAGATAGCATCCTGGACAGTTAGATATTCCCACGATAATCGTGGCTGCGTGCATTTTAGGTGAAAGGAGAGAAGTTGTCCTATCGCATTGAGGTATCAGAAATGGAAAGGTAGTAATAGGGGGGATGAGGGAAGGCACGAACGAGTGTGGAAATTAACTTTATGAACTTTCGTCTTGGTTATATTCGAAAGTAAGAAACTGGCGTTTGATTGGATAGGTACTGACCCCTATACCGCTGCGTACTGGGGTTGGAATTTTGCCATCAAATCAAGTACCTCGTGATATTTCTGATTGTCAAGTCGCATTCGAGTCAGCTCAACCTCGCTCTCGATATTGCTAGACAGGCGCTTGATTCGCTTGATGGTTCGCTGGAAGTCACCGCGGAGGTCTGACCATGAGCTGCGTAATAAGAACGCTTAGGGTAATTTGTTCGTGCACAGCGGATGTGTCTCTGTTCGCGACACAGGGGGGGGGGGGGGGGGGGGCTCTTACAGTGTTTGTTGGTGCGAAAGAAATGAATGGCGCGGGCATAAAAACAAATCACTTCTTGGTAGACAGTCAATAATGATGTCTCCATCTCGGTGTCCATTGATACAGTTTTCTCGTAGAACTTCAAGCGCGGCAGAGTCAAGGTCAATTCTTCTAGCATATCCGAGACCTCCTGTAGAACATTGTCTGCTGTTGATGCTAACTGCATTTTAGTCAGCCTCACATCAAATACTTTCTGTTAAAACGAGTTGGGAGATTCACCGTCAGAATCACGCGTATACTGCCCCATACTAGTGCTGTCACTGCTGTGCCTGCGCCCAAAGACATTGCTAGCACCACCGAAACATCATTACCAGTTTGAATGTTGGTTTAAGTCGTGTCATGGTATCTAGTGCTTGTCTTCCTTGCGACCCAAGTGGCTGTAGAACCTGGTCGTCCGCGAGAAGCTCCTCAAGGCTACCAGTCTCGAATATTTTCCGGAAATCCTCATCGCCAGCAAGATCTTCATGATAGCTTTCTAGAGCCTTTTCCCACAAGGGGGAATAGCTTCACTCCCGAACTGTATTCGAGTTTGTATTAGCATAAATACCCGTTATTTCGTCCGAAATTATATGATGACATATCAAGGGTAATAGGTGTTAGCTGATTCCAATTCAATATGCGCTTTCCTGTTTTGTGGAACGTTGGCCAGCAACTACCTATTTGGGATGCTTCAAACATTTCGAGGACCCAAGGCCACCTTGAAATATCCGTCACCTTCCAGCACTGCTTCCTACATCTTTCTCAATTCCCCAACTCCTACTTCATACAGAATTCTTGAGCAATCTTGGCCATGCTGGACTTTCATAATGTGGCAATTATCGGCGTGGCAATTATCGTGGTTCTATTCACATTGTACACTCTAATCCACAGCGCAAGTCGCGACCCTCCCTCGGTATCGAGCAAGTTTCCATTTGTGGGCCATCTTATTGGCCTCATCCAATACGGCCCAGGGTATTTTGACATGCTATGGCAAGTAATTGATTCTATGATTTGTCCAAACCGGAACTAACGCAACATATTCGGCAGCGAAAAACATCACGAGCACTCGATCTTCGCAGTGAACATATTCTCCTTCAAGCTCTTTGTGACCTCCTCGCCTGCCATCATGCGGGCTGCTCAGAAAAACGCCACAGTCATTATATTGGAACCCTTATTAAGATTAATGCAGAGACGTCTATCTCAAACTCCACGGCATAAACTTGCTAGTTTGTGCGACCAGCACGGTGGTCCGAGCCTTATTTCCAGAATCGTGCATGATTCAACACCTATTCTTGCCGGGCGATCTCTTGACAGAATGAACGAGATAATGCTTCGGCGGCTACTGCCAATGATTGATGATATGGGCAATGATGAGACTGTTGATTTAACAGCTGGCTTCGACATGCCGTTACCATTATCACCACAGATGCTACATACGGCAGGTCGAACCCTTTCAAGAATCCACATATTGAAGACATATTCTGGTAAGTTTATCCAACCTATAATTGACTATAGTATCACTCATATATCAGAACAGGGAATTTGAACGCAATGTGGCACTACTTCTGGTCGATATTGTGCCATGGCTCATTGCTCCCAAGGCCTGGAAGGCATGCAAAGATCTATGCGCTGCGTTCAAAGATTACTTCGATCGTGGAGGTCATGAAGACGGGTCGGAACTGCTAGCCATGCGATACAGATCATTTTCGGGGCTGGACTTACTCACGAGGAAATAGCATATTCGGAAATGCCCATGGTTTTGGGACTACTGGCAAATACAGTTCCTGCTGCATTTTGGGTTCACTTTGAGCTTTTCTCGCGACCAAAGCTGCTTGAAGAAGTACGTGAAGAGCTAGAGCAGAACGCCCTCAGGATTGGGGCTGATGGTACGCACATCATTGATCTAGGGTTCCTTCGCGATAATTGCCTACTTCTTCTATCGGGAGACAGAGCTTGGTTGACTGCACAAGACTGAAGAGATGACTTGATGGGGAGATGTATTGATATTAGGTAAGGACGTGGCTCGGAAGCCAGGGTCGCAGGGTCGCAGGGTGGAGATTGTATCAATTTCTAATAGTAACATTGATGATCTCGAAGCCCAAAGAAGTTTCTAGCTGCATTCGTGCGGTGAACAGGTAAAATATCTGTCACGAGACAGAAATGAATACACACCATCCGCAAATGTTCCTCAAACCTCCCTTTCATCAAGTATTATTATACACCGCTATTTACAGGAAGGCTGCAACAACACAACCAATAAACGCACCAGACACAAGTCCACTACCCACATTGATCGACGCACCGCCAGAGAAGAGGGGAGACGAGGAAGGAGTGCTAGCAGTCTAGGCTAAGTTAGCTATGAGTTCATAAGAAAATAGAAGAGAAACCAACCGAGCTTCCAGTAGGTGTTACCGAAGGAATCAATGACGATGGGCGAGAAGAATCAGAAACACGCTGGGGGCTCACGGAAGTAGAGGTGGTCGTGGTATGAGCCGCAGTACCAGTAGAGGAGGTTGCCACATCAGTAGTCACAGCAGAATCAGTGACGCTCTCATGTGCAGTCTCATGTGCAGACTCATGTGCAGACCCATGCGAATGCTCATGGGCAGACTTTGTAGTAGTAGCTCCGACGGACGTAGTGGTGGAAGATGCTTCGACCGAGGTGGACGACGACTCGACCGGGGTGGCATCCAAGCCACAGCCAGTAGCAGCCTTGGAAACAGAACTGCCATAGTATTTCCAAATGTCGAACTCAACAGCACAGTTCAAACAATCAGTCAGCTGGGTCTTGAAATCGGCGGCATCACAGTATCCGTCACTGCGGCCGGCGAGAATTACGCCGCCTGATCTGTCAGTTTCGATCATGAATTGTAGCATCAAGGGGTATAGAGCTTACCACAGTCGGAGTGACAATCATACGCAGCAGTTCCGGGTTCCTGGCGTTTGTGCAGAGGGACAAAGTCCGGGAATTCGAATGCGCTGGCACTGATTACAGCGCAGGCAAAAGCGGCAATATTGACAAGATGCATGGTAGGACTAGCGAATGAGAAAACGAGGGACAGATTTGCAATTTGCAATTATAGAGACTGATGATAAAGACACCGAATTGAGAGCAGTTCAGTCCCTACTTATTTACCCGTGGATGCTCCTCAAAAGAATGCAATGTCTTGGCTGAATGGCCATTTCGGAGCGAGAACTATCCAAGGTGGCACGAGGCGTCGGGAATTGGTAATTTTCCGGGTGAGATTACCCGTTACGGTCATGTCTCAGAGTGAAGATGTGGAAGCGACCTCGGGAACCAACTAAAAGCGACTAAAACGGTCTTAGAGGACCCACCTATCTTATCTGATTGATCTAATCAGATCCAGATTCTGGTTTTTCTCTCCTACAATCTCTGTCGGCGGGTTACTCCGGCTTCAATAGATTAATTTCCTGATATTGGCAAGCCATTGAACCATAATCTGTATCTTGGCTCGTGACTCGTGACTCAACCTCGATGGCTCTCTAACAGTGGTTCAACTCCGGTGAGAGGATTCCCGGCCATAACATACAGAAAAACCCGGTACGTGCTTGGCAGTGGAGTCGGATCAGACCGAGATACAAGAATGTCTCTCGTATCGGTCACAGTGTTCAAGCGACCTCGGCAGTTACTGGAAGTTTATAAACGGCGATGTCTCGGTTTTGCATCTTTGTCTTCAAACCTTTTCATAAACATCGTCCTCCTATCATACCTTTGGGTAGATCAAATCTCTTAATATAATTATGAAGACTTACATTGCACTACTAGCTCTCTCTGCCATTGGAGCATGTGCTCATGGCGAAGAAGCGAGCACAGAGATGGGCCCGGCTGCCTTTCTGTGGCCACCGGATCGTCTCTGGGGTGCAGCATATGACAACAACGCCCCGTGTGGCTCATCAACCGGGGCCGTGAATCGAACAAACTTTCCACTGAGTAAGAGCATATCTATCTCGAACCCTGAAGAGGCACATATACTGACAAGACACTCTAGTCAACGGCAAGCTCGCACTTGTGATCCAAGACGAGTCATGGAATGTGCAGGTTGCAATCTCTCACAAAAGCAGTAAGCTATCTCAATCATTCTGATCTATCCAGGCTAACCATTTCTCTTTTAGACCCAACTACCAATGCCGATTTCGAAGCCTTCGTTGACGGCTCGAGTCTTGCTGATGTCGACCCAGGACACGAATGCTACTCCGTCCCCAACCCATCTGTTGACGTGGAAGAGGGAATGAACGCTACTTTCCAGATCAAATACACTTCGGATTTCGACACCGACAAAAATGAAACCTACTACGCATGCGCAGACGTCACTTACATTGCGGCTAGCAAGTTCACCTACCAAGTCCCTTGCTTTAATGTAACAACAGATGAGTTTGCCGAGGTGACAACCACGGCCGCGGCTGGTTCTACTGCTACTGCCAAGTCGGACACAGCAAAGAACACAAGTACCACGAGCGAGAAGGACTCTGGTCTTTCAGGTGGCGCTATTGCGGGTATTGTAATTGGGTCCGTGGCTGGATTGGCTATTGGATTGGCCTTGCTGTTCTTTTATAGAAGACTTCTGCAGAAGTATCGCTTCTTCCGGCAGAAGGCATCCGCCCGGAATGTGGATTGGAATGAGGAGGCGGCTCATCATAAAGTCGAGGATGAAACTCCAATTGGGCTTCGCAAGATTAGGTGATCGGGGTAGGGGTTTTCTTGTAAATACAAGTTGTCAGATGGGAAGTGTGCAGTTGGGCCAATGTTGGTACCTTTAATGATTGATGTTTTTGTGTTTATGACTTTTGATCGCTTTTCGACTTTAGTTCTACATTTTTGATATGTTCAATTCAACTTACAAGTTGTTACATTCCTCTATTCGTGTGGTGTTCGTAGTCGGGAGGTCAGGTTTTGCCACGCTCAAAACAGTAGAATCTTTATAGTAACCTCGGCGACGGATTAGGTTGAGACAATGGTGATTTTCCATGGTACGGTCTAGCAGGAAGCGAAAAGGGGAAACACCACGGAATAGGTAAAATGTAAACAACCGTAAACTCAAATGTTTTTACGAGGAAGAAGCATTGTTAGTTAGGAGGGAACGTTTGACCAGGAAGCAAAAAGGGTTCGACCCAAATATCCCTAGCCCGGGATATCATCAAAGACCGGCTCCAATCTATCAAGTGATGTCTTATACAACCTGGGCAAACCAGTATCCTCAAATGCAACGGAGCTCTGGGCCATATCCGCAACAGCCTTACCAGACAAGAATGCGACAGGCATACCATGTCCATTGAATCCGGCCGCGATAAACTGGCCCGATTTACCCGGAATACTACCAACATGAGGCAACGAGTCTGCACTGTATCCCATAACTAGACCCAGACATGGAGTTAGCAGAAGGAAAATATACCAGCAATTCGATAGAATCGTGTAGACAGGAATGACACATACCACCGGCCCAGATATGTTTGATTTCCGCCTTACTATCCTCCCACCCGATGAACGTGCGTTGCATATAACCATCAAGATAATCCGCAGCAACTTTAATCAACTTCCCATCATCGGGGTTATCATACCACTCCTCCCGATCATCTCTAAAAAGATTTGATGCTCCGCCGACGATGAGTGACCCGTCATTCCGGGAAATTTGATAAATATACGCCCCCGGCCCAGATCGGATTGCATAAGTACCAGGCAGATCCTGATGGGGCGCATCAGGTGCCGCAGCTATCTGGCTACAGATACCTTTGCAGGGAATGATAGCTTTAGAATATTCCGGGGCCAAGGCGCTGGTGAATGCGTTGGTCGCGAGGATAATCTTCCGTGCGTTAATGACTCCACGACTGGTGGTTACCGGCCAGAAGCCATCTGCGTTTGGGCTTTCCCCGATTTCAGATACAGGTGTATTCGTCTGCAAGTTCAAGCCGTGGGAAACGGCGACGCGAATAAGATGGGCAACGAGCTTGTAAGGCCAGAGATGTCCCGTTGGAAAGCTGAAACCTCCCTTGGCGTCTCGAACATGCGCCTTCTAAACGTAAATATTGTTAGAAAAGATCTGGAAGATGGAAATACTACCCCGAAAGCTCATTCCAACTTACATCTCGGGTCTCAGCTTCAGACATGTATTTAACATCATCCATAAAATCCAATCCCTGGTCAACCAAAGAGTCGTAGAAAGCTTTTACCTTCTTGAGCTCATCTTCATCGAGATACATATCATAAGAACGAGTGAAAGTAAGTTCACAATCGATGTTTTCTTTACGGACCAGCTCTTCAATGATCTTCAAGTGTGAGATTTCGAACCGAACGATCTCTGCTGCTGCTTCGATCCCATAGCGTTCGGTGAACAATGCTGTTGCTGAATATATATCTGGTCTCAAATGGCCACCTACATGAACATTTAGCTATGAGCTGGATTGTTATATTTATATTGGAGGATATGTGTGGGGCTCACCATTGCGCCCGGTGGCACCGGAGCATAACTCCCGGGCCTCAACTAACACCACCCGGGGGTTGGATTTTGGGGGTTCTCTGCAAGCAACCGATAAGCGGCCGACGCTCCGACATAGCCGCCGCCGATAATTAGGATGTCGGTTTCCTCTGGCAGGTCTGATGTTGTGTGGTGGTTATCGAGGGGATCTGGTTGTGTGCGCCAAAATGATTGGGTAGACCCCGCTGCTGGGCGAGGGAAGGATTTTACATGGGAGTTAGACATGATGAATGAGCCAGCAGTAGTTCAGCATGCGATTCAAACTCAAGGAACACGCAAATTCAAATACATGTGCAATGTGGGAAAAAAAGGAAAAGCAGAGGGCATGTTATAGGCAAGACGTGATCGGAGTTAGCACGTTATACCCTATCACGGCGGAGCTGACAAATGTGCGGGCTGGAAAAATTGAGCCAATTCTGGGACTCTGATCTATATTTTTGAAATCCATGATATTGCTAATATTCTTCACTATGTTCATTGTTGGGAACTTGCTCGTTTTAGATTCGTTGAGCTGGTATTCCCGGGCTGCCGTTGTTGAGCTTCAAATGCCTCAATGACATCAGGGCAGCTCGATTGGGCCTTGGCTGATTGTCTAGCCATATATTCAGACTCTGTCAGTCGTGCTTTGACAAGCTGCTTCCGAGTCTTAGAATGGATAGCGGAATGCAAGCTTTTAGCTAAGCCCTGCCCCGGATAGGCTACTAAACCCAAAGCACCTGGAGATGATTCATTAGCATAATCAATAAGTCGTGTGAAGTAATGTGCGTCACGAACCTGATGCAGCTTTAGTCCCCATGCCAATAGGTCCTTTCACAAATCCTTTGATTGCACCCCTAATTCCATCTTTCTGGGCACCCTCATAAGGTTGCCGGAAAATATCGGTGAGTCCATGTGAGAACCCATGCGTAAAATTATCTGAAGCCGCAGAAACCCCGGACCTGAAGTCCTTGATGTTGTCGTAGTCTTTCACCTCCTCGCCATAGAGTCTGGGAACAGCTCTCAGACCTTCATTCACTGCTCCAGGTATGTCTACCAGAACCCCCTTGTAGTAGTAGGCTATGATCCTCCCCACACTTTTGGCGGATCCCCCCACTGCCTTTCCCATAACTCTCCGGTCTTCATCTGTCAGGTTGCTTCCGGAAGTACGTGAGATGCCGTCTGATGGGCGTCGCTCAGATTGGGGATTGGTAGACTCGATGACTACGAGCTCTGGTTCGCTCTGTTGACGCGCACGACTGACCTCTTTGTAGGGCCGAATGACAACGTCGCTTGATGCTGTAAGGATGTCCTTATACATGCCTAGTAAAGACGACGTGCCGCCCGTGATAGGATCCCATCGCCGGGTTTGAATAAAGATAGATTTACTCTCGTATCTAGTTCAAGATGTGTGTTAGTTAACGTATAAATATGATAGCTAGGATATATGTTCTCACGCTTTCAGGTCCTTTATATCAATGCGAGAGTTTTCTAGCAAGATTCCGGCTGCCATTTTGGACAAATTCACAGGGGTTTTGGCGTTTTGTTTCAACTGCCACGCAGCAGGCTCGGAATCGAGAAACTGGCATTGCATTTTATCGACCGGTAAATTCCGATGGAAAGATGCGACAGCCGCAGAAACTCCAGCTTCCTCGCTCATTTCACGAGCAAGATTGCTAGCTGCTGCTAGGGTATCAGTATGCAGGCAAAAACGGATGGCTTCTGCTAGATTCTCTGCGTTCAAAGACTGGTGCGGAATAGGGATTGGTCCAACCCCGCGGGACGCAACCATGTTTCCCCAAAATAGTTGACTATGCCAAGTTAGCGACGAAATGGGAAAGGCCTGCAGGTAATCACGTACTCTCCAAAGAAGGGTACAACAAGAGAGGGTCTTCCAAATCGCAAACCACATGCTGTAGTCCCTGCTCCTCCATGATGTACAACTGCGGCCACCTTCTGGAATAGCCATTCATGCGGACAGTCTCCAAGATAAAAGATCTGATCGTCCGATTCTGCTTCGCCAAGATTACTCCAGCCACGAGATATGATTGCACGACCACCCCAGGACCTCACTGCATTGACGAGTGTGGCAGTCATGGCTGGAGGATCCTCGATGACGATGCTCCCGAAACCGATATACACCGGCGGAGGCCCGTTTTGAAGAAATGCGGCAAGGTCTGGAGGTGGTGTGAAGTCCGGAGGAGAGCGAAAGAAGAAACCACAGACGTTTAGGTGTGCCGGCCAGTCCGCTGGTTTAGGCATTAATGTAGGCGACCAGCAATATGTGAATGGTATCTTCAAAGTCTCTGCTAAACGGGGACCTTCGGTGGCTGATATAGGTTCTAAGTCGATGGTTTTTCTCCAATCATTGATAATATCGCCGAGGCTATTGGTAGGTCAGCGTGTTGTATTCGGGATGGCAGGGGTGTGTGATTATTACCCTTGCCATGTCAGCCATTCGACAATCCCGTAAGAAAGGTAGTTGGCCATTTTCGGCTCTGTGGTTGAATATTTCAAGTTTGCCAAGGGATGCGGAAATGACCTTGTGCTAGTCCACGGCATGGTAAACATCATATGTAGAGGGATGCCAAGCGCCTGCGCACAGTGGATATGGGCGAAACTTGGAGGGTTTGCGATAATAGCATCAGCCACAAATGGTGTATTGGTCACAGAGTCATCCTTAATACAGGACTCCCAGCATCCCTCCAGTATTTGGCCTACCATGATACGCTTGCGTTGAATATCACCCTCTTGCACGGACTTCATTTGTGGTATCAGTCCTGGGTTCTTTACCATATATGCCATGAGCTCCGACGGATCTCCTCCAATACAGTAAAATTCTAGCCCGGAGTCGCGCACGAAGCTTTCAAACACACCATGTGTGGCTAATCGCACGCGGTGTCCATGACGCTGAAGCTCGTTGCCCAGTGCGACAAACGGCTGGACATCGCCTCGACTGCCAACAACTTGGATCACAATATTGAGCTCGAGACCACATCCGGAATCACCTGAAGGCTCTGGTTGTGGTTGTATTTGCTCTTCCGTATGTAGAAATGGTATCAACTTTGACACTTCCCTGCCCACTTTGGAGTCCAGGTCGATCTCAATCCGACCATCATCTTCGAAAAATTAGCACGCTGTTCTTGCGAATGAGTCAGAAAATCCCACCTTGGACTTTTGTGCCATCCTGAGTAAAACGGTTGCGTTCAAGCGTAGAAGGCCGGCGCGGTGGTTCTTCCATCGCTGCAGCCGATGACATCACACGTGGGGAGAATAGAGATCTTTCCGCTGTAGAATATTCGCCGAGCAGTTGGGTATAAGTGAGATATTTTCAAGCTCCTCTTAATTATGTAGTGTCAAAAGAAAAGATCAGTATATCAAGCGAAGTGGTCTCAAAACAAGTGAAGACCATGGTAGCTCCGATGCTTCTGGGCCTGGGACGAGTGGATCCCCGGGGTTGAGCCACGTGATGAATCAATCCGAGCCAATCACAGCTCCTCGTATAAAAGCCATATGACGACATTACTAGGGACCTGAGCAGGTAAGGCATCAATCTTTCTTGCAGCTACAAATCTCACTTGTCGGCCGGGATAATCTAGTAATACCCCTGAACTACTAGTACGCTACAAAAGGAATTACTCGAATGATGGATTCGGCTGCTATACTAACAATTTATATGCATTCTTTGTAAAGTCCAATGGTCTTGGTTTAGGGAGGCTTTCCATTGTGTTTCATAGTTTTCGTTTTTCGTCTTTTTTTCAATTTTATTTTCCAGAGACGCCCAACACATCGTCTTTCTTCAAAAAATTAGCATCATTTGGACCACTCACATTGAAGCGTGAATGTTTAAGAATCGTGAATTAGGAGTGGAGAGCCAAGAAGTCGGGGTCACTGTTAAGGACATCCCATACCGAGCTGTCCAGAGACAAATTAACATCAACAGCACATGGGAGATTGGGACCAGTCAAAGAGCGTCCGTTAATCTGGCGTCGAGGCAACTGCTCCTCGGTCGACATGATAATTGCGTAACCATCCACTCGATGGCTTTCGCTGAAAGCCGGCGATACCAGATCGGGGGCAATACGCCTGCCATTAGCGGCGACTTCAAAATCAACCCCAACGTACGTCCTACCCCTAGTCCACTGGGTAGCAAGGAAGCTACCATTTGGCACCACGTTCTTGGACTTGACATGGCTTTTGTTGGGCTGTGCGGCAATCCATTCAAACTGCCGCTTGACCCCGTCCATGTCAACCGAGTGAATTGCATCATGAACAACCTGTGTAACCTGCCAGAGTGCGCCCCCTTCGAGTAATTCGTGCGAGGTGGAAGTTGAGGGACAGTGGACGGCGTTCGGAAAGTAGCGTGCGGGGAGTTTCAGACGGTTGGAGTCGCGCATGTCCATGGTTGTCCAAAAGCCACGTAGTGACTGTAACGAGTCTACATCTGGTGTGATTCCCTCGTCACGCAGAATGCGAATTCTGGCTTGGTAAATTCGTTGGTAAAGATAAGCTGAGACGACCTCGAAGGTGGTGAACGAGGTCTGTCCCTGGGTGTTGGGATCAGTTGCAGCATTCTTGAGTGAAATCAGATCTCGACCTTGAAAGCGCAGAGGGCAAGTGATGACAGTCGGAGGGGCTAAAGCTTCATGCATGTCCGTGGTCCTTATGTCGAGGTAAAAGTCTGGAGGTTTGAACGCAATGGCTCTCTCCTCCTGGTTCACTGATGGACTATTTGTTCCTCGAAAGTGTGAGATAATCTCAGGGGGAGAGATGAGTGTTGGGGGAGAAGAGTCGCGCAATTGTTTGTAGATATCAGCGAGATCACGCACTAGCTGCATAAACCCAGTTGCATCGCAGACCAGGTGATGAACTCGAATGCCTAATGCGACGCCTCCACAGCCAAACCGGGTGTGCTGGATGGCGAAGAGGGGATTGTGGGAGACTGCTCCCATTGTCGCATGGAAAATGGGTAGAAGCGCATTCCCAGACTCTGGCAGTTTGATCACCAAAATACGGGCGGAAAGAGCAGACGCGGCGATGTTTCTGAGCCTTCTGGGGCATTCTGCCCCCCAAAGCTCAACGCCAGTGCCTAGACTACCGATTTCTGGAGCTTGACTGACTGCATTCTGCTGCAGACGGCCAGTCAAATGTGGGTAATAGTCTAGGAGGTGGGACACAGCCACCTTCAACCGTTCAATCGGAAGGAAGTTATCGTCCGGTAGCGTCGCTGGCTTTCTATAGACGAGGATGGCTTCGATAGTCAACCTGGCGGGCACAGCATAGTCCATCGGCCCTAAGCTGAAAGGGGACTCGAGCGTGGCGACTGTCGCATCATTGGCACAGTTAAGCGTGTGCCGCGTAGAAACGCGGACTTGATCGATTACCATCGCTGCGATTGGACGAAGCACAGACAAGGATCACGGGATAATCAAAATAGATAAACACGTAGATGGGTGGACAAGGATCAAAGATGACGAGGATGAAAGAGAATGGAGATGAAAGAGGATGGAGATGAAAGAGGATGGAGATGAAAGAGGATGGAGATGAAAGAGGATGGAGATGAAAGAGGGAAAGTTTGTGATGCTTAACAGCGATTTGGAGAATTGTCACTTCATCCCATCTTTGCCTACGTTGTTGGTGGAGTTGTTTGTCCCCTTGGAAGATAATGGAACACAAGAGCATCTGGCACCTGGTAACAGTTACTTTGGCTACATAGACTATCAAATAAATAAAGAAAATCAAAGAAATGCAACTCCGTAGTGTAAACACATTTTGAACAAAGAACCGGGCCCGTAAATGTTCTTTTTTAGGTTCTTCACAAAGACAGCGGAATCCCAGTGAATTAAATTCCTATAATCGAGATAAATTGCATCCAAGATGCCCTGCGGAATATTTAAAGAATTCAAATTTCATGCTAGAATTTTATACAGAATGAACTATTCCCTTTTTGAGCTCGCCACCCCAGTTCCACCATCATCGGCCTCTGGAAAAATATAAATACCTGCTGTGTATATATAGCAGCTGTATAGCAAATTATGGTGCAAGCGCAACTTCTTTTTAGATCCGAAAGGGCCCGGTCGAGATCTGACAACGTCGATGAACCCTCCATTTGTCGAGAATTGATTCCATGTTCTCCACGATGCCATGGCTATTTTCGAAGCTCCATGAACCTCTCTCTTCACGTAGATCTTGATTCATTCGATAAGTTGATCAGCAAAGTCGGTTCGATTGCCTCTGTCATTAATTTCTTTTGCAGTTGTCGGTCGATCCTACTAAATAGCCAGCCTCGCACTTGCATTAAAAGGGTCGTCCATTTTTCACCATTCGGACTCCGTCTCGTTAGCCATAGAATCGGTTTAATAATCAGTTTATAGAGGGTGTGGTCTTGCAAGATCTTCTTGACATTCTCAATCCATATATCCACGCCTTCTGCATTCGACAGGGTGGTGTGTAAAGATGACGTTGTACCTATTTTTCTAGCAATTATCACCACCCTGCGTCCCTGCGAAACATGTAACACTAGCCTCCTATCCGACCTTGGAATGTAGGCACTGGCTAGGACCAGTGCTTGTGCGGGTTCATCAAGGCCGCAATGAGAATAAGCATTAACATCCACATGCGGCACAACTCTATTTGTTGAGACCAATAGTAGCACACAAGCATCGCGCGGACAACACAACAATTCTCCTAGTACAAACTGCCAGATAGATTCTGATAGAACTGTAGGTCACGCCTATTCATACATAGTACATCTAGATGTACTAAAGAAAGCCGCTGGTGAGATCTGACTAATCAGTTACCATCAAAGGTTCGGGGGGCGGCTCCGACCAAGAGATCCACTTTAGTGCGGCTCCGATGTGGGGACATGAATGTTTATCCAAATATTTAAAGGCTTCATGTCCATCTTATCTCAATCTCAGCGTACCACTCTTCATTCCTATTCTGCCTTCACATAAGTCCACTATGACCAATCCATCAATTGTCATTGTACCAGGCGCATGGCATCGACCTGCACACTTCCAGGGCCTCATTGATGAGCTCGCAAAGGTCGACTACGATGCAGAGGCTGTGACCATGCCTAGTGTGGACTCCAGTCCACCGCTCGCCAGCTGGGATCAAGACGCACAAGCTGTCCGACAAGTGATTATGACCAAATTGGATGCCGGAAAAGATGTCGTTGTGCTCGCACATTCATTTGGCGGCGTCGCCATGTCCGAAGGAGCCAAGGGTTTAGGAAAGAAGGAGCGAGATTCACAGGGGTTGAAAGGAGGAATCATCAAGCTGGTTTACATGTGTGCAATGGCATTGCCAGAAGGACAAACCCACATCGGCCAGTTGGTCCCGCAGACGCCTGAGGAGGAAGAGATTGAGCGTCAACGCAAGGAGATGGAGGTGCAGTTTGGCGGACTAGAAGTGACAGCGGTATGCACCCGAGATCCTTACCTTTATATCTTCAAAGCTAATCACTCCCCAGGACGGAGCAATCGTTCTTCCGAAGGACCGTATCCACCTGGTATTTTATAACCGCTGCGACCAAAAGGATATCGATAGGGCTGTTGGGTTGCTAGGCACATTCCCCATGGGCCCATTGATTGTTCCTGCCACGTACACTGCGTACCGCGAGATCCCGAGCACATACATTGTTTGCAAGAACGACCTGGCATTACGGGAGCCGTTCCAGCGAAGGATGATTGCGCAGGGCGAGGGATGCTTCGAGGTGGAGGAATGCGAGGAGGGCCACTCCCCATTTATGAGTAATCCGGGCTTTATCGTCGATTGTGTTCGGAGGGCAGCCGGAGACAAGGTCTAGACATACGACGATGTCGCCTAAACTATATCGATATCTCTGTGCATCCATAGATTTCGAGTGGCCTTATTTGCCCTGAGCAGTGTACGATATCTGTATTTTTGATGTTTTATGACCATTCTCCTCTCTTTCGAATGTACTTTTTGAACTTCTGCCTCATACTTCAGGCATAATTAAGGCATCAGTGGTGGGGCGGAACGGAGAAATAGTCCAGCCGTGTGTGAACTGACCTCAATGCAGTGGACGCTACCTCGGCTTGTAGTTATCATGTAGACACGGAATGCCGAGGGACCTCAATTCTCCAACGGCGTCAACATCTCCCGTCAATCCACCGCGGCGTCAAAACACAAGCTGTGATCCATGCAGGCGTTCCAAGCGACGCTGTGTTGTGCAGTCCAGTCCAGACGGAATTCCCGATGCGATCTGCGCAAATTGCAGGCGTCTCAGACGCCAATGTACATTTGAGTTCGCTATAGCCCAGTCCAGTTCTTTCCCACAGAAGCGACAGAAGCGCAGGTACGGCGAAAGCAGTGTAGCAACCACGCAACATGAATCGAATGACTTCGATACACCGATCGAGGATATCGCTGGCAGCCCGAGCAATGGATTCGATCCTACCTCTGTCGCTGACCAAGATGTTCTGGCAGCTTGGCTGAATCTTGATTACGATGAGATCGTCGCGGATAGCGTCAACGCATTTTCAACTAATATCGAGCCCTCTAACTCCTCCACTGCGCTTCGTCCTGGGTCCATAGCGCCAACAGAGACCCAGTGTGAGGGTCAGGGTCAACTGACCGCTTCGACCTCTGAACTGACCCGCTTACACGATGGCCGAAGTATCGGGTCAAATCATCGACCAACTGTTGGCCTTTCATTCAGTAGTCCCATCCACCTGCTGAATTCCGGCATAGACGCAAAGATCTTTGGTGATCGTCTCGCCCGGATATATGAAGCAATCGCAACAGCCAGTGCGTCGAGATTTTTGGACTACGACTGTAATCTCTATGCGACTGGGAGCCGCTACCGGTTGGGAGACCATGAATCAGGGAGCTCAAATGGATCCGCGCCCCCCAGGTCAACCGTGGATTCAACCGCTATTTCTCCCCGATATGCTCTTTCAGTATCATCACAAGCATTGCCTTATGAAATTTCCTTGCTAGGCAGCGTTCGGTTCCTTGATCACTTGGGCGACCTATATGGCAATCGACTGAACTCGACTGCGCGGAAGAAGTCAGATGAGACTTTCAAAGCAGTTCTTCGCGCATTCTCGATGCAATGGTTGCCTAGCTCGCCTTCTTTTGGAGCGAGCTCAGGTTATGCTCACTTTCCTCGAAATTCAAAGTCTGGAGAGGCAGGAGATGACTCTTCCTTGGACGCCTTCATTGATGCTTGGGTACAGGCAAGATCGCTTCTTCGTGATGCGCATGATGTTCGATCATTTCGAGTTGTATTGTCAACCCTCATGTTTGTTGGTATAGTTACACCAACTAAAATAACCGACGGAGCGGATCTCGTACCCAACCACTTTCTTGACACGGCATTGCAAAAGTTATCTTACTTAGATGGACTTGTCACGCAATACTGTGCTAACCTAGGACCATCATCTACATACAGTGCTCTTGCTGAAGCAAGTTTGAGCATTGTCCGGTGGACTGCATATATCCGCGACACGGGAGCAGCGTTGGCGATGGATCGGCAATGCAAACTTCCAGACATATGGGGTACTACAAAAGGTCAGCGTCCTTGGCATGGGGAATCTCGAATCTATGGCAATTAACTAAGACCGTACAGTCTTTTCAAATAAAGAATCCGTGACAGCATTGGCAGTCTCTCGGAATATCCTCGAGTTGGATATCAATGTTCAACCCATCTGCCGGAAAGCCAGTGCAGAAACATTCTGTGTCTGGAGGCAGATTATAAAGATCAAAGCTGTTGCTAGCCAGGCGCATGGCACTATCAATGAACGATCCCTGTCAACAATTGAAGCAATAAAATTGAGCGTGGCGGCTGTCCGTGACTTCAGCGAATCATTCCAACCTTTCATCCTTCATTGCATCAAAAATTTCCATTGCCTCTCCACGTGTCCTAGAATATCCCTTGGTAAGTTACAGTCTATCAATTCGCTCGCTCGTCTTTTTTCTCGCAATTTTATCGCCGGTAACTCACTGACAGCTCTTGTCTTAGTTTCCCTTGTGATGTTCTGGAACCTTGGCATTTTCCTACTTGCCGAGGTCTTCAAAAAGGTGACCGAAGACCTTGATCCCTCTGTCGACCAAGATATATGGTCGGCCGTCCGGGACTATCAGCGGGATGCAGCCTCGTGCGTGACGCAGGTCGTCGAATGCGTACTCAACTTACCTGCTGAGGAAGCTTTCAACCTTCAAAATGGACTAGGCGCCGAAGTCCCGCTCACGGCCTATCATGTCACTCCCAGTTTGGCTGTCACAGCCCTTCAGAGGGCCATTGAGAGTGTGATAGACCTGCAGCTCCACTCCAATTGTGATGCTGGAGCATTAGAGGACAATGCACAATTTTTGATACCAGACGGTATCTGGGATCGACAAATCGACATTCTGATGAAAGGACTCATGTCGCTTGACGTTACTATTGGCGGGTCACAAACCTGTGGCGTAGCCCTCGGGGAATTGATGCGTAATCACGGGGATGTACTATCTGAGTGCTGGACTTCAGGGTTTGAGTCATGACATGTACAGGAGGCGGATAGGACCGAAAGGACGACTATGCCTGAATGAGGGGAAAGTGGATGTTGATCGGTGACAAAGCGACATACCCACTTTCGATATTCTTAAGGTGAAGAGGCATCACAAAAAGGATAGGAAACCTACTCCGGAGGCTTCCAATCGGTCTTCTCATTGGCTCTAATTTTAACGAGCTTCACACCCTCACACTCCACGCTGCACCATGGCGCCTGCTTTTGAGTAAATTAGGTCTGCCCGTAGTCAATCTGAGGGTCGGCTGTTTTCCTCTCGTGGCCACGGTCTTACACATTCCCGCTGGGCTTTTTCGGGCCATGGGAAATGACCGGTGGTGTGTCCAATCATCTTCATCATATGACTCGATTCTAATGAAGACCATTCCAGGCGCGAAGGACTGGGATTAGACATAAGTCGAACCTGTCCACTGGTCCGTAAAATTAACCTGCAAACGATAATGGCCCGAGACGTCATTAAACGCTTGGCAACGGGATTGTCAGTCTCATCTCAAATTCTCGGGGTGAAGATCAGAAATTGGTTGACCGCGAAACTCGGCAAGCGAATAAGCATCTAGACCCTTTCGTGCACGTACCGCTGTCAATTCTACTGCCATTGGCGATTCCTACCCCGCTACGAAGCCTTGCAACGAACCCAGTGAACGCCACATATATAAAGGAGGTGACGAAACGAAAGTACCAGCAGTAGTGGCTACATAGGTCTAAGAGATCATCGGAGTTTTATCCTTCGCTTAGTATGCTAATTCCGGCCTTGTATTGTGTTAGACCATGCAGTACTAATGGTTGGCAACACAATCATCTCTCGAGCGCGGGAACGTTTAGGTTCTTAATTGGCTACTCTACATGCACCCGCAACGATCGACAAGCTGTTGGTTAATGGGACACGCCCAACACACACATATACCTCCCCTCACGCACGGCAGATAACTCCACCGCATGTCCCGCCTTTTCGAATTGCAAATCCCCTGCAAATGCCTCCACGTCTATCCAAGCTCGCATGGTGAAGCCAATGAGCATTGAGACCAAGTCCCGACTAATGCAAAGCGGGATTCTAAGAAAATCTGTGCAGAATTATGGAGTACCACGACAGGACCAGACGGCCCGCTGCTTCGCTACCTTCCAGGGGGGCTGTGGGCCTGGCCTATTGCAATTTTACATGTTTCCATTTTTCTTTTTCGTCACACGTGGTGATCTTCAAACTTCGTGCCACAATATAGATAGAAATGTTGAAGCTCGAGTAATCTCCCTTGGCGGGCTACTTTGATTTGCTTTAAGCCTATATGGAGATACGTCTCCGGAGTCAAGTGTGCAATGAGCACACCTATGACCAATCGGCGGATACTGCGCCTTGAACGCATGTGATGAAAAGACCCAACGATTATCAATGAATAGATTAACCCCGCTGGCAAAAAAAACAAGGAAAGCAAGGGAAACAGGCCGTACGCCATCCCCCTTCATACTAGGTCCCGGGGGGAGTATACACACAGCTCGGATACAAATATCGAGCCAATCCGGGTCAATATGCTTACAACCTCAAGGTATCTTATTTACTGCAACCCACCGTGACTATGGCACTAGTATCTTTCGACCTCTTACATATTCACTTTTACGGCCTTGTAGCTGGGGCTGTGTTCATTATTTGGTCGTTAGCGAAGAGTGTACAAGCCTTTCAAAGTATGTAACTCTTTCTTGTTGACAGTGAACCAACACTCAGACTGAATACTCATCCAGGATGGAGCTACGCTCGTGAGAACGGCTGCCTACCCCCTGCCCACTCAGTGTGCCACGGCTTATTCGGCCTTGGTATGGGCATGGAAATAGCCAAAGCTGGCCCCGAGCATAGGTTTCTTGAACTTATTCGCGGCTGGCATCGCAGCTATGGCCCGACATTCAAGGCGAGAATCGCCAATCGAAGGCTCATTTTTACCACCAATCCACAGAACATTCAAACAATCCTCGCGCTAAAATTCAACGACTTCTCAGTGGGTTCGACTCGTCTAAGTGCAGTCCGTCCACTCTTGGGCAATGGCATTTTCGGCGTAGAAGGTGGCGCGTGGGAACATTCGCGGGCTCTCCTCCGGCCTAATTTCTCGCGCACTCAGATTAACGACACTGAGTTATATGAGAGCCACATTGTTGACCTCATTGGGCAAATTCCGCGGGACGGATCAACCATCGATTTGCTCCCGCTGTTTCTCAAGGGCGTATGTTATCACTTCCTGGCATCATTCAAGATATCTCACTGACCAAACGCAGACTCTTGACACCGCTACCGAGTTTTTGTTCGGAGAATCTGCTCACACGCTGCGCAAAGAAGGGTCCTCTGCGGGTATAGCATTTTCAAAGGCCTTCGATGTAGCTCAAGACGTGACTACCTTGCGCTTCCGCCTTGGGCCTTTGGCGATGTTCTACCGCAGGAAAGAATTCATCAAAGCAGTGAGAGATGTCCGGGCATATGTCGATAGGTTTGTACAGAAGACGATCGATTATCGTGTTGCAGTTGACAGTGGGCGCAAGGTTGATGAAGATATCAAGCGGTTGACTGACAGTCGATATGTGTTCTCCTACGAGCTGTCGAAGCAGACACTTGACAAGACCAACATAACAGACCAGCTATTGAGTATTATGTTTGCTGGTCGTGATACGACTGCCAATTTCCTAAGTATTGTGTTCTTCGTTTTGGCTAGACAGCCTGATGTATGGGACAGACTTCGAAAAGAAGTCATTGCTTTAGACGGACAAAAGCCTTCATTCGAAGTTCTCAAATCAATGACTTATCTGACCTGGGTCCTTAACGAGAGTAAGCAACACTCCTTTCAACACTGTCTATACTGCCTGCTAAATTGTCGTAGCTCTACGTCTGTACCCAATCGCCCCTTTCAACATGCGCGAGGCCAAACAAGACACTTATCTTCCCCTCGGGGGTGGCCCGGATGGAAAGTCTCCCGTTCACGTACCCAAGGGTCACGAGGTTATCTTCAGTATATACACAATGCACCGCGAAAATGAAATCTATGGGCCCGATGCGGATGAATTCCGGCCTGAGAGATGGGAAACGCTCAGACCCGGCTGGGCGTACATTCCTTTCAATGGAGGCCCTCGGACATGCATAGGCCAGCAGTTTGCATTGACGGAGGCAGGATACACTATTGTTCGGATAATGCAAGAGTTTGAGTCAATCGAAACTCGAGATCCAAAACCCTGGACTGAGAGTTTTGGATTGACGTTGTGGAACGCTAATGGAACGAAAGTTGCTTTTAAGCCTGTTCAGAATTGACCTGGAGAAACTGTTATGGTTCAATGTCTCAATGCTTTCTGTTACGGTTACTCGCGAAGGGGGGGGAAGGGAAAGAAGAAACCTTGTTGTTCAATTTAGCAAAGAGCAGGGTCTTTATACCTTGCCAATCAAGCAAACAAACGCTCATTCTGGCAAATAAGCCAAAGGACAGTCCGAAGACGGTCCGGGGACGGTCTAATATCCGACACTTTCTTTTTACAGTTTGCCCTAATCCTTTTAACTTGAATTAAATACCATGTTACTGTGTGATCAGAAACGCAAGGCTTTTTGTTCTCGAGCTCGTATATCGGGTGCATTAGGTGCCGAGGATTTTACTTCTATCGGTCTGTTTGGACGACGCCAGGCTGTCCCATACACAATTTTTGAGTACATGCCCACTCGGTTGCGAAACCTTGGTAGTTCCTTTCAGTTCTCACTGGCTGGCGATAAATTAGCTGTTCAGAGTTTTCAGGCTAGGGCCAAATTGTGGAAAACGAACCTCTTTCTCCACCATTAGGGTGCACCCTAGAAAGCATTTATCCAGGCTGAAACATTTCTTGCACGGCCCCCAACTAGCCATGACGCTACACAATCATGTAGACAGATAATGGCCAAAAATAGTCGGCTTTAACAGTCTTTTTCAAAATTTCAAACTGTTTTTCGTGTCTTTTGGGGTGTCTTCTCACTTTCTTCTTTAGATAACCCTCCCTTGTTAGTATCATAGCTAGAAGGATAAGAAGCCTTCGCCGCAACACATAACATATAGTCAAAATGATATAAAATGTCCAACCGATTTTTGCATAAGTAGGTGACATGTGGTATTATTGCTACCTTAACTGCTATACTACGGTGATATGGCGTCTAGGAAAGCGAAAACCGAAAAAGGCTCCTACGGGCCTTTCCGGGCCAAGTGTGGAGATCTCCATCCGCAAAATTATACCGAATGAAAAGATCACGGATTTGAAAAGTCAGAGCCATAACACATTTCATTCATGTCCCTAACCTTTAGAACATAGAGAAAGACAGGGCATACATTGAAATAGGTCAGAAAAGCACTGGTGAACATCATCTTTCAAGCTAACAAAGTTGCGAGCTATAGAAAACTTGGAAGCTTATACATGCAGCCAAGCTTCTCCTCCAAAACCCACGGGCCGGATACAAGAAACCTTGGTCTGATAAAAATTATCTGATCGTAAACTTATCTGATCATAGATAAAAAATTATCTGATCACGCCACACGGGTTGAAAACCTTGGAACCCCACTCTAATGCTTATGTGTGGGTATGTCCCTAAGTCTAACCGCGGGAAACCCTCGGAGTAATTTTCTGCTACATGGGTTAAGTATCCCATTTTACCCCTTTTCTACCTTGAGGGCCCACGGTAGGCAACACCACCCTCTTTTACGCGAACGAAAGGGTCTAGAATTTCATATATGCCCACCAGAGAGAGCTTAAAATCCGTCTCCGCCCTTCTCCCCATTCATTCTGTGTTTTTTCGATCCCGCAGGCTTCCGCAACCTACTTGGTGCTACCAACCATGGATTCAGATACAATTACCACCAAAGTGGCCACGGAGCATCCCCAGCCATTGAACTCTGACGATCCAAAGATCCCAAATGATGAGATTCAGCAAGATGGTGTTCAAATTGCCGAAGCAGTCACAAGTACGTGGTCTCGCAAGCATCTGATTATTGCTTATACCAGGTGAGCAACCTTGAAGGATATCCTATTCATAAAGGTCAGATTTAATGCGAACACAGTATGTGGCTGGTGTATTTCGTCAACAATCTCAACAGCAGTCTCACCGCAAATCTCTCTGCTTACATTACGAGTGAATTCTCGGAACACTCGCTGTTGACCGTGATTTCAGTGGTAACGAGCGTTATGGGTGCTGCATGTCTGATGCCCATTGCCAAAGTCCTGAACCTTTTTGATCGAACCGTTGGATTCGTGATCATGATTTTGATTGCAATCATGGGTTTGATCATGATGGCCTCTTGTAACAATATTGCGACGTATTGTGCTGCACAGGTATGTTTGCATCATACCCTCCACAGCCCGAGGTCAAATTTACTAATTAATCGACAGTCATTTTATACTGTTGGACTCACTGGCGCCATTTTCTGCATCGACGTGATAACCTCGGATACATCATCGCTTCGTGATCGAGGTCTTGCTTTTGCTCTCACCTCCTCTCCTAGCATGATCACGGCCTTTTCTGGCTCCCCTTTATCCAATCAATTTCACGAAACCAACTGGCGATGGGCATATGGGACGATTTGCATCATTCTCCCTATCGCTGCGCTTCCTTTAATTGTTACCTGGGAACTGGCCAAACGAAAGGCCGACAAGCTCGGTCAATTACAATATAAGCAGAAGATATCACGATCCTGGAAAGAAAGCATCCGGTACTATGTCATAGAATTTGATGGTGAGTTGACATCTCAAATCTGTTTCTTACATCTTTACTCACCACTCTTTACTGCGCACAGTCATCGGAATCTTCCTAATGATAGGCGGCACGATCCTTTTCCTGACATCTTTCAACATCGCCGGCAACACCGAAGGTCAATGGCAATCGCCCAAGATTATCGCTATGATGGTTGTGGGATTCTGCGTTCTCGTCGCATTCGTCGCGTACGAGCGATGGCTGGCACCGAAGCCTTTCATTCCATTCAATCTAATCACCGATCGCACTGTCATCGGCGCATGTCTACTGGATATTACCTACCAGGTCTCTTATTATTGCTGGGCCAGCTATTTCACCTCCTACCTCCAAGTCGTCTACAACACAAGCCTGACGCAGGCCGGCTACATCAGCGCCATTTTTGATTTTATGGACCCGATCTGGCTTATTGGCTGCGGCTTTCTAATCAGGGCAACTGGTCGCTTCAAGTGGCTCCTCTGCTGCGCCCTACCTCTTTACCTCCTGGCAAGTGGTCTGATGATTTACTTCCGCTCACCAGGTCACAACGTGGGATATATGTGCATGTGCCAAATCTTCCTCGCAGTAGGTGGTGGAACATTTATTCTGATTGAGCAGGTTGCTGTTCTTGCTGCAGCCTCGCACGAAGACTATGCCGCCATGTTGGCACTTCTCAGCACATTTGGAAATATCGGCGGCGCGGTGGGAAGTAGTGTTTCTGGTGCTATCTGGACAAACACGCTTCCTGTCAAGCTGCGTGAGTATCTCCCAGCCGAATTGAAGGACCAGTGGTCGGATATATACGAGTCTTTGGACATACAACTCAGTTATCCAGTCGGTTCGCCTGCTCGAACTGCTATTCAGAATGCGTATGCATTCAGCCAGCGATACATGATGATTGCCGGTACAGCGTTAATGGGACTTTCAATTGCCTGGGTGCTGATGATGAGGAACATCAAAGTCCAGTCTAACAAGGATCTTTCCAAGGTGCTTTTCTAGGTGGATGACTAGAGCAAGGGGCCACCTGGTTCCGATAGAACCCCGGACTCGAGTGGGGTGGGTGGGGCAGAGTCAAGTGTCGATTGAACGAGATGAAAAGGATAATATATGACCTGGGTAGCTTAGAGCAGTGATGAAGCAGATCAGGGAAGAAATATATACTGAGAAGCAGCTTCCCACCATTGTTTTACTATCATCCCGACGGTAGACGTAGTAGTAGGACACTCTTGTGCGTGATGAAACATTATCAAATTGAAGAGGCTTTCAATAGCTTTCGGTTTAATCGGTAAACCCAAGTAATGACGTGGAATCAAAAAGCGGCATAAGGTGAGCAGGAGAATAGAAGGGGAAAGTTCTTGAGTGACAGACTATATAGTAAAACGAGAACGACTTTTGTATTGTAACACAAACTGAGAAACAAATATAACTTTTTGATAACCGTACACCATAGACCATATACACCATAGCTCCAGCCATAACCCCGATACTCACTGCCGGATGCAGGGACCAGTTCGAAGCAAGAATCAAACGCTCGCGCGATGAACATTCCGGATATGCGCAGTCAAGTTATCCTTTCGATTGAACGACTTCCGGCACTCTCCCTCGGGGCATTCATATAAGCCCGGCGAGATGTGCTTTGTTTTGATGTGGCGTAGCAGGGCTCCCATTTGAGAAAATCCACCTGAGTATTCACAGTGCTTCCATTTGCACTTTAGTGGACTGCCACGGCTAGATCTATGCCAGACGGATGTTAGAACTCACAGCTAAAAAGGGTACCCCAGAGGGACAGAGAGTTATTTCAAACAAAACATACTTGACACCCATGGAGACTTTGCCATAAGATGTAGGAATCTGGAGGCTATCATCTGGGCCAGCGATCGATCCTTGCTCTTCGTCCGCAGTGGAGATGATTGTGGAGGTGATGTCAGACATCCCGTCGTGAAGGTCAAGGCCCGGAGTATCAGCGGCAGCGGCGCCCTCCCCGCCGTAGAGCCCTTCTCGTATTGGTCATCGGTGATCTCATAGAGAGTGCCGAGTGAAGTGGAAGCCGCAAGGTCAGGGGTGATGGGAGCGGAGGGGGATTCGAGAAAAGGGTCATATGAAAATTCGTCCACAGGAGACCAGGGGTCAGCAAAAATGCAGGAGAACGGGGAATCGCTTTCGTTCCACTGATCTCCCCCTCTTGGGCGAGGTAAGACAAGTCATGCTCGAATGATTCTGTCATGGTGTAGATCGTAATTCGCAAGAGCGGAAGGTACCAAGCTTAACGAGTTTCATGTAGAAGAGAAATGATGAGAGCGACCTACATATAAATGCGGGGAAAGTCATGGGGTATCTACAGCTTATATACTGAGCCTTGGAAAGGTTCGCGATGACCTACCTGGGTGCCTTGCGAGGTATTTTGGCAGAGTTTTCATCACCCCAGCGCCACACGTCACCACGATTGGCGATCTTAGCAAGAACCTTGAGAGGGGGCAGCTCAGGGAGTGGCGCAGGCACGATATGGACAAATTGAAATCTTGACATATGACTGGATGTGCACCTTCAGGGCTTCTTCGGGTGCCTTGGAAAACGGCTTACGTGAAGAAGAGCCCCAATTGCCAATTGGTCTGGTAGCATCGAACTGTGGCTGTGATTTCCATTAGTTGGGAAAATTGATATCTGACCAAACAGGATCTCCTCCCTATGGCCCAAGCGTTTCTTTGTTTTTTCTATCGCACCCCGCGCCTCGATGATTTTGCACCCCTGCCGTCATCCAGGCGCAGTATGATAAGACCTTGTCTGGCCAACCATTTGGCAGATTTCTTAGGTATGGCGATGCTGAAATAATAAACATAATATACTGTTGAAAAGAAAAAGCGAAGACAGAAAGGCATCGAGAGATGATGACTTGTCGAGTCCAAGGGGCCTAACCACTTTAGGCAACAATCTAGCCTAAGGCCAACATTCTGATGATCAGTTGAAATGTTCAAAGACATCGACACATTATTTTCTCAGTGGTCAAGGGACTAGACTGGCTACATTCAAGTCCACTTGGAATGAGAAGTTATCAAACATGAACATTGTATGTGAGCAACTCGCACTCAAATAAACTTGAGTTTGGTCTACCGTACTTGTCAATGAGCGTCTCCAGGGGTTTTTGGGAGCCTTGAGAGTACTATGATAAATGCACCAATGTATTGATTAGTATAGATTGATACCATTCATAATATTATAAATTGCAGTTCAAGATAGAGTGTTTATGCTTGGTCCTTGGATCTTGCAAGTGCTGTCTATATTCATGCTCTACATGGATTCGGCTCATTTTTGTGATGTAATTTTCTAAATTAGTCAAGGTGGTTATCATCTTACTTCCACTGCTAATAGTATCGCCGATGAGTGCTGTCTCGGCTCCCATGACATTAGTACCCGCTGATCAGCATGTCACAATGCCTATCATTGCGTCTTTCTCGTGAAAATTCGATTTTTATAAATGATAAGCTCTCAGATTTCATGAAGGCTCGTTCCATGACAGGCTTTTTATTGCTTCTGCAAAGCAGTATAAAGTATGTCGGCTTTTTAAGATCGTCAAAAAAAAGATGTTAGAAAGTCAGAAGCTGTGTAAAAACAATTGACTCTTGCGTGGCTTTGCCTTAATTTCATAAATTCTGTGAGTAGGTGCGATATCAAGTTGTGTTCCTACTCGTCCTTTCATTCTCGAGATATATAGACCCTGGTGAGGGTTCATATTTTCTTCGGGTGCAAGGTCTACAATGCTAAAAGCGAACGAACGGTCACTCCAACCTATGAGGCCATTGAGACGACCGCAAGGGTTGTTACGTTAAGGCCTCATTACCGCTAATGGATCTTAGAACGCACTAGTCGAGGCTACCTAATCTGGTTACAGACCAGCCCCGGAGGGCGGGTCCCGCCAGGGTGGTCCGTGTCGGCGGGTGGCGCCGGGGCTGTACCATGAATCACTGGTCCCTGATACTTCCAAGGTTCCACCATGCTCTCTCTTTTATGGGCATTCGCCTCAAGCTACAAACCTAGGGGCTACCGCTATAAACTGCGAGAAACCAATGACCTCACATTATCTACTTCTTCTCAAACCTCTTCCCTCCATCGATCGTTTCTTTTCCAAGAGTGCTATCTCACTTCTCTTCTGGCTAGTTCGACCACACCCTGCGCAAGATGACAGTCGTAAACTTTATGGCCTAGAAAGCCTGGTGCAGAAAAGTAACCAGAAGTAAAAATTGACTCTTGGGAATCAAATAATCCAGAGTGTTCATAATTTATGCGCGGCTTGGTCTGCTGTCTTCGTGGCCACTCAAAATAGTCTTTGATCAGGAACCAAAACAGCCTTAGGGGAAGCATTTGAAGTGTAAATTAGTAAAGGGATGAAATAAGACGAGCCAAAATAAATAGTCTTGTCCGTTCCAATGCAGCCAATGGCCCACATTTGCGATATCTTGGTGTAGTCATTGCGGGTCAAGTCTTGAACGGGGGTATTCAAAAGTCCCATTTTTCTCAGCGATCCTCGGTAGAGGTGCGCAGTGTCAAGAGAGTAGATGCACCGGAACTCAGCCGTGTGAATATTCAGGTATATTATCTTGAGCGCAACCTTCTAATCACTCTCATACCCCATCTCCTCCAATGACCACAGCAAATGAGCGTTGTTATCGGGGTCTTGAACCTCCTGGGCATTGGGAATCACTTCATTAATTCCCTCTATCTCTTTCAGTTGGGATGACCCAGACTTGTAAAATAGCATCAAAGCATCCATCTGCTCATCGTGCTCCTCGTTCTCACCCTTCTGGTATCCCCGAACACACAAGTACTCTAGCCCAACTGGTAGACATTCTACCAGATTCAACTTTTCCCTCTTCTTGTATGATTCTCCGCTAAAGCCAGCGGCAAAGTATAACAGAAAGTTTATCCCCAAGCTCAACCGTTTCAAGGCCACGAATTCTTTCAGTGACCCACCATATGTCCATATCAATTTGTAGAATCTAGTGATTTCATCGCTGATTCTGGTTTCATTAAGGCCCCCGTGTTCATTGAGTTGAATGTCTCTCTCTTCCTCATCAACCATTTCGAATGTATAAATTTCATTTTCCACGTCGACATCAAGAATTTCTAGAGTTTCCTTGTGTGCGCAAAGGACTTTGATGAACGTTTTGGGATTGAATGTAGGAGATCCCCCATCACGGCTCGCTCTACCTCCGATAGAATACTGAAATTCCCTGAGGACCTTGCACGACCATATCGGACCCGCAAGGTAGAGAGAACTAACCGACGAATGATGGATGGAGATCTTGCTGATATTGGAACATTTCTCTTTGAATTCAGGAGTTCCGTTTTTATCCTCCTCCATTACATCAACGCGGACGGATTCAATCGACAGAAGATTGTCAAATAGCGTCAGGCAGCCAGAAAAGTCCATTGCCTGATAGAAACGACTATCAGCCCAGGAATCGTCGCTCTTGTTGATGAGATAAACACTGCGGAGGTTGCGAAGATATGGCTTGTTTTCGGGACTGGCGTTAGCTTGACGAAGGATCTCGGCAAGCGGGAAGTCGATTACGCGGTTGGAGCTCATGCCAGATGGATGTGTCATAGCCATCGACACAACATTCGGCGATACCACAATCAGGATAGCGGTCAGCGCTTGGCTGATGAATGTACCGAGGCTCTCGCGATGCCTGTCCACCTAGTCAGATAGTTGCTCGGAGGCCAATATCAAACGAGATTCTCACCAATAGGCAAATGTTGCCGTTTTATCCATCCTCTGCGTAAGCATATTGACCACTCGATCCTCCTGGGCTGTGAAACCACCTTTTCTCACCGCACTTCGCACGAGATTCATCTCCTCATTGCTCAAGTCTCGCTGAGACTCGACTTCCTTGTAGTCCATGCGCATGCATGTTGCGGTGCAGCATTCGACATGACGCACGTAATTACCCAAGTTAGGTCGTTTCAAGATATCCATAAGCAAGGCAAATGGCCTATCGATATCTTCCTCCCCAGAGGAGACACTAATTCGGTGATACTTCTTGCGCGTTGCCATATCGCACATAGAGTGAAGAGTTCGACCTTGTACTGAGAGAGCGGCCACATCACGGTTAGAAAGAAGGTATGAGATTATCCGCTGATGAACCTCGAGGGGCAGACTGAGAAATGACATAACTTCTGCTCATCCTCTGTCAATGTGGAATTGGAGGTTTGTTTAAACTACGGCTTTTTCTCTCTCGGAAAGGACTAGCCTAGGCATCCGCACTGGTGCCTGAAATTTGGTCTTGGCATTTTGAAGCTTTTAGTCGGCTAGACAACCCTCACTACTTTAGACTTGATAAGATTTGGGCTTCTATTTCCTCTTCTAAAAGGGGGAGAATACTTTATGATAAAGAGATATTAAACGAGAAAGAAAGATATCATGTCGTGATGGCCCCCAAAATATGTTAACCCCGCAAAACCTCTCCACGGAATCACTTTCCTATTCTGGTGCGCGAGGATCTATATTAAACGACCTGCTCCAGTGCTCCTATTTGTCCAACTTCACATATTTCCAACCTCAGTTTTAAAAATGACCCAGATCTTCCTGTAATTGGAGACTCTTTTCTTGATGCGTGATTGGTTGCTAACTCGTGACTCCAATTACAGTACCGGTGCCACGGGCTACATTGGGGGTGAAGTCCTCCACACTTTGCAGCATGCGCATCCTGATTACGAAGTGACCGCCTTGATCAGAGATAATGAAAAGGCCGGCAAGGTTTTGGCTGCATTTCCTAAAGTCCGTGTGGTCCTTGCGGATTTGGACAACGTTGAAACAATTGAAAAAGAATCCCGCAAAGCCGATATCGTTATCCGTAAGTCAATTTACGGGTTATAACATAGCCTATCATTAATGTTCTCTATTTAGATGCTGCTAGTAACAAGCATCTCGAAAGCGTGAAAGCGATCGCAAATGGCCTGGCGGGACGTCAGAATGGTAAGCCATCTGCTGCTGCAATGTCGTCTTTCGGGTTGATCGCTAATCGAACTAAACTGCAGCTTATTACATTCAAGTTACCGGGGCTAGTGTTCTTGCAGGCCCCGAGGTTGATAACAACTCATATGGCGAGCCCTCGGATCAAATCTTTGATGATTTAGATAGCGCTACTGATCTCCGGAACATAATTCGGGCGTACAAAGATCGTCGAGTGGTGGATAACTACATTCTCGACTTGGGATCAGGTGGCCCAAAGACTGCCATTGTTTTTCCTCCTATCATATATGGCACTGGTAAAGGTCCCGTGAATCAACGCAGCGTCCAGGTCCCCTCATTGGCCAGGGCCGCTCTGCTGCAACATGTTGGTCTCTATCTTGGCAGGGGACTAAGTCGATGGGGCATTGTTCATATCTCTGACCTGGCTGATCTCTTTGTCAAATTGGTGGAGCATGCTGTAAATGCCACTCCCGCTCCTATCTGGAATGAGGATGGCCTTTTCTTTGCGGAAAATGGCTTCGAGGTTGGTCCATAACCTAATATGCCCCAAATTATCCGTATTGATCTTCTTTTCTTCTTGCAGAGCTTCAAAGATGTCGCTTTAGTGATCGCCAAAGAGGCACATAGCCTCGGTCATATTGATTCGCCCGATTCGGTGCAATCCATGAATCTCGATGAAGCCAACGTAGTGATACCCAATGGAGTTGTGTTTTTGGGTACCAATGGCCAAGGTCGAGCTTTGCGGGCAAGAAAACTATTAGGATGGCAACCCCATGGCGAGAGCTTCCAAAAGGCCGCGCGGGAGACAATCATTGCTGAAGCGGCACAGCTTTGATCATTTTCAAGCAACATTCATTGCAAGCAAGTGTTACATTTGCAATTGATATTTGTTTGGCCCAGGCATACTGCTTCAATCAATCTTTTTTAGTTCATTACATATTCTTTGCCCAGGATATGGCGGTTCCCAGTGGGCATATTGTAGTCTTAGGGCTTTTGTGTCCACGGGACTAGATATCCGAGATGGGAACATTCATTTCACGCGCTCAGAAGCTTCGCGAAAAAAGATTATAATGGCCGATATGATACACTATCTCAGGGTATCTACTCGGTTACTGGCCTTTGGACCTTATTAGACATAAATGTGATAAAGATTGGCGAGCTTTTGAACCCGTGCTAGGAAGCGACTGGATCAATTCAAAAGCAACCAGAAGCTATCACCGGGCTAAAACCCATGAATATGGCAGTCCTTCCTCCCACTTGCGCATGATTTATCAAGAAATTCATATTTCAAACAAATTTCTCATTCTCGACAGTAAATAAAATTCTCCAGGCGAATGTAAAACAGTCTTAGTCATCGTGTCCCCGCCGCCTTGTCTGACCGCCTCCAAATTTGCCGGACTTTACTTTTTTTCCTTTACGATTTTTATCACCGCCAAACAGCCCTCTTTCTCATCCCAATACATTGCTTTCTTTAACTCTTCTCCACCTCGTCGTCAGCAATCATCATGGCGACTCTGGCGGAGAAGCTTGAGAAAATCAAGTCTCCCAAGTTGCAGAATCAGCATCACGTAAGTTTTCCCGCTGCATACCCGGTGAATTGGTGAATTGACTAACATATTGATCCGTGAACAGACTGCTGTGGTGCTCTCTGCAGTTGAGGATACTCTCCGTGATCAAAAGGCAGACTTCTCACCTACCGCATATTTCGCCGCTCTCCTTGCACTGCTCTCCCAGTCGTTGTCCGCATCCCAAGGCATTGTCAACAAGGATCTAGCGACATCCGTTGTCTACCTTCTCGACATCACAACCGTTTACGTCCCCGCCCCAATCCTTTGCTCCAAATTCTCCCAGATCCTCGAAGGTCTAGCACCCGCGCTTTCTCTTCCCGAGGTCGAAGCTCCGCTCCTGCGTCCTTCAATTGGTTGTCTTGAGTCTCTGCTCATTGCCCAGGATGCTGCATCATGGAACCTCCCACACACACAGGTTGGCCCGCGACGTGCAATGGCAGGTCTGCTGAGTCTCTCGGTTGACCACCGGCCCAAGGTGCGGAAGCGTGCCCAGGAGGCTCTTGTCAAGGTTCTCAAGTCGCCCCCGCCGAGCCCGTCTCTGGACCACCCAGGTGCAGATATGTGCGCTCAGTCTGCGATGAAGACTCTTGGTGATAGCATCACAGCCGCTCACAAGCAAAAGAAGGGTCGTCATGATGCTCAGGCTAACAACCACGAGCCTCTTATTATTCACTCGTTGCAGCTGATCAAGACCATTGCCTCGGCGTCAGGTGGCTGGCCCAGCAAGAAGATCGAGCCGCTCAGCGAACTTCTGATGAACGCCTCCCGCTCTAGCAACGAGTACATCACCATGGGTGCCTTCGAGGTATTTGAGGTCATTTTCGAGGGAATGGCTGATGAGTTCTCGTCTTCCAAGCTGCCCCGTCTTTTGGATGCTATCTCCGAACTCAAGCCTGCGCAGAATGACTCCCAGCTTCTCCCACCTTGGATTGCAGTGCTCTCGCGCGGCTACGATGTGGCCGCACAGATCACTCCCGAGGATACTTTCGAGAAGTTGCCGGATCTGTTCACCTTGATTTCTGGATTCTTGGCTTCGCCTTCCACCAACATCCGTGTTTCCGCATCGGAGTGTCTGATCTCATTCCTGCACAACTGTATCCCCAACTCTGTTATTGTGGACCCATCTGTGTATGATGAGAAGACCTTGGAGAAGTTGTCTCGTGCAGCCGTTGACCTTCTGTCGGTGAAGTACCAGGCTGCTTGGAAAGAAGTCTTCAATGTCTGCTCTGCCCTGTTCGATTGCTTCAAGTGGCGATCAAGCCCGTATCTTGTCAAGATTGTCTCCACAATCGGTGAGCTGCGCAGCAATGGCGGCTTCCACGGCAAGAAAGAGGCCGATGCCGTTCTTGGTAGTGCTATCGAGGCAATGGGCCCCGAGGCAGTCTTGGAGATTCTTCCCCTCAACATTATCGAACAGAAGGCTGGTCAACCCGGCCGTGTCTGGATGCTGCCCATTATGCGCGATAGCGTGACCAACACGAACCTTCGCCACTTCCGTACCGAACTCGTTCCCCTGAGTGAGGCACTTTACCAGAAGGTGGTGAACTTCGGTGCCGCTGAGAAGTCCGTGGAAGTGAAGATTTTCGAGACCCTCGTCCAGCAGACCTGGGGTACCCTTCCCGGTTACTGCGAGCTGCCTCTCGATCTTGAGGAGGCATTTGACCAGTCATTCGCTGAGCTTCTGTCTAACGTTCTCTACAAGCAGACTGAACTGCGTGTCGATGTCTGCCGTGCTTTGCAGAACCTGGTTGAGTCTAACCAGGCTATCTTGGAGGTCGAAAACGATGAGGATGATCTGATCTTGCAACGCCGCATCACCAAGGCCGCTGCAAAGAAGAACCTCGCTCATCTCGGCAGTCTTGCGAGCAATCTGCTGGCTGTGTTGTTCAATGTCTACAGTCAGACCCTTCCCCACTACCGCGGCTACATTCTACAGTGTATCAATGCCTACTTGAGCATTACCCCTGAAAATGTAAGTTACTCTTCAGTTTCGTACACAAATCACCACGGACTAACATTCTTAATAGGAGCTGAACGAGACTTTCAACCGCGTCACTTCAATGCTAGAGTCTTCTTTAGCTGCCGAGCAAGAGACAGCAACCAAGCAGAGTGCTCAATCTCAGGGCTCATCCGACAAGATGCCACCGACCTCCCACACTCTGATTGACCTTGTTATCGCTATGTCAATCTACCTCCCTCGCTCCAGCTTCAGTGGCTTGTTTGCCATGGCGGCAGCTATCCTCAACAGCTCATCCCCCAACCCGGATCAGCAACTCATCAAGAAGGCGTACAAGTTGATTCCCCGACTTGGAACAACTGAGACCGGCCGCGCCGCCCTCCAGGAGCGCAGTGGAGAGTTGCAGGCTCTCATGCTTGCCACCACCGATACCACCCCTGCGTCTGGTCGCCGCGACCGTATGCTCGCTATCACCGAGATGATCAACCACCTGCCCACCTCGGATCTGCATTTCATCCCGGCAATCCTGTCTGAAGTGGTTCTGGGCTGCAAGGAGAGCAACGAAAAGGCACGCACAGCGGCCTTTGACCTGCTGATTCTCTTGGCCAAGCGCACAATCGACTCAGAGCGTAACCCTCCCGGCACTGTCATCCGCAGATCCCTTGTGCCAGGCGTGGCGGATGATTCTCCCGATGCCCCCGCCACCCTCGAGGAGTTCTTCACAATGGTCTCAGCCGGTCTGGCTGGCTCTGCTCCTCACATGGTCGGCGCCACCGTCACCGCGCTTTCCCGTCTGTTTTTCGACTTCCAGACCCAGCTTCAGCCTGAGATGCTCAAGGAGCTTGTTGAGACCGTTGAGCTCTTCCTTACCTCCAACAACCGTGAGATCGTTCGCTCTGTCCTTGGCTTCGTCAAGGTTGCAGTCGTCGTTCTCCCCGACGAAACCCTGCGCCCCCGTCTGAATACCATGGTTCCCAGCCTCATGGCCTGGAACAAGGAGCACAAGGGTCGTCTCCGTAGCAAGGTGAAGGGCATCATCGACCGACTTGTGCGCCGATTCGGTGCTCCCCTCCTAGAGGCTATCGTCGGCGAGGAAGACCGCAAGCTTATTGTCAATATCCGCAAAGCACGTGAGCGCAGCAAGCGTAAGAAGAAGGAGGGTGCCGAAGACGAAGATGAGGACGAAGAGGAGAAGGCCTCCAAGCCCCAATCCGGCAACGCCTTCGACAAGGCCGTTTATGGTTCTGACTCCGACTCCTCTGACAACTCGGACGACGGCGACAGCGATGTCGATGTCGACGACGTCGCTCAGATCAAGGGCCGAAACTCCAAGAAGAAGGCAGGCCAAAGCACCCAGTACATTCGCGAGATGTCCCCCGAAGATAATCCTCTCGATCTCCTCGGCTCCAACGCTCTGGCCAGCATTTCCACCACCAAGCCTAGCCAGCGCTTCCTCAACACAGGCCCCGGCTCGAAGAAGAAGCGCGCTGCCAAGGTCGACGCTGATGGCCGTCTTATCCTCGGCGACGATGGTGATGTCGTCGCTGAAGATGTCGAGATGTCCGGTGCTGGCGACGGTGGCGTTAACGCCTACCTCGCTGCTGTCAGCGGACCCGACGCCGTCCGTCGTGGCCAGAGAGGTAAGGTTAAGATGGGCCAGTCGTCGAAGAAGAATGCTGGCGATAGCATGGATGTCGATGAGGATGACCTGAAGAAGGACCTGCGCGCTTCTGGCTCCGGTCCCAGCTCTGGCCGTCGTGGTCTTGGTGCACCCAAGACTTCTGGTGCGCCTGGCGGTGGTCGCATTGAGAAGCGTCGCAATACTGGAACCGCTCCCAGGGGTGGTGGCCGCTCAGGATGGGGCAAGAAGAGATAAACTAGTTACTTTACAGTAAGTCGTATCTCTTTCTTGGCTTGTCTGTCGGACTTGGGTACTTTAGGAGAGAAGAGGGTGGCATCTAGCAGATCCCGGAGTTATCGTTATGAGTTCCCTGTTTTTGATTTGTTTCTTTTGTTTCTGCCATCTGGTCTTCGGTTCCTGTCGTGCTTGGTTAGTGTTGACGTTCTCATAATACCCTCCGCTGGTGATTCCGTTGACTCTGGGCTTTTTTCTGTTTCGATGCAGAGTTATTCGACTCCGTCTTTTTTCATGATATGATTACGATTCTGTTCAAAAGTTTCTTTTAGGTCAATGGACATAGATATTGTTTCACTTTTGTGTAGGATGTACGTACACGTAGCCTATAAGCTGTGCATCGGTGGGCAGCCCTGTATTTAACAGGATTACCTAGGTAGGTAGTTCTGCTGTATCGAACTTCTATCCAATGAGCGAATTATCTGATATCCCATGGTGATGATGAAACGCTACTGGTCAAGTACACTCAACTACAGCCAAATACCCAGAACCTCAAATGCATTATGACTTTTATCATATTCTCATTTGCAAAACAGCTTATCATGCAAAAAAAAAAAAAAAGTGTATCGAACATATCAATCAGAACTTCATGAACGCGAGCCAGCCAACCAGGCAGCTCAGCAGCATTTTCCACAGCCCACATCGCTCGCCCAAAGAAGTAGACGTAGAGTGCGACGCAAAAGGGACAAATAACAAAAAAGCTCACGAGCTCTAGACCAGACGGCATAGCATCCATCAAAGCCATAGCGTCGACAGCTTCCTCGCAATATACAGCAGACGCAATAGTCCACCGCTCGAGCATCTGAATCCAGCCAAAACTCCATCGCCGATGCAATTCAAACAATCACAATCCGCCACGGCGCAGAAATCGACACCGTCGCTCATCAGGAGGTTATCGACCGGTTGTACTGACGCCCTTTCGTTCCTTTTCAACACTCGGTCTTTCAATGCAGGTATCAAATACCCGACCCAGGAAATAGAGCAAGCGGTAAGTCGACAGAGCACACAGACCAGACTATATCTGATCTAGCATACACTGACCCCAACAGACCAAACACAGACAAGCAGGTGGTAATAGAAACTAGAACAGAATCTCTCCACTGTGCTCTGGCTCGAAACCGAGCGCTTGCAGCTCATCGTAGCGCTTCTTGTCCCCTGTTTTCCGCTTCGCGTCCTCCTTCTTCTTCAGCTCGAAGACTTCTTCGAATGGGGCTCTGGTCAGTGTGGGTGGGATATCGTCTTCGCGGTCGAGGTCCTGTATATCAATCAATCGAGAGTTCGTTAGCGTAATTCCTTGCCGTGATGACTTGTTGACTTCCACGGGGCAAATTCCGTTGGTAGGGGAGTGGGAGAGAGGATTGAGATTGGGGAATTGATCATACCACTTCGCCTAACAGAAGCACATTCTCTCCACGAACGATGAAGATGCCGCGCGAGACATCGGCATACAACTGTCCGGCATAGACGCGCTCTACGGTATCCTGGAAAACAAGGTTTGCTGCGAGGTTCGAATGTCAGATAAAGGGCGAGAGATTTGGGCTGAGTGTGCGACTGGCATACCGAACTGGTCCCAGCTTCGGAGGACACCGATGAGTTTGCGGCCGTCGCGGAGGATGAGGACAAGTTTCTCTGCAATTGGGTTAGCTATGTTCTTCTCTCGCTCGTTCTTTCCGCTGAATCGCTGTGACTCCGCGTCTGTACACAACGTACTATCTGTTAGGTCAAGCAGCTGTGCGGCGGTCGTGAACATCTGCGGGGGTAATTGCGGTGGGCCTCCGGTAGGCTGGGGGCCTGCTGGGCCGAGGGCATTCTGAGAGAATTGTTGATTTTGCTGCGGGGTTCGAGGAGCCAGGGCAGGGCTTTCGTTTAGAGATAGGCGCTCCATCGTGTGTTGGGCGGAGAGAAAATCGGAAAGCGGTGGGGAGGGGGGTAGGTAGGCGGTGGTGGGACACTGATGCAGAGAGGGTTAAGACTTTGATGTGGATGTTCTCATTCTGCTTCTTTTGACCATCGCGATGGATCGAGGTCGCAAAGGCCGTCATCAAGGGCGGTGAGTTTGTCTTGTTTGCTCGGGATCTATACGTTTTTGGCTTTTGATATTCTTCTCTTGTAGAGAACAAAGAGACACAGATACTCTAAAGGGGGAAAAAAAAATACACTTGCAATTCTAAAGGGTTCAAGAAAAGTACATGCTATACAAAAGCGAAAGGGGGAATATCCAAAACCAAAAACCAAAACCTCGAACCAGAAGCCAAGAGAAGGTGTCTATATCTACAAAACCCCGACACCTCTCTGCTGTCCCCTCATCCTCTCCTCCCGCCGTTTACTATATGGCGCATAGTACGGCTCATCAGCAGAGCCAATACTAGCCCTAACACCATCCTGTGAGCGATGATAGGCCGGACTCGACGGCGCGGGCGGCAACTGCATAGCCTTAAACTGGGCATCGGTGATAACCCGCATGCCATAAAGATACCGCATAAGCTCGAAATCCGGCCGGCTACCTGCAAGGGTCTGGCCAAGACAGTAGTGGTCCACATCGACATGGTCGAGCATACGATCCCATGCGGAGGGGAAATCTGTCAGCGGGGTTCGGACAATGCCATCGATAGAGTGGGCCGATTCGGCATCCTCGAGAACTGGCGACGACACGGGGTCCGATATGCCGTCGACAAATTTTGTATTCGGACACAGCGGACACCGCGCTGACGGTGGGGTCGGGTGGGAGCGAAAGTGGCTGAAGACGTGGGTGCGCCACTCGGTGCCGTCGTCAAAGGACTCATGGCAGTCCAGCATATGGAAGAGACATGCGTATGTGCGCTGCTCTGTGCTGGCTGTTAGAGATATGGGTATTGACGGCGTCGCGGATGATATAGAGGCTGCGGTGGTATCCCAGGACGAGAGCGAGGCACGCGATAGAGCGGGCTCTGGGGGACTGTCGGTGGTGATTAACGGTGTCATGCCACCAAGAACGTAGATCCCATCTGGGCTGATATCCCCATGTGGGGATTCAACGCCAGTCCCGGGCCTGGTATCCACTGATGAGATTGATGGGGACGATGCGCTAGACAAGGCCGGCATGGCGGGCGAAGACGACATGGCGGTGACGATGACGCTCGGCTGCTTTTGCTTTTTGGGTTGTTTTTGCGACAAGGCGGGGGTCCTACTTGAAGCCGTGCTGCCGCTGGCGATCGAACTCACGCTGATACTGACACTGCGGGCAGAAGAGGATCGACGATCTCGATCTCTATGCCGGTCTCTATTCGAGCGTGAAATGATAGAATCGAAGTCGCCTCGAGGATCATCGGGGCTGTGCTTGCGCTCCGACATGCTCCGTGCAAAAGATGGAGGTCTATTGCGGATGGATACGGCTGGATCGCGTCAGAGTCGGGTTACCCGGGGGTTACATAGTAATATAGCAACCTGATAGAGGTATAGGGAAAGAAAAGTTGGGGAATGAGAAACGAGAAATACATACACCCTCCGATATCAGATTAAAACTTCAGATGCTTTGTCAACATGCATGACATCCGGTTCGCATAAGTAAGGCCTGTCTTAGCAAATTGAAGTGGGGGACTTTTTGGAATTTTCCGATCTAAGTCTTAGGGCGGGGCTAGTTGGCTTATAAGGGGATTTGGGTAGTATTGACTATACCTTATAAGCCGAAATTGTGTTCTCTTTCAAACGTTTAGATGCAAGGTCTGGGATACAATGCACGGGCACAGGGATCATACGGTTTGTCTGCAGATTTTGGCCGTTTTACTAGCATTTGTGGATTTTGTGGAAGATTTGTATAGAAAACATTGAAATATGTTCGGAACTTGGGGGTTTTAATTAAAGATATCTCCGTAAAATATCTCAGGTCAAGGTTCTACACATAGATTCTTCATATATGGTACTAAGTAAACTACAGGGATGGGAATCTACGGTGTTCCTCAACGGCAGTACTTTGATCTGACATGTGAATGTTCTTTGATTCAATTCCTGGAATAAAGTTGCAATCTGTTTCAGATTCGATATCTCAAAGATGTACCGGGTCGACTATACCGCAACACTAAAGCCAAGTATATAGTGATTGCGGGGAGATATCACATGCAAATCAAGCTAAGACCATATAGAAAAAAAAAAAAAGATTGAAATTTCTTGATTTTGCTCACATTGTGAGGAATTAAGTTAGAGAAGAGAAAGGAAGGATCCGAAGTGAATGAGACCACAGGCCTCAGGAGAGGAGAATGACATAAAAAAAAGTAGAAGCAGGTCTTTCGACACGGAATTTTGAACTCGAAAAGGAAAAAGGAAAAAGTCTCCAGAGAGGAGTTGAACAGCCAAAGGTAAAACAAAAGATCCCAGTCCGTCTATTTGGTGGAAGCGCCAGAGATAAGAAAAATCAAAACCAATCCGACACCGTTGATGCCCGCAAGCCAGAGTAAAAATGCACAAGTCTATATCGTTTCGTAGCGCGCATAACATAAGTTTTCAAGGCATAAAGTTGCAAGAGAGTTAGAACCGGTCTGCCAAATCACCGCCAGCAACGGAATTGTTAGCTGACGAGTTCATGGAGGAAAATCCGGCAGCGGGGTTGAGCATGTCCTGCACCGCAACCTTGGGAATCTGGGGCACGGGCAACTTGCGCTGCGTCCCGTCGGGTTTCGACATGATATCGGAAATGGTTGGGCCCATATGACCCTGGTTCGGGCTGTAATAATTGGGACCTTCGGGTTGCGGCTCCATAGGCGCCAGCGCAGGGGTGTGCTGGAGGGACAGGTGGCGAATCGAAGGCAGATGCAACTCGCTGGCACCGAGAGGGCGCAGACGGGGCGAGTGTGCAGGAGTGGCCAAGGGAGTGTGATCGGGGGTAGGAGAAAGAGAATCATGAGAGAAAGTAGGAGAAGAAGGAGCGGTGGAGTTGGGTGAGTTGGGACGAGAGCGCTTGACACGGTGGCCATAGCCGTCATCCTCATCGTTGGAATGCGAACGGGTCATGCTCTGCGAAATCGCATACGCGGAAAGCGAAGGAAGGCCACGGCTAGTGCCGTGATGACGAGAGCCAAACATCTGGTGTCCTCGAGAGCCGTGGAAGCCCATGTGGTCATCACGCTCTACTTGCGACGCAGCAGTGGCCAGAAGGTTGATATCCATTCCGGAAGAAGCGCGCTCCGTGGTACGAGAGTAAGGACCCAAATTTGAGCGCATGTGATTGGCATAGTTGGAGAAGGAGTGAGGAGGCGAAACATCCGGAGATCCGACCTGAGAGACTGGAGCGGAGCGAGTGATGGGCTTGCTGGGAGGCGGCATCATGTTGGCAGCGTTGACCATGCCAGTATCCTGTCCTGCAGCGGCCGCGGCCGCTGCCAAGTGCTGAGCCTTGTTGCTGCGGCGCGAGTTGGGGTTGTTGTGAATGCGCGAGTGGCGAGTGAGTTCGTCGGATCGACTGAAGCGCTTCGTACAACCGGGGAACTGGCAGGCGTGTGGCTTCTCACCAGTGTGCGTGCGGATGTGCCTCGTCTGGTGCTCCAGGCGGTGGAAGGCACGGTCGCAAAGAGGACACTTGTACGGCCGAGGCAGATCCTGGCGAACCTCCTCGTTCGCGGGGCGTGCACCCTTCATGAGAGGCGGTAACAAGCTAACTGAAGAAGCCATTGAAGAGTCTCCTGGAGTCGAGGGTGTTGAATCGGGAGAAGATTCGTGAGGATTAAGTAGATTTGAAAACCCCACTGAAGAACCCGGTGGTGGCATGTGAATTCCCTGGGGGGCGAATTTATGAAGGATTCTGAAGGGGGACCGATTTTATCGCAGGGGTCCTAAGCTAAGGTCGATCAAACACCCGGTTGGGATAGACGGTCGATCGAGATCGGAGTGATGCGCTAAGAATCCTGATAGCTTTGGAAGAAGTCGAGTAGAGTTTGTGGAGAGGAGTAAAGCAAGAGGAAAGGAAGGAGAAAAAAAGGAAGAACCTGGAGACGACGATCTGGGGAGTCACAAATAATATATGGAATGGAGGGGGAAGGGAGAAATCGGGGAGAAGGGGCAGTGTCGGAATCGGACTTGGAGAAAAGAAAATTCTGAAAAATTCAAGTTCAAAAAGCAAAAAATTGAAATTGAAATTCGAAATAAAAATTCGAAATAAAAATAAATTAAATAATTAAAAATTGAAGAGATTCTTAAGAAACCAACTGTGGGGGAGAAGAAGGGGAGGGCAAAATAGGAAAAGTGGGAAATTTTTGAAAAGAAAATTCAAATAGAAAATTACAAAACAGGAAATTTTAAAAAAATTAAAATTCAACTTTTTTTTTCAAAAATGAAAAAATACCTTTCAAGTGGGGTATGATCAACATATGGTTACAATATATAAGATTGACTAAACTATTAATCCTAATACTTCCTAATATCTAACATATAATCCCAATATGTTAGTATATACGAAATAAGTACTCCAAAAAGAATCAAACTACGTAACTGCATAAAGCAAAAATGTGGGGACTCTCATTTTTGCTGAAGAACCGTGTGGCGTGAGGTGCGTGTCCCTATCCGGCTATCGCGCCTCTGGAGAATTTCTTATCAGAACATGGGGAATTTAAGAATTTCTACTGGCTCATACAACTCTTAACCTATCTGTGGATGATCAAAAATGATGGCATGCGGAGAGCAGATGACGAGCAGAACCTGGGGAATCTCCAAACCTCCAGATAACATTATATGTACGGTATAACTCTTGAGATACCTTAAAGAGAAAGTCTGGGGGTTTTACGATCATTCTAGGCCGGACCAGTCCAGACCTATGTACAATGGAGATCCTGGGGACCATCTGATCCTGTCACGGAGTGACGATAGCGAGGATCATCGATGATGTCGATATCTGAGGTTCAAATATCCGTTAAATCTTTTTGTAATAATTTAGTCACGCGAAAAAGAAAAAAACACACAAATCAACAAGTCATCCTGTGCAAAGAAGGTACGAAAATGACTCCCCAATCTGCGGCTTCATCAACCGGAGGAATCATTTCCCCCGAACCCTACAATGGCGTATAAAACCCTGGAATCCTTCACTGAGGTTCGCCGACAATCCCCCGGATTCCGGGGGTTAAGATGTGATTTTCTATTATTCTTGTTTTTTTTTTATATTTCACCACACCTCCTTAATTGATTATCATACGATAAAGCGAATGAACAGCTCTGATAGGCGCGGATCATCTCAATTATTGATAGCCCTGATGCAGCTACCATGCAGCCGCAAAGCCGCGTATCTCGACAAAGGGACCAAATGTGCCAGTGTCAGCCCCTGCACAATGAGCACTCGGCTGCATTCCTTGCACAAGAAGACAGCATCCCCGGCTCTGCCAAGACGCCCAATTATAGAAAGTGACGGTAGATTTCCTTTTTCCCGGCTGAATCTCAAAATCGAGGGTAAAGAGCCGGGGTCTGGGGCCCCGGTTCTCAAAAAATAAATAATATATTAAAATATGCATGTACTCCGTACTCCGTATTATTCTTCTATCTGTGGCACAGGTTCGCGCTTCTCTACTCCGTACTAGATACGGAGTACACAGGCTATTTTCACCCGAAGTTCCTCCGGAAGAGGCAAACCAAAGGGCCGAGGCGCGGGATAAACGGGATAAAGAAAGATACGCCTACTCGGCAAGGCCGTCCCGCCGACAGTCCGGTTTCCCCTTTGGATGATAAGGCGTTATCTTTGGGGTCCGGGGTGAAGGGCTCCGAGGTATTTCAGGGGACCTCGGGAGTACACTACCACACTGGGTAAAATATATTCACGTCTGTAACCACCTCTACCATATTGTATATTGTATATTGTATGCTCTATATCTACATCTTCAAGTCCAGTGCAGGGGCCCTTTAGTGGCAGATCTTAACGGAATTTCTACCCCCGGGAAAATTCAGCCGATCTCCACCGTTCCCTGGGGATATTCCCCTTGGCAAATCAGGACCATTTAGCAGACAACAAGCAAGGACAAAAGATAACGGGGCTTAATCAGGGCCCAGATTGCTATGCCGGCCCGACTACCGAGTTCGTACTTTTGGGCTGTACGGGGATCTGGAAGATATTGCACGAATCCCTGTTCTCCTGGCTTTGGGGAATAAAATGAGCTCACAAAATATACCCGACGGTACCGAGAACACTGCCGTAACCTGGAGTTCTCCATTTTTCTCCACGGGGAATATGGCACCATGCTAGTAGAATGAGACTCGGTGTGGCAATCTGCAGGAGATAGCCTGATCTCTTTTTTTAAAATTTTAATATTTGATTATTTTAGTCCAAAAAGCAGGTACCGGTCTATAAGCAATTACCCGCTTTTTGCCGATATTCGCGACGTGTAAATAATACGTACATTTGTTATAAATCATGAAACTACGGAGCTGCGGTGTTTCTGTTTCAGATGACGAGTTCGCTATGTATTACACTTTATGTACGTGTTGAAAACGGGATATATCTACAAAACAGCAAACATATCGGATTCAAAGCCCCGATATAATCCTTTCCCCGGAACTCGTCTCACTTTCCTAAGGTCCTCACAATCGATCCACAAAGCTAACTATGTACTCCGTACTGCCTTTTTAAGTGCATAGATAGTCAAAGGTGGGGGAAACCCAAACCGGTAATTCCGATTGCCGGCCCAAAATCGCAATATCGCGGCAAGAGAACCTCATCCCACAAACCGGCATAATCTACTTTTTTTTAATGATTGAGTTTATCAAGCCGATACAATACCCGATCATCATTCTCCAATAGATAAATACTCCATATCTCACCTACCCCGCAATCCCCAAGGCGTATCGCTTTGGGTGAACCCCGAAACACTGGCAGGAAACGATCTGCGACTGACATCTCAATCTTGCTGCCAAATCTGCCATGATCGTCGCGATCGCCCGTAGGATGGGATCCTCCGATATCGCTTTCGTCATGGGGGCGCACCTCCACAGGTCGATCTATCACGCCATCCGGGGAAAGCTGACAATCTAGTATCCCGTATATTGTACACGAGGGTACCTACTTATAGCCTTTCAAGCATACGCATTTGAATGTAGCGTACCACTCATGAAAACCGGATGATCCATGGTTCTCTTAGCATTCCGCTTCCCACTTTTCTTCCCGACAATGCTGATCAATCCCATTATTCTGGCATGCAGACCCGCGCACAGGGCGGGTACGTCGATCCTGGATGGGGGAAAAAAAGCAAAAACCAGTCCTACGGACAAAAAAAAAAGGGCCAAAACCAAGAGAGGAAAATGCGAAACATGGCAAAAAAGGCAAGGGAAAAATAAAAAAAAAAGAAAAGTCAAATGCTAGGAAGAATGACAATAATGCTCGATTAGGAGCGTGGAGATCCCCCCGGACTCCCTCCGTTATCAGTCCGGAGCCTCGTTGTGCTCCGTGTGGAATTCTTTTTCCATCCGAGCTCTTTCAGATTTGGGATTGAACCCTTGACAGTACCTATATTCTTAGTCAAGATGTCATTAACGACCAGTGATATCTATTTCTAGTACCTAACAGTTCGCTATCAATATCCCCGCACTACCCCCAGATCGTCACGCAAGATAGCGTCGGGGGGCTCGAGAGACAATATCTTTTATATTTCTCTATTACTCACACCTTATTCCTTAGATGGACTATTAATCCTGGATATTATAAACCGTACAGAGATTTTCCAGGGCAGTAGGTACGAGAGTTCGGGTCTGGACGCGACCGTCCCTTTCAGCCCACGCCCCCTTGCTACATGGGACTCAACAGTCCCGGTACTCGCGACTCGCTACTGGCTGTACTACATCCAACACGGTGTGAGTCATGACGTGCTCACGTCTCAGCTCCAGGAATATCCAAGCTGAAAGCGCCTAATAGAAAATCAAAAAGGGAAAAAAAGTGACAGGCCAACTAACAACAGGGGATCGACTCATCTTTCGCGCTCCGTTTCCAATCGCCCTGGCGCTGGGTTCTGTCTCCTGTTTTGCTGTCTGGAGACTGAAACCCCAACCGAACAAGGCGCCACCAGTCAGCAAGACAAAGACGTAATTTTACCCAGTAGGCAAAAGCGCAAAAGCGGGAACAGGGTATGTTAAGATGATTCAGGATATAATGGAGTACGGTAGTATATTCCGAAGTTCCATCCTGTCTCAAGGTGACATTTGGTTATGCTTGGCAGGTCTCGATGCGGGGGAGTAGTTTCAAAAAGGGAGAATCCGGGGTAGGTTTGGCTTTGGAGCAACATTCCACGAAACTCAAGGAATGAGGGGACCTTTCGGGTCCAGTTGCTTTGTACAGCGTGGGGGTGTATTCTATGAGGTTTCCCAAGAAGACACATATGCTTTGAAGAATTCACAGTGCAACCCTCCAGGGCTTTTTACATGTGATTACATAATAGATTTCCCAATTCGGCTATGGCTAAGATTACCCGTCTAGGAAATCCTTTTATACACACTCACTTTTCTTATTGCCCTCCATTCCGCCAAGGCGAGTGATCAGCGATCCACACCTTCTGGAACAATTAACCCCTGCGTCCAATAAGCGGCGTAAATGGCCTCACACTGATATCACCATATGCGGGGCCGCCATTCCGGAGTCCGTGGTCAGGCCATTGGTGGAATTCTACATTTGTCCGGGAGATTACACCCTATCTACAATCTATGTACATAATAAGATTATCTGGAGAACATGTGATATTCTGGGGAATATAGGTAGATAGCGTCAAAAAAAAAAAAAAAAGGAGACAGAAGTTTAGTCGGGGAATAGTGTCCGTTACCGTGTCCAGTTCCCGGTGAAGCCCCCGACCCCCCCATTCCATCTGGGCACCTGGGCACCTAGGGTAAAAAAATTCTCTCTTTTCAACTCCACTGAGCGATTTATGTTACCCCATATTTGAATGAATACCATAATACAACCCGCGGAAGCCGGGATCAACTTTTCGGAACACAATGCCCCTGTCGCTCAGATCCACATTGTCACGGTTCCTATGTAACTTAAGTCTTGAAGGACGCTACATTCAGGTACCATATGCAGTAGATCACCTAGTCCGAGATGAGACGGATCCCTTTAGTTTACATTTCCAAGTGGAATAACCCTAACCCATTAGAGAAACAGGGATAAGACAAAGGGGGGGAAAAAGGTACCAGAAACCCTTTCTCATCCTCTTTCAATCACACAGTGGGATCCGGGGCTTGAACCATTTCGCCCCATACACACACCATAACGGGCGAATCCCCGAGATCGAACTAGGCGTATTTAGATTTCGCTCGCGGGAGGAGTCCGCTCCGAACCAGCTACGCTCTCGCTAGCACGTGTATGGGGGATTTTCTTGAGAATAATTTGCATTTTAAATTTGAATTATTGAAAATCACAATCATAACTACGGGAGCTCCGGAGTCTGTCTTTCCCAATTAGGATATTCATGAAGCGGGGGGCCCAGATCTCCACGGGCATGATAGCTGGCTTTCACATGTCCTATATGTCACATGCGGGAATCATGTGTTTATCTTGTTGGCTTGAATAGGGGACGTTTTGATAAGAGTGACTAGAATGCGCCCATATGTGGCTGCCTCGGTTTCCCTGTGCAGCATACCTTGCATTGTGTACAATGCGTGTATATGGAGTACCTCAGGGAGCCAGATTGCGTCATTGAAGGGGCCATGTGTTTTCTCCAGATTTGTTGTCCACATTGATAAGAGATTGAGATGGACGTATTAAACACGTATTTTGCATTATACTTTGTAAGCACTAATCTTACCTAAGAGTGTATGTGTTCGATGACGACAGAGCTCATAACCTAGACCATTCTTCTGCAGGTACCAGACCACGGCATCAGCCCATAGGGCTGGAGAGAGACAACCCTCGGGTGATGTCGGAGGATGTGACATTCTAAGCTTATGGCATTTTTCTAGTTGCGGGGCTTAGTGCCGATACGGGAGTCTATCGAAACTCCACGATGATCAGGGGGCGTTTTTTTATTTGATGGAAGTCAGGAAGAGGAAGGTGTGCCATGTCTTGGCTATCTGTTTTCGCCTGAAGTGTAGTATAAACGGATATATACGGAGTAGTTTTGACACTATAAAGCACTACTCGATGGCAAATTCAAGGAAGTAGATTTTTTTTCACGGAGCAAGCACTGAGTCGAGTAACAGTAATTCAAAAAAGGGGCTCGGTGAGACTTGAAATTTTCTCCTGTGTCAGTTCCCGTCTCTGGAGCCTCCCGATTTACGCAACTCGGGCGAAAAATCCTCGGCGTTCCCGTGCCGAGTCGGCCTGTTTGTCTCTTTGCGTGTCACCGTGCCGGTTTCTATTTTGTAGGACTTGTATTAACTTGGTACTCTCCACACTATCCACACCTATTATTATCATTCCATACTGTATGTGCTGTATGGTTGGTTTTTTATTTTCTCAAAAAAAAAACCTCCTGCCACCCCGAGATTCTTCCGAGGTTCGGAAGTTGGGAGAGTCTGGGGTGAGCCGTGGGATGATCTGGATTCGCCGGACGTACTACCCATGCAGGTAATCCCCTAGGCTCTTCCCGTCTCATAGCGCTGTAGAGAATGCTTGTCTAAATTCTATTATTGTGTATTGCCAGCCTCGGGATGGAAGAGCCTCGGGATAACGGAAGTTCCTCGGATATAGCTGTTAGGTAATTCTTGGAGCACATCCTCTCTTCTCCTGGGTTTTGTATATCCAGTCTACTCCGCATGTAGCGGTGAGGCCCTGTGGAGTTTTTCAAAGTCTGTATGGCCAAGTTGTGGAGATCTGATAAAAATTTGCTGGATCTGGAGTGTGTGATTTGACCCGTCTCTTTCCAAACCCTAGATTTGCCTCTTCGGCGAAAAGAATGTCCAAATATCTAATAGGAAAGGTCAAAATAAAGATGTGAGAAGAATAATGATGGAAACCAAATACATTCTGTCAAAAGAGAAAGCTGAAATATCTCAGCCAACAATGTATATTCTTGAACCTCTCATACTCTCCAAACTCTTGAAGCTCACTCGACAATGAAATTGCACACCTATAGTCATTAATATGTTTACCAATTCCAACCCAAGTTATAGATACTTACTTTGGTACAAAAAGAAGCAGAGGAATTTCGTAATCGTAAAACTTTGTTCTAAATAGGAATGTAAAGAAACCATCAATTTGATCTCATCTACGGCAGCCTTTTGGGTCCATCGCGCCAACCTATATACAAGCCCTTAGAAGCATGAGATTATTTCTTCATTTTAAATAATTTCATGAACTCGCGATATGCCCTACACCAAAGCACATATATCTAAACCGCTCGGGCATCCCGTAGAGGAAGCCTAGCGCTACTATAAACCCCACTTTATTATCATCATCTTTCTATCGGTCTTTTTCAACGTCTTTTCTAGGGTCTTTTAGAATCTAACGGCTAACTCCCTAATATTATTAGTAGGACACCTTGATAGCTATTTCTAGACCTTTAAGGGACTACATGTATGTATAAATGTCCATGACAGCTGGTTAACCTTCTGGCGAAAAACCCGGCTGGCGTGATGGACCCCAAAACCTGCCGTACTCTTCTATAATCAGTCACTTCTTGACTATAAAAGAGCAGCATATGGACATATTTTTCTTATCCGTGTAATTACTTTAACCAATACTTTGATTATTTCCCCTCTATAGAAAACGCGCGACTAGATCAAAAGCTTACCATAGGAAAGAAAATAGACTCCAGGGCTAATTTGGTATCCGAATATCGGGACCCCTCAATAGTGTATGACACGCCCACTGGTAAGTTTCTACTCTAAATATTCAGTTTGCTCCCCGCAAGTTTCTCGTTTATCAGACCCAATTCGCCTAGACGCCGTCGAAGTCACTCTGCAAAGATGCGAACTAACGAAGATTCCCTCGGATGCCTTTTCTGGATGGAGCCAAATAGGCAAAGGCTCAGAATGGATTGGGCTTTGATATGACTAGATACTGCTGCGAAGACAGGCGGTCTCGAGATGTTCGATATCCTACGTGCCACTGGTGTAGATAACCTCGGGAGTCTGCATGGGTGCAGGAAGAATCGCTGGATCTAGCGGGCAGGTACCAATTCAAGAGGAGGACTATTCAGTATCCTCTGTCTCTACCTCTTCACATATTCCCGAGCTACTGAAGCTGGCAATCAATCTATGTTACGGTACCTGCTTTCCACTTGTGGGTATTCCCCAACTATCGTCTCGCGCAGCTCCGCTATTCTTCCGCCGCTGTTTTGGACCATTGCCCATCGCGATTCAATCAATGCTGGTGTGTAGCGGTGCCTGGCAGATCTAGTAAGATCAACTTTGATGTTATCACATTTGCGGGAAGTAGTACCTAATTAGGAAATACTCTCCGCGATTACTCCTATCTCTGATTTTCACCTCAGGCACTCTACTGGAACCAGAAATGACGTTTCTGCCACACCCGGCCGCCCGGGGAAACGAGAATCTCAAGTGTCAAGTCCAGACTAAGAGCGCCATCCACCCAATCTACTTTATACAGCGAGTCTTTGTATGATTTGATCCTACCAGCAACCCCTCAATCCAAATCCTAGACATTGAACAACACCCCCATTCCAATATCCCTCCAGCCTCGAGCTCCGGGACGCAATGGCACCCCCGCGCCAGCGCACTACAGCTATCGTGGACGACTCGAGGTCCGAAGCCTCAAGCGGCACAAGAGAATACCAAAAAGCCACCAAGTCCCGCAGACCAGCTGCTGCAAAAGAGAAAACCTCGATCACCAGCGCGCCCATCGTGGACAACCAGCACGCCGAGGAACAGCCTCGAGTATGTTTCATCCCAAGTGAAAGAGATCGATCAATCGCAACTCTACACAAAGCACAGTTAAGAGACCATAATCTAATCCCCTTTTTCTCTCTATAGCTCCCCTGGACAGACCTCCCCCTCGATATTCTCCACTCCTACCGCCACGTTCACAAACTCCCCACGCCCTCCGCCTTTTCGAGCGACTACTCCCGCATGATCCTCTCGCAAGGTGTCGGTCTCCGCTCACCAACCTCCCTCGCTGCCCGCCGCGCTCAATCCACCTCATCCCAAAATCACTCCAACTCCCACTCCCACCGAGCCCACACCTCGTCAGACTCCCTCTCCGACTCAAACTCAACGCTGCGCCGCACCGTCGGTCAGGACCGCGTGAGCAAAGACCAGTTCGCACTTGTGGTCCGGAAGCACTTCAACAGCGCCGGTCTCTCAGAGCAGGAAACTATTGCGCGGTTTTTGTATACTGTGCGTGAGGACAGGAGAGGGAGGCAGTTCCGATTACGGTTTCAGCCCTAAGGTGAGGTGTGAGTGTCCTGCTTTAGTCTCCTGGTCTTTTCCCCCCTTTCGTAGCAGGGGAAATGGGATCATAAGGAGCTTTGAATGGAGCTAGGGCTGTTCTGCTTCTGATTCCGCTGTTCTGATGCTAGCCCGTCCTGGTTGATGGTGCGCTCGGTTCCGTGCGGTGAACATACATTGCGTGTGTGGTTTGTTGGGTTGCCTTGCTTCGAGGATCAGGCGGCCTGTTCTCTTTTGATATTAAGATACCCATTGGCGTTCAGTGTGTTGATCTTGGTTTTTTTATCTTTACTTCTTGGTTTGTGAGTCGCGGACTCTTTCTTCTACTATGTATACTTTGCATATCATATAGTTGTGCAAGACACAGCTACACTCCTCTATTGTGTGTTTTCCCGTAGGCAACACTCTTATATTTTGTGGCCGTTTTTATCACGTAGAAACCCTTGGTATGGGGTTATCGAGTGTATGTGTTCCTAGATGAAGAATATATATTGAACCAGCCTCGTAGGCAGCACACATTATCAACATCTACAAGTATATATTAACTAATATTTGCTCGATAAAACAGTCCATCCTAATCAAATACTCACATAAGATGACCATAAACGTATATTGGTGTTGGATGATCCCATCTCCCGTTGCTTGCTTGGTAGCATACTGCTAGATCCTAGTATATAAATACCCTGTTTTTCATAGATTGAATGATGAACATGTCTTCCTTTTCTCTCTCTCTCTCTCTCTCTTTTTAACCGGTAGCTGTAACAATAGATATGAAGGTTATAGCAATACGCCATTCAATATCGGGAAGATGCAGGGCAACGCGTCGAAGAAGCCTTAATTTGAGAACACAGGAGCCTACTTGCTAGTATATATTTCATTTGTCATGTACATAAGAGCATGCATGTCCTCTCCAGTAAGCAAAGAGGGCAGTAAAGACAGATGGATCCGAACCGAACGTGAGAACAAGACAAAAGCCGCTCCACAAACGAAGCAGTTCAGACAACGTAATAAAAATTCGTGAAATAGCAAAGAATCAATCGAGGGTGACCCCAAAACAACATATATGCCTGCCTTCCCGCCACTCCCTTCGGTACATGTTCCATGTTTCATTTTGCCAACTAGGTCCAACCGAGCCTACCTCACTTCACCCTACCATGTAGCCGGTATTAGCAATTTCTCAGATACATTGAAGTCAAGTTTATTTCCAGGCATTGAGACCAGCCCATGGATCGGCGGAGGAACCGGACTGTGGCTGTGACTGTGACTGCGACTGCGAAGGGGCCTTGTGGTGCCCGTACTGTCTGCTCTGCGCGTAGCCACCGGGACCAGAGGGGTATATACCACCTGCTGTAGGAGGGTAGGCTGTCTGCTGGGGACGCGGCGGAGGCGGAGGCGGAATGTATCCCTGGGGAGCCATATAGTGCGATGACTGAGGTACAGCGCCAGGAGCTGGTGTGCCGGAATTTGAGTAGCCGCCGTACGGGACCGGGGTTTGAGAGAAGAATTGCTGGTTCGGGGGTGGGGACACGGGGGTCTGGTAAGGATATGCCATGGGGTTGTAGCCCTCGGATAAAGGAGCTGCGGCGCCTTGCTGGAAATGCTGGGCTTGGTAAGTTCCTGGGCCACCTCCCATGTACTGCCCGTAGGGTGCTGGAGAGTGCGAGAGGGGCACGCCGGGCATGGTAGGCGGGTATCGGGGTGACGGCTTTGGAGACGGACCGGTTGTTCCATACGCCGGCGTCTGAACCGGCGGGGGTGGTGACTTGACCTTTGAAGGCGGTTTTGCTGACCCTGTGGAGGGTAAAGTTGAGGAGCTCTTAGGTTCCGTTGACAGACGCTCCATCAGTTGGCGCAGTTTCTCTCGCTCGCGATCTTCTTGCTCTGAGACACCGCTGGAATTGTCGCGATTATTGGAGATCTCAGCATTCCTGCGGAAAGTGTCGACATTTTCACTCATGCCCTTGTCACGCTCGATCTGGCTGAGAAGCTGTGCACCTTCTGATCGGCGATTGTTGATGAAGGTTTCGACATTCTTGCGGAGACTGTCGACATTTTCACCCATGTCCTTGTAGAAAGTTCGCGCTTGCTTGATACCCGACGAGAGGCCATAGAATGCTTCGTAGACCTTCTTGTATCGAGCTAACACGGAATTGTGTTGTCTTGTTATAGACTCGTACTTCGAATTCTCAGATTGAACTCTTTTGTCTTGGCGGAGCTTATCGTATGTCTTTTTGAGGTCATTCATGTAATTGTTTTCTGCGATATTCGCCTTCACAAGTCTTTGCTGATACGGATAGAACTTCTCCAACCTTTCCTTGAAGAATTCGGGTTCTCGGCCGACAATCAACTTCTGGTTTAGAATCACTTCATTCGTGATGTCATCTTTGCGGACCTAAAGCACAGATAGTTAGAATGTTGTCGTGGATAGATACGCTAGGATGCTCACCTGGTCTCTGAGATCTGACAGACTGGTGGACCGCTCTACCTCCACGGAGTTCAATTTCTTTAAAAACCACTCCACCTGGGCAATCTGCTCTGCAACAGAGGCACTACCCTCATCATGGACATCATCTAGCAGAGTACCTTCTGCCGGACTGGTGATACCGTTTTTGCTCTTACCATGCCTCGAACGGGCTTTGATCAAGGCTCGCTGGAAGAGAACATCAGCCTCATCTGTTTCGCCAGCAGATCGCATCTCATCAAAATCGCTCTCATACTGCCGAAGTGTGGAAGACAACTGAGAATCACTCGCGCTGGCCTCATTGACAGTATCTCGATATGATCGAACATCCCCTCGAAGCGTGGTATTGAGTCGAGAGCTGGGCTGCTGGCTCCAATCCGCTCCGTACTTTGAGCGCATCTTCTCACACACGCTCTCTTCCAGATCTAGCTGTTTCGAGCACTGGTCTAATTGGGATAGCACTTCTGCCTTGCGATCCTGCAACTCGTCAAATGCCCTCCGGAAGGGACTGTGGCCAGCAAGTTCTGAGCACCATCGACGGAAGTTCTCGTCCACTGGCATGTCTTGGTTCATGCCTCCCTTCCAGATATCGAGAATGCCTGGCAGTTTGAGGTCGTCCAACCAAGTGAGCATCACACTCTTGGCCTTTTCGGCCTTTTCAGTTTCCTCTCGAAGCAACTGGTCCTTTTTCGCGTAATAGCGACTGACGATCTCAGTTACTCTATCAGGCACCAGGTTTATGAAGATGTCCGGCCCAATGATGCGCTGGATGTCTTGTCCCTGGTACAATTCACTAACCGGGATCGCCTTAGCAGCAGCAACCCTGGCAACGGGTGAAAGACCAGCCTCATTAGGCACTGGTTGATGGTAGATGAAGTCATTGTCTTTGACCATGGTGGTGAGTAAAGTTTGCACATTTGCCTGATTATGCTTGATAAGGTCCAAGAGACTGGACCCTGACTCTGCCGTCAGGCTGGCACTCACTGGAGGTGACGAGGGGAATGTCTTTGCCCAGCTTAGAGCAGTGGCAGACTGCTTATCAGCCATCTGTAAACGAGCAATAGCAACTCCGTGAGATCCAGTTTCACTGTCCGCAACCGCTTGATAATATGATGCTACTGATCCCATATGTGCTGCCTTGGCCTGCACAACAATCGTCCAGACCTTGTCAAACACGTTCTTGTCGGCCGAATTTTGCATTATCTCGGCACTCTGTGAGTAGAGATGCGCTGCTTGCCCAGCCAGCTTGGCTAACAGCCCAGGCTTCCTCTGGTCTGCCACTTGTTTCTCAAAAAAACCTCTTGGGCTTGAGCAAGTGTGACGTGTATCAGTGTCTTGACGGTGTCCCCTTTCAGGTCGGTTGATGGCGGATGTAAGAAGTTCTCATTAATATATGTAAACATCCCAGCGGATGCCTGGAAAGAGTGATAGGCGGTCTTGAGGCCATTATCGCCAGCCCGGCTCTGGTTGGCAGCATGACAAGATAGGATTGCGGCGATGTTAAAGATGATGGAGGCCTTTTCGTAGGCCAGGGAGAATTGAGAGGTAGACGTATGAGTGAAAGCATCGTACCTACAGAACAAATACGTAAGCACAAGCGAAATAGACATGAGAAGAATAACCCTACCATGTGAAGGAGATTTTGACATGGTTGTCATCGACGGGGAACCTCAGGTCCAGCAGCTCCAGCTGACCGTAGTATCGATACAACAGATCACGACCGATAGCGCTGTCTTTTCCTACGCCCCTCATGTCCTGGCGAAGCCGGTTGAGAGTCGCGCATTCTTTATTGTATAGCTCGGGGTCCTGCTTATAGCTCTGTCGAATGTAATCCTTGAGGGGCTGGATCCAATCAATCTCGTTGGTCTGCTTCAGCGGACACGAGAGCATCGGCGACTGAGCCATTGTCGGATGATTGCCAGGAGCGATATGCTCCCATCCAACGACACGAAAACCGCTTGAGAGAAAAAAACGCGGGACAGGGATGGTCAGAAGCTCCGTGTCTGAGGGATTCGGAGTCAAGGCTGTGGGTGTGGGGTAAGGGAGGCGGAACGTCAGCGCCTGACAGTCCCTACTGTGTCAATGACGTCGGCCGATTAGGTATTCTTTGATGCAAGCAGCGTAGAAGATGGCAAGATAATGCGAGAATTTTTGAGAAAAGAACAGAGTTGCCTAGAGGGTCGAAGTGTGTGTTGGAGGGAGAGGTGGGATGTGATGTCCGTGACCGTGATTCGATGGGCGGCAAACCCCAAAACAACCGCTTAACTAGAAACACCTAAAGAGGACACAGCCGTTGAAGAAAACATTTGATTTTTGAGTATTATAAGATAATTAATAGAAGAGAATGATCATAGTACAGTCAGAAGTGGAGAGCTTCTTAGACATCTATCACTCGATAATAGTAATACAGTATTCTGCCCCCCAAGACCTGGGCAGAACAGGTCCCCAATATCGCCGGCGCTATGACATGGGTGAGGTAAATACAAACGGATATAGAGTACATGATGATTTACATTTTTAACTCGACTTCTTCGAGTTATCCTTGCTGGCATCGCTGCCAGCATCCTTGCTTTCCGTGTCCTTGTTGGAGTCTTTGGAGTCTTCCTTGTCAGCCTGCGATGGCTTGGAGGAATCACCATGTTTCTCTGTGAGTCGATGCCAGACAGACTTCAGGAAACCTTCATTTTTGGCCGCGTCATCGGCGCTACCAGAAGCAGAGGGGCTATCAGCGTGGTTAAGTTAGTACAAGAGTCGATATTCACCATGAGCTGTTCATCTTACCTATCCTTGTTGAAGTTCATTGTCCGCTTCGCTGTCTTGTCGTTCATCTCGTCTGCGAGGACTTCCAAAATGGTGCGCTGGTTGCCTGTCAAGTACTTGGGCATGGCAACCTTAAATTCAACCTTGAGATCACCATTGGGAGTGAAACCGCGGCTACGGCCACTAAGCTTCTTCATGCCCATTCCTGACAAAGTGATCCGATCGCCGGTACCCGTACCAGTGGCCACCTTGACCTTCACTTGATTGTCGAGAGTTGGGATGGTCACCTCACCACCAAGGATGGCAGTGGTGAGGGGAATTGAGGCGGTATAGAGAATATCGGAACCGGAGCGGCTGAAGCGATGGTCTGGAGCAACTCGAATGGAGACATAAAGATCACCAGGTTGGGTGCGAGCACCAGGCGGAACAGCTGTTCCAGTTGGTGGGGAGTCACCTTCGCCGGTCACCCGTAGACGCATGCCATCTTCAACACCGCCGGGGATGTCTATCTTGATAGTCTTGCGCTCTCGGGTCACGCCATTTCCGTTGCAGGGGCTGCACTCTGACCCGCGGGGAACAGACATACCGACACCCCCACAAGCGTCACACGTGGCGGCGACTTGGAAGCCTCCCTGCATGATATGAACACGGGTACCGGTGCCGTTGCACTGACGACATTGGGACCGCTTGGCACCAGACTTCAATCCGTCGCCTTTGCAGGTTCCGCACTTGGTCAACGGGGTGATCACGATTTCCTGAGACGTGCCCTTCGCAGCGTCCATGAATGAGATGTTTGTTTGCACCTCAATGTCTTCACCGACCAAAATCTGCTCCTGGAAAGGATTGCGCCCACCCCGGGGTCCACGGCGCGCTCCTCCGGTAAAGGCTCCAAAAAGATCCTCAAAGTTGATGTCGCCGGAAAAACCCCCGCCAAAGCCACCACCACCGCCGCCGAAACCGCCGCCAAAGCCATGGAATCCTCCCGCGCCAGAGAATGGGCTACCGCCAGCGTTTGGATTGAACCCGCCATTTTGATCGAAAGCGGCCGAACCATACCGGTCGTAGTTCTCTCGCTTCTGGGTGTCAGATAACAATTCGTAGGCTGTCTGGGCCTCGGCAAACTTGTCTTTGGCCTGAGCGTCTTTGTTAGTATCCGGGTGGTACTTTTTGGCCAAGCCATAGTAGGCCTTCTTGATGTCGCCGGCGGATGCTTTCTTATCCACGCCTAGGACCTTGTAAGGATCGGAAACTGCCGCAAGAGGAGAGGTAGTGTGGAAAGCCTGTCAATTAAGAAATATATGTTATTTAGCAACCCGAAGCCTCACAGCCCGTAGAGACGACATACCCTAGTCGATATCACCAACGATTCCTTTCTCTTGCAAACGCCCTCCCGGAGACGTCTAGCCGGAGAAGCAGAGGCATGGTAGTTTCTTGTTTGGGTGGATGAGTGAACATTATTGCTGGAAGTCTGCTTAGAACATTGTCGCTGAGTTCGCAACAGACGCGCGGGGAGAGCCGCGGCCTTGGGAAATGCCGTGGACGGATTCATGGATAGTAATAGCCGAACAATGCTTGAACGGCAGTTGTGGTTGCCAGGAAGAAAGATAAAGGGAAAATGATCAAGAAAAAAAAGAATGACAATTTGAACAGAAAGAAAGGTTTCAAGAACACCAATGACGTTTCGATCCAAGTTAAGCTACTCTCCGGATCACAGAAGCTTCGAGTTCTTTGGCAGAGAGAAGTTTATCGGAAAAACGTGTGGCCGGACGATGATGAAAGAGTTGCTTACCGAAGCAATGGTGCTCCGACTACGGAATTCCAGCTTCCACTCTACCCATTTGTATCTAATACTTATTGCTGTCCTTTTGGAGCTGTGCCACGGGCTGTCACGGTTCTTGACTATATCTTTTCTTATTTCCTCCACTCCATTGCCCGGGCGTCCAACTCATACTCAAGGAGCATGCTCCGCGGCCAGACCCTCCCCTGGCGAGCTGTGCTCCATCAAACGCCACGACCTCTCCTCCGACGGCCGTTTCTTGCTTCACCGAGATATAATGCAACCTTTCGATCAACATTAATCTCGGCCCGCCTTGGTGGCTCTCTTCCCTCGTCTTCCCGCGCCTTCTCCGCGAGCTCCATTCGGCGGAAAGAGAAACCCCCGCCAGAGAACCCTAAAGACGAATCGGAAGAGAAGGAAGGGCAAGAAACCAGTCAGGATAATAAGGAAACGGAGCGAGCTCCTGAATCGCGGAGGAAGGGTACAGACACAGGGAAGAATGTCCCTTCTGTAGATCAGACAGCTCCCGCGCGGAGAAAAGACCGGTCATCTGATAAAGAGCGTGGAGTAGAAGAGGAAGCTAAGAAAGAAGCCAATGCATCAGATGGCAAGGGCAACTCAAATGACACACCTTCGCCCATCCCACCAAGTGATGGCCCGGCCGACTCTAAACCCAGCGGCGCAAGCAGCGGTGGTAATAGCGGCAACGACGACAGTGGGAAGAAGGGCAAGAAGGCCTCCGGGGAGAAGGCTTTGCAAAAACCGGCAGTTCCGGACGTTTACCCACAGGTGATGGCAATTCCCATCGCGAAACGTCCGTTATTCCCTGGTTTTTACAAGGCGATCACTATTCGCGACCCGAATGTCGCCCTTGCGATCCAGGATATGATGAAACGGGGCCAACCGTATGTCGGAGCGTTCTTGTTCAAGGATGACAACGCCGATGGTGATGTGATTGAGAAATTGGACGACGTTTACGAGACTGGAGTTTTCGCTCAAATTACCGCCGCATACCCTCTTCGTGGGGAGGCTAGCGGTGTGACAGCGGTTCTCTACCCCCACCGGCGTATCAAGATCTCGTCGCTACTTCCCCCGGAGAGAACACCAAGGCCGCTACACCTCCACCCGCACCCACCTCAGAAGACAAGACGACTGAAAAACGAGGAGATGTCGTGGCCAGCTTCGAAGAAAGCGCACCCGAGCCAGCCCCCAAAGATCATTACGAACCCACATCCTTCCTGAAGAAACACCCTGTCAGCCTTGTCAACGTGGAAAACTTGATCGAAGAGCCGTTCGACAAGAAAAACCCAATTATCCGCGCTGTAACCAGTGAAATTGTTAATGTGTGCAAAGAAATCGCGACCTTGAACCCATTGTTCCGTGATCAAATCTCGGCATTCTACACCGACCAATTCCCAGGAAACCTTAGCGACGAACCGGCCAAACTGGCTGATTTCGCTGCCGCTGTATCTGCCGGTGAGCTCCACGAGATGCAAGAAGTTCTTGAGACAATGAACATCGAGGAGCGTCTCCCTAAAGCACTTGTCGTTCTCAAGAAGGAATTGATGAACGCCCAGCTGCAATCCAAGATTACCAAAGATGTCGAGGCCAAGATCCAGAAACGCCAGCGCGAGTACTGGCTGATGGAGCAAATGAAGGGCATCAAGAGAGAACTTGGCATCGAATCTGACGGGAAAGACAAGCTTGTTGAGAAGTTCAAGGAGAAGGCTGAAAAGCTTGCCATGCCGGAGGTTGTCAAGAAGGTCTTCGACGAGGAGATCAACAAGCTAGCACACCTCGAGCCTGCTGCATCCGAGTTTAATGTCACTCGTAACTACCTAGACTGGTTAACTCAAATCCCCTGGGGCCAGAAGAGCGTGGAAAACTTTGGCGTCAAGAACGCAGTCAGTGTTCTCGATGAGGACCATTACGGGCTGAAGGATGTCAAGGATCGTATTCTTGAGTTCATCGCTGTCGGCAAGCTTCGTGGAACTGTCGAAGGAAAGATTCTTTGCCTTGTTGGCCCACCCGGTGTTGGAAAGACCAGTATCGGCAAGTCGATAGCTCGCGCTCTGAACAGACAATACTACCGATTCTCCGTTGGTGGTTTGACCGACGTTGCAGAGATTAAAGGACACCGACGGACTTATGTCGGTGCTCTGCCTGGACGAATTATCCAAGCTCTCAAGAAGTGTCAAACCGAAAATCCTCTAATCCTGATCGACGAGGTTGACAAAATCGGGCGTGGCCACCAGGGCGATCCGTCCTCTGCTTTGCTCGAACTTCTTGACCCCGAACAGAATAACTCGTTCTTAGACCACTACATGGATGTTCCTGTGGATCTTTCCAAGGTCCTCTTCGTCTGTACAGCCAACGTGACCGACACTATCCCTCGGCCACTATTGGATCGTATGGAACTCATCGAATTGTCCGGTTACGTGGCAGACGAGAAGATGGCGATTGCCGAAAGATACCTCGCCCCTGCCGCTCGGGAACTGACTGGTCTCAAGGATGTGGATGTGATCCTTGAACGGGATGCCATCGAAGAGCTCATCAAGTCGTACTGCCGTGAGAGTGGTGTCCGTAACCTGAAGAAGCAAATCGAGAAGGTCTACCGGAAGGCTGCATTCAAGATTGTCCAAGACCTAGGCGAGGATGTGATGTCCGAAGAGGCGGCACTGACCGAAGCCGGCAAGGCTGCCCAAGAAGAGTCGAAGGAGCATGAGCCAGCGGATCCTGCGCAAGTTCCGGTTGAGCCAGAGAAGTCGACCACAGAGATTCCTCGACTGGCCCTCAAGGTCCCCGACAGTGTCCATCTCAGCATCGGCAAGGGAACCTTGAAGGATTACGTTGGACCTCCTGTCTTCACTGCCGACCGTCTGTACGACCAGTTCCCCCCTGGTGTCACTATGGGCCTCGCATGGACTAGCATGGGTGGAGCGGCTCTGTACGTTGAATGTATCCTGGAGAACGCATTGAATCACAACTCGCGCCCGGGGCTCGAAATCACCGGCAACCTGCAAAACGTCATGAAGGAGTCCACTCACATTGCGTATTCCTTTGCCAAGTCTGTTATGGCACGGCAATTCCCTGAGAATCAGTTCTTCGAAAAAGCGAAGGTCCACTTGCACTGCCCTGAAGGCGCTGTTCCAAAGGATGGTATGTGAAACTTATCTGCGTTGGTTAATCTTGTAACAAATCGGCAGCTAACTATTTAAACAGGACCCTCTGCCGGTATTACCATGGCTAGCGCTTTGTTGTCTTTGGCTCTCAACCACTCCCTTGAGCCAACCGTCGCCATGACTGGAGAGTTGACTGTGACTGGTAAGGTTCTTCGCATTGGAGGATTGAGAGAGAAGACTGTGGCTGCTCGTCGGGCTGGTGCTACAAAGATCCTTTTCCCTGCGGATAACACATCTGACTGGCTTGAGCTACCTGAGGTGAGTCATAAAACCATGCATTCCTAGCGACCCTTAGCTGACTGTTTCATCTAGAACATCAAGGAGGGCATTGAAGGCCACCCAGTGAACTGGTACTCCGAAGTGTTTGACCTTCTCTTCCCCGGTCTTGACCAGGAGGCTGCCCGCACAATCTGGCAAAAGGCCTTGGCCAAGCCCAAGAAGGGTAGCAACGAGGCTGATGAAGAGTAGCATGCTGATACCTTTTTGGTTTGGGTCCCCTTTGAGTAATGTCGTATATACCTGTGTTTTACGTTGTATAGCTTTGTGATTTATTGTGTACATGGCGTCTTTGTCTTCCGACACGGAATGCATGGTTGGAGTTAAAGGACTGCTAGTAGACCTTTTGTTCCCATGTGAGATGTATGGACTAGAGAGCCAAAAAAAGATTACTCCACTCAAAACAGTATTCTAGTAAGGTATATGTATAGTATATAGTGATATTGCCATAATGCAAAGATAATGCAAAGACCAAGTAATATTAATTCAAAATTTAGGGCTGTCGTGTCATATAGAGAGAAATAACAGGGCGTGAATGAAGCCCCCAATCAGGCATAAGGGTCAGGCCGCAACGCATCCTCGAATTTTGATCTGTGCGCCGTTCGATGAATCATATCTTTATTCTATTTTTTTCTCCCTCACCCTTGTGTCCCTTAGAAGGGCTTCTGATTGATCTCCTGCAAGGTCCTTTTGCCTCCAGACATTTGAAGCCTTGCAGCGGAAGCATCTCATCACCGCTATCAAACGGCTGCAGGCGATTCCTTAGAAAAAAAAATTTTATTAGAGAGGGAAAAAAAAAAAAAGACCACTTATACCTAAGAAAACTCATCTTGACCGACACATCTCTCTCCCCCTTTTGCACCCCTTTTACTTTATGAGCTTGTGCTGGGCCGGTCTCCCAGCCTCGCCCATTGCAACCCGACGTTGTGCGACACTTGGACGTTGGACCTCGACGTGAACCTTCCAACTCTTCCAACTCGAAAGGAAACTACTTGGAACAGGTGGGACGAAAACCGTGTCAGTGTGTCAGTGCGACGCCAAATTCCCCTGCCCCCTTGACCCTGTCTCAATTCTTATGGACATCGGAGATTCGGCCAGCGGGGTGTTCGAGTCGTTCCTTGCACGACAGAGCGGCTTGCCGTATGGCCATCTCTGTTCCCAACTCCTGTAGCCCGACGCGGCTGGCTTTTCTGGACGACAAAGGCGGAAATCCGCCAAAGCAGAGCATGTGGCACCGGTTGGGTTTGCGGAAATTATGGCAGGGCCGCGACGATCGAGACACATCTGCCGGGGAGAGTCAGGACGAGATTTCTCCCCGCCCTTCTTCTGACAACTCCCGCACCAAACAAGACAACTTGACACGTCGACTTTCGCGAAAAGTTGTCGGTCTACCACGAACCACGCCCTTTAAGCGACAAAGCTCCGATCTAGAGCGACTGGCTCCTCGGGAACCTGATCACCGCCGTGCCCTCTCCGCCGACCGCCGCCCCTTGAGTTCCCAGAGAAGCAGGTCTCCACCGCCAACCGTGGGCCCCAGACAGTCCGCGCCCGAGGTTCAGTGGCTCGGCCCGTCACCCACGACCACGATCGATGACGCCCCCGAACCAGAACCCGAAACGAACGCCCACGAGATTAACGATATCTCCGAAATTTCGAACCCTTATCCCGAAATGACGGACAACTTCGACGCACCGGAAGAGGAAGAGGAGGATGATCACACGATTGATTTGGATTTGGAGCTAGAACAACGGTGGATTTTGAACTTGAGCATGCACTTCCGAGATGGGTCAGAGCGGGAAAAATTCTTTGTGACGTACGCAGAGACCCCGAATCGATGGCGCCGAGTCACGATTTCCTGCGATTACCACGATGCACCACCCTATTCATTGGAGCGGGAACTGAAGGACCTGCGGTACCAGCGCGACAAGTGCGCGCGAATCTACGAATCCATTCGCGAGTCCCTTCTCGCGATTCAATTCTATGAAGGAGTCACGAATCTCAGGCTCGAGACGAGCGATGGCCGTTTACACGTTCATGTGACGGAGGACGTAAACGAAACAATTCCGTACCCGCCCATTTCCAGTATCAGGCATTTGGTCAACGCTCCTATCATCCCCGAAGACTCGTTGCACTTCGAATCTCATTTATCCGGCTTTGTTTACAAAATAAATCTGGACGGACGATTTTATATCAAGAAGGAAATACCGGGCCCCGATACCGTGGACGAGTTCCTCTATGAGATTAATGCTTTGCATGCGCTGAAAGACCGCCCAAGCGTGATCCAAGTGGAAGGAATCGTGATCGATGAGTGGCGAGGCGTCGTCAAAGGCTTGCTAATTAGCTATGCAGAAAAGGGCGCACTGGTCGACATTCTGTACGAGCAACGCGGGAGAACGAGCTTTGCCCGACGCGAGCGATGGGCAAAGCAGATTGTCCAGGGCCTCTGTGAGATTCACGAGTCGGGCTACGTCCAGGGCGATTTCACACTCGCGAACATTGTGGTGGATGCAGATGACAACGCCAAAATTATTGACATCAACCGCAGGGGATGCCCAGTAGGGTGGGAGCCCCCGGAAATTGCCGCTAAAATCGAGAGCAACCAGCGCATCTCCATGTACATTGGAGTCAAAACCGATCTCTTCCAACTGGGCATGACGCTGTGGGCATTGGCGATGGAGGAGGACGAACCTGAACGACAACCGCGACCTCTTCGACTGGGCGATGACGCGAAGATTCCAGACTATTACCGACGCATAGTGGATATCTGTTTAAGCCCGACTCCGCGACATAGGCTCTCTGCGAAGGAACTTCTCTCTCTGTTCCCCCCACTGCCGGAGGCACGGGTATCAACACCTGTTCGGCTATTGGAGACCCTTGCCAACGATTCTAGGCACTTGCCAATTCGGAGTAACTGGGCTCAGCCTCAGCCTGCTGGGCTTGGACTGACATCGCCGGGGGACATGATACAGCGAGACGACCAGTATTACCCCCAGAAGGAGTTTTCCGGGAACGCCTATGGTGATCTGCAGCACCCCATCTTCTCTGAAAGCCACGACCTCGTCAAGCGATCAACAATAACTCTTGCAGAATCCAATGGAGACATAGGATTCCCATCTAAGCCATCTTCTTCCTCTACCTTGAATCACCACGAACCTCACAACCATGACGAGTACATGGACATATCCCGCCATTCCAATGATGGCTCATTACCCTACCTACCCTCCGACAGTCAGAACCCAGAAGCTATTCCAGTTTCTCAGACAAGGTCAATGGGCAATGGTATCCACAACCACCCAGTGGAACCACCAGCCTTCCCAGATGAGCCTGTCTATCTCGAAAGCGCCCCCATGAAAAATCAGCAAAAGACATCCGATGGGCCGACCCATAATAATGCCCGAGCTTCGGTTGGCTCTGCAATCACCGCACCTCCACACCCGCTCCAAGTCAGCGAATCTCTTATTGATTCGCAGAAACAGGAGGTTCTAAATCGACCAAGTCCAAAGGCCGCCAATGACGAGGGTGGCCTTGAAACTTCAGCTTTGCCCATCAACCCTACATTGCGTGACTCCAATACATCAAGCAGCAGTCGGACCATCCCTTTTTTGACAACTCCATCTTCTTCATTTAAACATGGAAAGCAGGACAGTGTGGACCACCCATGTGCAAAAACCGCCAATGACGAGGGTGACCTTGAAACTTCAGCTTTGCCCATCAACCCTACATTGCGTGACTCCAATACATCAAGCGGCAGTCGGACCATTCCTTTTTCGACAACTCCATCTTCATTTAAGCATGCAAAGCAGGACAGTGTGGACCACCCATGTGCAAAAACCGCCAATGACGAGGATGACCTTGAATCCTCGGCTTTGCCCCTGAGCCCTACTTTCCGTGACTCTGGGGGTTTTATTAGCCCTCAGAGCGCCCCTCGATTGGTAAAAGCATCTCCTACCGAACCGCCAAAGCAGAAGTATGCGGATTTACCATGCGCAAACGTCGAAATCAAACCCAAATTTATTGAGCCATCGCCCTCGTCGTCATGTCTTTCTCTCTCGAAACTACCTATCAGCCCTACTTTCCGTTCTTCTGAAAATTCCATCCACGCCTTGGCTACCACTTCATCGCTGAACTCTTTGTCTGTTAAACCGCCAAGGCAGGATAACCTGGATCAACCACATGCCAAACCTATCACCTATATCAAGCCTATACCTACAACACCATCAGCCTCGACATCTTCACAACCTCACCCGAAATCGCATATCAATCCTATGCTAGCTCGCTCTAGGCCTTCAGTCGAGCTCCCGAGCGCCCCTCGATCAGTGAGATATTCTCCTATCGAGCCGCCAAAGCAGACTCATGAGAGTTCACCATGCGCAAACACCGATATTGAACCCAAATTTACTGAGCCATCGCCCTCAACATCAAATCTGGCCCATTCGGGATTGCCTATCAGCCCAGCCTTCCGTTCTTCCGAGACTTCCATCGACACTCTAAGTGAGCCCTCATCACAAGGTCCTTCTCCTATTGAACCACCAAAGCCGGAGCATGCGATTGTGCCACTTGATAAAGATACCACACCCATATCACCGTCAACACCATCTCGATTTTCTTCAATGCACCTTTCGAGCCTCCGTCACACCGGGGCTTCCATTGGCTCGCTGGGTACACCTTTCGCAACAAGTCCATCTGTCGTCGGAATTGGACTGCTAAGGCGGCCATGGGAAAAACCATCTGCAAATCATCCAGATGTCAAACCTGCGTCGACAGTACCATCACGGTCAGCCCCGTCTCCCGGGGACTCTCGGACTCTAAAGCAGCCAGAGAGCGCTATTCCGCCGGCCAAAACATACCCTACCAAACCGCAGAGGAATGAAGATTTGGGCCAATCCAGCCCAAAGGCAGCCGGTATCAAGCCTGCACAAACAAGTCCATCGAACTCCAACTCGAATTTACTTGGTTCGAAGTTGCCTATTAGCCCTGCTCACCCAAATTCAAAGTCAAGTTCCACTTATCCCGAGGTCGAGATGGCACGCGCTGTTCATGGACCACCTTCAAGTCAGGCCAAACCGAGCATTTCGAGCCTGGCACATTTTTCCTCGAATCGGACCTAGTTACCAATATATCCCCCAGGAACAACTTCGTCAAGCCCTCATGGGCAATTTCACACCTCAAACCAACGCAAGGTCACTAATATTTTTACAAAACAACCTTGCTACATCGGCACCCACGACGCCACGACCCATTTCTCCGAACGAGCCCCATATTCGGGGCCGAGCACTCGATACCCTTTTGATTTGCTCTGCTTGTACAGTTTATGCCTCGTCGTTTGCCTCGTGTTATTCAGCCTTTGAAAGCGTTTACACCGATGGCGGGTGAACCCCTGGAGTCCTAAAAAGTCTTTTGTGTTTTTTTCTTTGCATTTTGGCGGATTTAATCGGTTTTTGTTCTGGTAGCTTTTTTATTTTGTGTTTTCTATCTCTTTTGTGTTGTCCTTTTCCTGTTTCCTTGCTGTTTATTCTATGGTTTATCTGTTTTCTCTTCAGCGGAGGCCCTCGTTCTGCGTTCTGGTGTTCTCACCCGGAAGTCGATGTATATTGATGGGATTTTTTTTTATACCTCTTCTTGTCTGACAGGGCTGTATTATTTTTCTTTTTCGTTATTTGGCAATTCAATTATTGGCTAGGACTGGTTTTCGCATTCTAACCGTAAATAGGCCCCCATGGAGCAATGACTTCTTTTCTCTTGATCATAGACAATGAATTCTCCTCATTTTGCAACCAAACAAGATTCAAAACTCTCCTGCCAAGGTTCTACACTTGACCCTAGTCCTCGTCCAATCAGGACAATCTTGCACTGAAGTGGTTTGGAGTCATCCTGGGTGTCTATGGGCTCCGCATCTCGAATCTCGAATACATCCCGGACAGCTTGGATGATCCTGCTTGTCCCGTCATCCAGGATCAGTATCCCCTTTAACCGATGCACCTCGAAGTCCACGGGGTATAGCTCAGATGAGACTGAATTCGCAGGCACGGGGAATGTTGTATCCCACAAAACAGAGCGCAGCCAGGCATCCACGCAGTTGACCTTATCTGCTGGGATTGGAGGTGTAACAATGGCAGTGGTAGAAATTGCCTAGGTATAGTTAGAATCACGAGAGAATTCTCAGGTTTGAACAAGTAGAAGACGGAATACAATATAAACATACCGGGTCCATATGGCTATGTCCCTTCTTGCTGAAGTCCAAATCTGCCAAGTGATCATAAGCATGCAAATCTAAGACAACGCCCTCAATCTGCGGCGTCCGGCTATGATCCGTCACATGAATCTTGGCCACACTATTGATAGAGGCAACACGATCTCGCACGGCCTCCAGCTCTTGGTCCGTAACCAGATCCGTTTTGTTGAGGATTACCACATCCGCATGCGAGATTTGCATATGCGCCATAGATAGAACAGGGCCAGAACCGTGGTCGTGGTGCACGTCATGCGACTCGGCCTTCTCTTCAGGCGCCGGTTCATCCAGCAAGCGCATGATATTTTTTGCGTCAACGAGAGTGACAATTCCATCTAGGTAGATAGAGCTGCCGAGACCTTCGTCCATCCAGAAGATCGGGGCAATGTTGCCAGGGTCGGCGAGACCGGTTGTCTCTAGAAGGATGTAATCGAAGGTGCCGCGGCGTTCCATTAATGACTCGATGGCCATCACGCCCGAGTCTTTCACAGAGCAACAGATGCAGCCATTGCCGACTTCCATCCATTCCGTCACTTCTTGGCCGCCCTGGTTTACCGTCATTGGTTTTTCAATGTCCATTGCTTTGTGATATAATGTCAGAATGTAAGTTTGTGGTCCTTTTGATTGGACATCTTACAGTCACCAAATTCTGTAAGAGCATTAGCACTGTTAATCATATCTCACAGGCAGGTGTAACAGACGAACCGTTCATGATCACGGCAATTTTCTTGCCGTGTTTCTCTGTCAGGATATAGTTCAACAGTGTCGTTTTCCCCGCTCCCAGGTAGCCTGGTCAGTATGTTAGTCTCAAAATATGATTTAAATCAATATGCATTCTATTCGATCATACCAGTGACCAGCGTGATGGGCACTCGAGCTGTTGGTTCTTCATCTACCGATGTTTGGTCTGCTGGCAATGCAGACACATCAATAAGCTCCGGAGGAGCATCCTCGTCTTCAAAGTTGGTAGACATGCTGTCCTAGTCTTTTAATGTTGCGTAAATATATAGAAGAACGCAGAGTCTGAAGAAGCAGAAAGCTCGTAGATGCGGCGGATGACGTTGTTGCCTAAAATAGACGTTAGGGCACAGGGCTCGGGCGGTCAGCCGTTGTTATGTTGATGGCTTGTTATCTTCAGCGTCTGCGTCTATGCTGTCAATACTCGACTTTTGCTTTCATTAACACAGTTTAGCACAGCATCTAGCGACCATCCACTCTTTTATTTGTTTCTCGGTTTCTCTCATCTTATCTAGCGCCCTCGTTATTCTACCATCATGACTGCTGCGGGAGTCTCTCCGTCAAGCTCCCCGCGGCTTCCCAGTCCTCCTCCATTTACTGAGGTTCAGATTGGGCCTCAGTCGCCGTCCGTTGGCGAGTCCTTTGGCAAAGATGGAGACCTTCTTGGTATTCCGATAGGAGAAAATGATGGCTCGACTCGCAGAATCCGGTCAGGGACCAAATCTGCGAACATGGCATCTGGCCCGCCGGTGATACCCCTTTCGCAGGTTAGTTGCTCTCCACTACCTAGGTATCTTATACATTGCTAATGAGTGCAGATTAATTCTCCATTCCCGCTCCAGGAACACATCAAATCCCATTACTACAAGCTTACGGCCCAGTACCCTAAACTTATGGAGAAGTACGATGTGCTTATGGAGGAGTACAATCAGCGGAAGGACAAAGCATCTGACAACGTGGACCCGAATTACAATGTGCTAATGGATGAGTACAATGTGCTTATGGATGAGTACAATATGCTTATGGGGGAGTACAATGAGCGGAAGCGCAAAGAATCCGACAAGGTGGACTCGAAGAGCGAGGTTGCGAAAGAGCCGACAAAACCGGAGAGCTTTGCGGAAAAGCTGACAGAACCCCCGGAGGGAGTTGATGATACACATTGGATATACGAACTGTGCCGCTTCTTCACTATGGAAGTTAATCGCCTGGTCCAGGGCTTTCTCGACGAGAGCCCGCCCTGCTCGGCGCAAACTTGCCCCGAGATGCGAGTCGTCGAGTGGCAGTATATTTGCGCGTTGCATCCCAAACAAGCTTGCTGTGCGATTGACTATTGCTGCCATACTCTGGATTGGGCCATGGACACTCTCACATCGAGGAACTTATTCCCCAGCAAAGTCCAGAAGATAGAATCTGAGGGTGCCAGATACTTGCCAGATATCTTCCGCCGTCTTTACCGCATCTTCGCGCACGCATGGTTCCGGCATCCTGGTGTTTTTTCGAAGGTAGCAAAGCAAGGCGGTCTGTACGTCTTTTTCAAGACCGTTTGTGTTCACTACAATCTTGTCGGGGACTACACAATTCCCCTGACGGCCGGAGGACCCGATGAAGTCGCAGCAGCCAAGAAAAGAGAAGACGCCAAGGAAAAGAAGAAAGAAGCCGAGAAAAAATCAGTCAAGGAAAAAGAAACCGAGGGAAAAACTGCCAACAACAGCAATCGTTTCACTATTCTGCGCAAGGAAGGTGAAAACTCATTCGATACCACTGTGGAGAGTCAGGACCCGGCGCTTGTCACTGGGGCGACCACCCGTCGTCACAAGCACAGCCCTTCAACAGGATCGCGTGTCACAACTATCGCGGAGGATGCGGAGGATTCGGAAGAAATTACGCCATCGCTACTGCGTGAGCCCCTGAATCAATCGCCCGAACCGCGGCCTGTTTCTGTTTTGGGAATACAAACTAGAATGGAACCTACTACCACGGATGAGCCACCTACTGATGTGGGAAAATACTCCAAAGAGCCTGTTGAGGAACCCCAGGAACAGCCACCACAAGCACCCTATGAGCAGCCGTCTGAAACTCCTGGAGACCAGGGACTGATTGAGCAAGTTGAGCAGAATGAGCAGGCTAAGGAGCCAGTCTCTGAAAAGTCGGCTACGAACTCAGGATTGCCCATCGAGAAGTATGTTACGGAAGGCGATGGACATAAAACTTGCTGCGAAGAGGCGACTCCAGCTGAACAGCCCGAAGCGAAGATCGAGGTGGCCCAAGAGCCTTCCGTCGGCCTCGAGACCAAATTCGAGCCGGAGAAAGAGGAGTCTTGATATCGACACCCTTTCGAACCTTTCACGCTAATCTTACATTGACGATAATTGTCTTTTTGCATGCTTTACTCTTCATCTTTCCCTATTTTTCGTTACCCCTGCGATCAGGGATGAGTCGCAATTCTTTCCAAGGTCAAGTACCGAATACTGTTTTTGTAATATAGTTCAGGATTCTGTTTATGGCCAATGTCAATGATACCCATTCTCCTTTGCTTTCTTGATATATCCATGGATAAAATAAAGAATGTATGTATATTGGTAGCTCGTACGGAGTACTGAGTACTCTGTAGATCTTTCAACCTTATATCATGATAAGCGCTTATCAACAAATCGCCCGACGTCACGGGCAGAAAACAAACCGGACAACGTTCCTAATTCCACCTCAGCATCCCATATTCAACTCCAAAATGTCAGCTCCCAAAGGCGCTACGGCACCAATCTACTTCGGCCGATTTATGGTCACACCACAGGTAAATTTACTCATGACCCAAACAACCCCAATCTCCCCAACCAACACCAACCACATTCTAGCACAGAAACAGCCAGAGACACAGGGACAAGCATAAACATAAATAACGTCAACACACCAGCCTAGCTAACTACTCACTCCCAAATCCCCAGGTCTTTCACACAACCCCTTTAAGCTTCGCCTTGGTAAACCTGAAACCAATCCTCCCAGGCCACGTCCTAGTCTCCCCACGGCGCGTCGTCCCCCGCGTTATGGACCTCACTCCCGCCGAAACAAGCGACCTCTTCCTGACAGTGCGGCGAGTGGGCCGCATGGTCGAGCGTATATACGGTGCCACCAGCTTGAACATCGCCATTCAGGACGGCGCGGACGCCGGCCAGAGTGTGCCACATGTTCATGCGCATATTATCCCCCGCAAGGCAGCGGATTTGGATCACGCCGGTGGCACAGATGCGGTTTACGACTTGCTTGATGGGGATGAGGGAGATATAGGGAGGGCGTTCCAGAATGCCGTTCCTACGGAAGGGGATGATCAGTCGATTGAGGCTGTGAATCAAAATTCTGCGAATTCGGGGAGGAGGTCTAGGTTCCCGGTTGTGGATAATGACGCGCGCAAGCCTCGTGAGGAAGAGGATATGAGGGCTGAGGCTGACATGTTGGCGCGGGAGATGGAGAATGAGCCTCTTGATTAATTGGGTCCATGTCTTGGATATGAAGGTCCGTGGATTTTATACATATGATTTTAATAGAGAACAGATATGACAGTTCACCAGTAAGTGAGACGCTCAAAGAATTCCTGGATGGGCCCACTGGTCAAGTCCTTGGTGACCTGTTGATAGAGTATTGGGAGATCAGGAAGGGTGAATTGTCCTACGTCACGATAATTATCCGAAGGTCGTGCATATCTTGGAATACGCTTCCAAAAGCCATCCATGAGTCTGATGATTTTATTCTTGAGCCCCAGTTAGTCCTTCCTCCAATCCTCGCAAAGAGGTTGGGGAGCATCGATATACGTAGTCGTCTCGTGAATGACCAACCAACCAACGAAAATAAAGCCAAATCAGAATACCACAATATGAATGAAAGCAAGTGCCTAACTTTTATTGCATTATACTACACCTGACTCTTCGTAGAAATCATGTATTCTCATAACTCGTCCTCTGTGGTATCTAAAGTACATACCCAAAAAAGAAACGCAAAGATGAAAATGAAGAAACAAACGCTAAAATACAATGGGTCTCTAGAACGATAAGCCCAGAGCATGCCAGACTCCCCCATCACCCATTCTCTGCAACTGCGCGCAAACCACATGCAGATTTATGCTTTCTTTGGCCTCTCTTGGATTACCTCCGCGGCCCATGCTTGAATCTCTGGCAACCGAATGCGCGAGGCGACGTGGGTGAATTCCGTGAGATCAACCTCATTCGAGCGCTCATACTCAACCATCTGCAACAGCAGCTCCATCTTATCGATATCATGCACGAAGTGGGCCTCCAGAGTCTCGTCCTTCTCGTATTCCTCAAACACTTTCTTGATTTCCTCGCCGGACAAGATGCCTCCGGGAACCTTGCCGAGGAGGGTCGTGGTGATGTAGTCCATAACGGAGGCCTCGCGACGAGCCTTCTCGGCCTTGGTGATATGGTAGTCGACTGGAGTGATATCGCCAACAAGCGCCTCGGCCATGTCGTGGATCAAGGCCATCTTTGTGCAGTGCGGGATGTTGATCTTGGTTGCCAGGGACGGCGGGGCCATCATCGTCATGATCGACATGCGGTACATATGGTCAGAGATGGACTCGCCATTGATACCGAAGCGGCGCCAGCCCTCGCGCTTGGTGGTCTTAAGGCGCTCGATCAAGTGGAAGAAGGGGACGGGTGACGCAGAGTTCTCCTCTGGACGGTGGGGGAGCGTAGAGAGCACTACACATGTCAGCTTTGCGGGGTCTAAGAGGAGGAATTAGAGGCTTACCAGTCTCAGGTGTCCACGTAGAGTTGTCAGAGGCCATTGCTGATGTTATTGAAGAGAGAGAACCACTGAGACTGGAAGGAAGAAAGAGACACAACCAAAGAGGACAATTGAGGAGAGAGGAAAAACAAAGAAAGAGAAACAACGACCGCGGGACTGATAGGAGCTGCAAACAGTGCAAACATTCGTTATCTATGTTTACTCTCCGCCGCCTGTTTACTAAAGTCCCCTTCGACACAGGATGGCTGCGACAAGGCCTGTTCGGCCGAAACCCCTGGACTGGCCAGGTCCCTCGCATTTGGATGTGTTTATTCGCAATCTGAAGCTATTGCGTTTGGATAAACGCGAGGATTGGCCCGGCATATCTCTACGCACCTTAACCCCGACATCACAGAACCAGCGACAAAGAACCCGTTTGATAGAATGGGCCCTTTACTACCTCTATACCATCTGGGAACCGGAGGGTGCCCAAAATGTATAGCTAATCAATTGTTGCCTTCGAAGGTTGTGGACTTTGCTGACATTCCCCCACAGAAACTCCGACCCTTCTTCCCCCCGTTAGAGCCTCTACAGTCTGTCAACCTCCGCGCGGCCTTGTTTCGGTGCCTGGGCGAATTAAAGAAAAATGGCGATCTGGGAAGGGAGATTATCCTTCGCAAAACTATGCTGGATGATTGCAAGGGCGATAAATTCGAGGAGCTGCTCGCGGGCTTCTCCACGGCCGTTCTCCGTAAAGTTATGGCGGTGTCCACGGATGAAATGCTTTGGAATCCTGCCATGAAGCTTTCGACCGCCACGGCCATGACCCCAACCGACTATCAGAATCTTCTGCCGCTCATTCTTGCCCACCAAATATCTCTCGGTTCTGCGGGAGAACGCAATGCCCGAGTTCGAGATGCGTATCATCGGTTCTCACAGCTGCTAGACGATAAGAAGGTCGAGCTTACCGAACGTGCAAATCAAGGATCAGGTGGTTGCATGGATGATATTCAGGGCGACCCTGAGAGCTTGGTGCGTGAATTACAAACAAATTGGCTGGGCGGCGAGAAATGGGCCACTGCACTGCTCGAAGGCGGATCACAAAGCAGCACGGACGCTTTTCTGGAACTTCCTTTCTCGACGGCATGGATGCGGGCAACGGACTCGAATGTGGCCAGTTTCAGCAGTGGGTTGAAGCAGGACCTGGTCCTTGATTTGGAGGCTCGTATTCTACTCCAACGAAGTCGACTACGCAAGTGGCATGAATATAATAAGTCTCTCTCAAACGAAAGAGGCACCGACGAAATTCGCACAGCCTCACCTAAAGAACCACGTGTGCTATTCCGGGATCACCAGTCTCTCACAGTTGCTAGTATCTCCAAAGCTGTCCGTCAGCCCGGGGATCGCCAGCGGACATTGAAAGGGCCAGAGAAATATCTCCTATCATCTGTAAATGAGGCCATATCCCGTATCAACGGCAAATCCCGCGTCAAGCCTGCGGTTTACACCCCGGAGGTGAAATTGAGCAGCAAATTACAATTCAGAAACTCATCTGAGATCGTCAGCTCCCCATCAAGAGTGGCAGAAGAACACCACACCCCAAATCACGCATCAGACCTGGAGACCCCAGAGCCCCACCCAGAGCCCGAGCCATATCCAGAATCAGAGCATATTCAACCCTCTCCCCAAATCGTCCGGCTCTCCCCAGATCTCCCCTCGTCAGACGAGGCACCAGCCCCAGAACCCATCAAGCGCACCCACACTTTAGCTGAGCGCACGCGCAGATCAATGTCTCTCCTCCCACCTGTGGCACATGAAGCGCCTCGGCCACGCCGCAGACCCCGCCCGTCCTTCCCGGTCAACCAGTTCATAACGCCGCGGAAGACTTCTGCGCACTCAGCTCATTCGAGGGATGAAATCTCACGTGCTTCAACGCCGCAAGATCAGCTCTTTGAGGAAGACGCCGAGTACGCGAGTGTCTTTAAGTCGCGGCCGCGCGTGGCGCTTAGTCCTATCTCGTCGCCAGCTGTGCATGTCAGTCCCTCTTTTGAGGAGGAGAGCTTTGAATTGGATTATGAGGACGGGGATGAGAGCGAGGGTTATGAGTGGGGGGATGTGGATTCGCCTTTGGCTGCTCCGCGGTTGAGGGGCTAGGTTGTCAAATTATACGTATATGCCTATACATACCCAGCTATTCGTTGGAGCGTCGGGAATTGGTAGTTTGAAGTTCTCTAGATTCTCTCCAGGTCCTTTTTATTAATGTTGTAGTTCCAGGCGGAGGTGAGATATAGCACGTATGCATAACCCTCATGATCTGGATTCCAGTCCTTTACGGCACATCACAACTGATGTCCCCGTATTTTGTCTTGGAGACCACGACGTACCGAAAAATACCGAAAATGCAGACACTGTTAGTGTTAGTCGTTACATAAGAGTACTGATACAGTCTAACTATATAGTACTTACATTTCTCCTAGAAAGAAAACGCCCATTACTTGGATCTTGCGCTTCGTTTCCATTTGCAATCGCATCACTGGTCGCACTGGCAAAGCCAATACAGCAACATATGTTATCACATTTTGACCAATCAAGGTTAATAGTAACGATCGATCCGATATGTGGCCTATACTCACGCCAGAAGTTTGAATTGTGATTCCTTGTCAATACACCTTCCTAGTTCTCCTGTCCAGATCGAGGATAGGGGAATCCATTGAAAAGAAATCACAAAGATGACCACTAAGTTGTATGACATAATTATGAGTCCTAGCATACAAGAGACTCCATGCAGCCACACGAGCTCGAATATTCGGCGATAGAAAAGGAGAATCGAAATTTTCGTCAGCATCACAGTAATTGAGTAGCAAATTACCGAGCCAATATATTCCTATTTTTTGCCAGTCAACAAACGTACTCTCCTTTATGTCACGTTATATTCAGCTAGATGAAGCTCTTCAGGCTCTTGAGAAAACTGATATGTCGGCCCTTGCCATTATCGATTGCTAGTGCCACATACGCGATCATACACAGCTATGTCATAGTCAGTGTGTTCCAAGTATAAAAATCCATGACACAGACTGTAGCTAAGAATATCGTCCAGTCGTCAAAGCCGAGCTTCGTTTTCGCCCGCAGTCGGCAGATGAGACGTGCAACCACAGTACTTAGTGCTAGACTCAACCCACACGCGTAGGCAGCGATCTTGTTGGGTCGTCTATCATCTTTGATACTGTAGCTCATAATAAATAAGATCGCTTGAGGATCACCAATTGGGAACTAGCTCAGCTTGGTTACCTATACTATCAAGCTCGAGGACGAAAACTAGAGCATCATATAGCATGACAGAGTGAAGATATAAAAGCCTAATAGTAAGGGGACGAAGAAGTGGGGGACTTGGAATGTAGCAGGAGCTACGGAACAAATAAAAGTGCTAGGATCGAGGGGTCTTGGGGATCCTGTGAGATGCAGCACACTATATTTCCTTCTTGGTGGGCAACAAAGATGGACCTCCGATTATGCGCAGGGCTCACCTTGTAAACAGACTATCTCGGCTTGTGCGACACTTTTCTGGTATCAATTATTGATCACGGAAATCTCACTCGCTGTGGAGAAAGACCTTTTTCTCGGTTATCATTGTTATTACTTCTAGATTTGTGAGGAAAGGATTGTTAGCTAGAATTAGTACCAAAAGTTCATTCTATTAGGGATCACTCTACAGCGTAGTACTATGAACATATTTACCGAACTAAATTACTATAAAGCGTCACGAAATGGACCGACAAGCGACAGGGAGCTTGCGAATAAATTTAAATTCAGTGCTCCCAAATCGGTATCACTCGGATCACAAGGATTGTGAGGCTGATACTGCCCACCAGGCTCTAGCTTTGAGGTTTCTTCCTCTCTCTTTCTGTCTCCCAGCGGTGCACAATCTATGACTGCTGCTCTTCTTCTTCTTCTTCTTCTTCTTCTTCTTCTTCTTCTTCTTCTTCTTCTTCTTCTTCTTCTTCTTCTTCTTCTTCTTCTTCTTCGCTCAATAGCTACTGGCACAAATTGGCACCTCTAGTCCATATAGAAGGATCCCTAGTGTGGACGGATGATTTAGTGTTCCTTGTTGTATACAATAGATAGTTTGCTGAAACCGTGTGCAATATTTAGCATGAGAAACTGGTAGTTAGTACTCAAAACATCAATATTCAGCGTAGGCAAGAATAAAACAGCCGAGGCTCTGTGTGTGTCGGGTTTAACAAAACTCCACTCTCGCGATTCATGGGTGTAGACTAACCAATACCTACAAGGTATGACCGTTGAATATGCCCTTTAATATTCGAGAACCTCGGAGCGAGCTAGCTACATAGGCAAAGGAACCAAGGACACCTTGGGTCCATATTGCAACGTTTGTTTCTCCAAACTGCATGGAGATTTATGATCGGAATCCGACGTTTTTTTTATTCCATATAATACGGGCTCATTTTCCGGGAATGAAGAGATTGGGCACTACCATGTACTTTTGATATTATCAATTACAAGAGCCTGAATACATGCATGTAGATTCTTGTACTGGACCCACAAGGTTAAGGTGCAATTTAAACCAAGGAACATCCATGGAAGGTAATTCTAAGGGCAGATCCACGTGGATCGTTTCTGGAGATATAGCCTCAGGCCATTCATATATATGCCTAGGCCCTCTTCCACATCCACATCCACACTCACCTATGTTTACGTATTTTTTACACAACTCATTGACTATCGATATGTCTGTTTAGAAACTATTTGGTGTCCATGTGCATATTGTGTATGGTTTTCAAGGTGACTCTGAAGTCTTCGTAAGGTTTAACCTGAAGCTTGTTTGAGATCTTGATCAACCAATGTACTTCATAACATTCTTGGAAAAAGTGATGATATAAATTGTTGAGCAAAGTGAATCGAAAACACTCACTATGTAGTATAAGCTTCGTAGTCTCAGATTTGGAGGAGATCAAAGATGGGAACCTCAAATAGAGGTAGAAAAGTAAAGAAACATAGATATTTTTCAAACATTAAATCATACAGGATTTGCAAAATAGACGGTGAATGATGACCACATGCCGCACAGGAAGATCGAGTGGGGAGTAAAAGTATGATGTGATGGCTGTTTTAGTCTCGAAACATGAAACACAGACGTTAGAGATAAATTGGGGATTTCAATTTCGAGACCTAAAGTGTGAAATCCTTAAAAAGTAACTATATGCACTAACTATTACATGCAATTAGAGCCAGATTTGAGATTTTAAAAAAGTACGTATTTAGGTAATACTATTGCATTTGAGATGGAGAAAGGAATCTACAACGGCCATAATCAAGCTCAAGATTCCAGAAACTTTGCCACGTTTTGCCAGTGTGACAGAGATTAAGTCTTCGGGAGGCCCTTGCTCGAAATCTGGCGATCTTACTCTTTTGTGTGTAAATGCTGTAATTCTCCTTGGGCATTGGTCTCGAGATAATTGCCCCCGCCCTTGTGCCCTACTTAGGCCCCGATATTTTCAGCTCTTATTGTTCATAATTTGCGATTGTCCTAGAAAATTAAAGGCAGCATCCTTCTTTCCGAAGAGGTTCTTCGGCGTCAACTACTCCCTCATGGCACCTCCCTCGGCCACACTTATTCACTCCCTTGATCATAATACCTTGGGAAAAACAGATATTGCTGTGCAGTCGGTCCTTTTGGCTATTGTTTTTGTTGCTGTCGGTCTGCGGCTATGGTCGCGACGATTGCAGTGTATTCCGCTGAAGTTGAATGATTTGTTGATTATAGTTGCGACGGTATGGTTATCTACTCCATTGCTTCTTCTCGATATGTGGCGTTGTTGGCTCCCTGCAATATCTCGATAGGGCTGACTATAAAAATATAGTTCTTTATGATCGGTCGCTATGTGGTGGAAATCATCATGGTCGTACTGTGTGGAATGGGCCTGCATTCCACCGAAGTAGCCCATGTGGGAGGGACCGAGGTATTTATCCAATTCAATGAGGTAAGTCCCATTGAGTGGCATGCATCTGATTCATAGCGATTTATGTTTCTTGATCTAATCCTACCATCAGCTCACATATGCGGGTGATCTTCTCTGGGTCACTGTGATTGCCTTGATCCAGTTGTCGATTCTCAACTATTATGTGCACAACTTCCGTCAGCGTGCTATTGCCTTGCTAGCATATGTCATCATGAGTCTATGTTCGGCTCTCTGGGTTGCAGCCTTCTTTGCAACTGCGTTTTTCTGCACTCCGCCAAAGAAAATATGGCTTGTCGACACTCCGGGTCATTGCGGTGATCGCAAAATGTTGCATACCGGTGTCCACGCGAGTGAAACAATTCTCAGCTTCTTTATTGTCATTCTTCCTATCCCTTTGATATTGGACATCCCGTTATCGAAGACTAGGAAGGCTGTACTAGTTTGCATCCAAGTGTTAGGGCTGGCGTGAGTTACCAACCCATGATCTAATGCAAAAGAATATACTGTACAGGCATATTGGCTAACCAATGCTCCAGCATCATCTCCATTATTGCTGTCCGCACAAAGCTTGAGTTCGACCTCGACCCAGGAGACCCAACACATGGTTCTGTCAGGAAGTCAATACTCTCATGCATCGTGCCTCTTCTAGGGATAATTGTTGCGTGCCTCCCAACCCTGGAGCCGGCTTTGCAAAGGATCTTCAGAATATCGGCCCTCCCATCTCCAGTTCATACCTCTATATATGATCCCACTTTTGCGAGGTACTGGAGGACGACGGTTCTTTCGGGTAGGCGGTTGGAGGAACTAGAGATGCCTCTGGTAACTGTCACTCAGCCTTTCATGGCGAAGATGGGCCATCTTGCTCCCGGGCATATTCAGGTCACTTCACATTGGGAGATTCATTCATCGCGAGGTTCGGCGAGACTCGATAGATCACCCGTGCGGCAGGCCTGAGGGGTTTAATATCGAGAAGTTTGTGATTTATATAGATCGAGCTCTAGAAATCGGGTCTGGTACCCGGAATAGATTAGGTTCTTTTCAAATTTTTGTTACCTACTCCCCGAAGTACCCGTAGACGGCAATAAATGCCCTCGGTATCAACCACCCACGGTATATACCTTCTGCTTCCAGATATCTAGTATATTCATTCGTGCGTTCCTTTTCGTTACTTTTCGT